GGGCCAGGGGGGAGGACAGTAGGTCCCCCCCCCCTTATTGTTTTATTGGGGCCCCCACCCACCGCTCAGTGGTTGGGGCCGGGGGAGGAGGACAGTAGGTCCCCCCCTTATTGTTTTATTAGGGCCCCCACCCACCGCTCAGGGGTGGGGGCCGAGGATGAGGACAGTAGGTCGGTCCCCACCCATTATCTTCATGGCCCCCACCCGCCGCTCAGGGTGGGGGAGGGGGGAGGACAATAGGTCCGCTCCCCCTTATTGTAATTTGTCTTTTTTTTCCAACAGTGAGCAGCCACAGGCTGCTCACTGTTTAGTAGACATGCCCCTACTCGCGGTATAGCGAGCAGGGGCATTTGGGAGATTTTAATCTCCCTTGTGCTATTATGGGGGTCATATTGACCCCCATAGAGTGAGAGGTTGACCTGGGGGGGCTTATGAAGTGGTGGGGAGCACTGCTCCCTGCCGCTTCTATAGTTACATATTACAAGGAGGGAGCTGCACGCCGGTAGCTCCCTCCTTGTAATAACCTGCACGAACAAACTAACACTGATACTCAGATACATAGTGTTAGTTTGTTCGGCTGATCTTTCTATTCACTCATTCGTCTGTCTGATGAATGAATGAATAGATGAAATTCCCGTTCGCATGTCCAGGTGTTTCACTGGACATGTGCGGGAATCTCACAGTCTGTCTAGTGTGGGCAGATGACGTGTCCCACAGGGACTTCATCTACCCACACAAAGATGGCGGCGCCCTGAATCAAGATCGGGGCAGAAAATAAGGATTAAAAAATAGCTAATGTGGGGGGCTTAGGGGCATTTGGGGGTGACTAGTGGGTCAATTGGATGTAGTGGAGGCGGGAGGGGGGTTAAAAAAAAAACGGGATTCGGCATGACAGTGCCGCTTTAAGCTGTAGTGATTTTGGTGCCTATAGTGTCTCTTTAAGCTCTCCAGAAATGAGGTGTGGGTTAATCAGTTTTCTTGATTTTAATTTTGTCCAGTCTAAATACATTTCTGTAATGCTCTTTATTTGTGCAGAAAAGAAGTGGATGATTTTCTAAAAGGCACGGAAAATGGTTCAGTGAAGCTCAGTGCCGTTTCCATCTTCCAAGTATTCCGCAAACTGCTAATTATATTTAAAATGAAGCAAGACCGTACTGTGAGTTACATTCAATTTGCTTTGTAGTAATATACCAGTGTTGGTCTGGTGAAATGTCATCTTTGTAAATCACCACTGTTAAGAAACTTCTTGCCCCATATCCAATGTAATGAGCAGAGGTAGTTATGGTGCGCCTTAATGGTCAAGCTTTGTCATAGATGTAACACGTTTGTGATGTTACATGATTGAGCCAAATATGAATCAACAAAGCTCTTTTTCAATCTTCTAAAAATACCTGAAATAAATTACCAACAAAAGATATTTAGGAACTGTGGATACCTAACCGTCCATGATAAAATGGAAGCTGAGATGTTATTTGTCACAAAATAATACTGGTCTCTGTTTTGTTCTTTCCTAGAGGTTCGAACATCTGTGTCGCTGTATATTAACCAGTATGGAGTGTGAGAATGAACCCAAGGTTTGTGCTAAAGACATTTAAGCTATCAGCTTAAACTGAAGTTAGATTAAAAATGGGCTTCTATTAATGAATTCATAAAAATGTATATCCCGCAGGTCTGGTTTGTGTCTATAGCTCTTTCCAAGGACCTCACCCTATTGTGGATAAAGCAGATTAAAGACATACTCTGGTACTGCTGTGAGTTTCTCAAGTTGTTAAAGGTGAGTACTACATCCTTCAACGATCAGTATAATAAGAACCGTAAGATGAATAGAATGAATACATCTTTATCACGTGGTCCCATGTGTGCTCTATCTGAATATATTATATCTCTTTTATCCTAGCCGGACATCCTCCAGGATTCCAAGCTAATTACACTCTACCTCACCATGCTAATCAACTTCACAGATACTTCTACCTGGAAGATATTCAGAGGGAAAGGTAAAGCATGGGTTTATAATTAACCATCATTTATTTTCAACCAGATCACATTGCAGATACATTGTAGACTACAGTTGACAATCAATGATTGGGCACAAGTTTCTGTGGCTTCAGTGATGGGAAGTTGATATTTCAACATAGTAGACCAAAATGTGTAAATTGATTAATTTCAAATTTTTTAATTACTGAGAACACTTTACAGCATTTTACCTCCAGTGACAATTCATTTGAAGGCACAATATTAGAAAAAGAACAAACTAGACTCATACAGGCACACTGTTAGTAATATTCTGTTACATTTTATGCTGTCAGCGAGGTTGTTACGTTGTTGTATTTCTTATGGGATGCTTACTGCTTGACATGTGTTAGTTTCTGCGTGCTGTTGTAATACCTGACATGGTGTATTAACAGTCATGAGCTAGCTCACAGAGATCCATGTTAACTGGGATCAGTAAAAATGTTAAACATATTTAAAAATCACACTTAAAATCCATTGATCCACTGACTACATATTAAAATACCTTTATCATAAAATATGGAAATTCCAGATATAAAAAAGAATAATTCTAAATCTACAAATAGTATACCTTATTGCCATAAATGCACACACCACAACATTACTTTATCCTATTTATTTAGTTGATCACCTGTCACTGCAGTGAGCATGGTGCTTAAAGGCTTATGCCTTTTTTCATAAAAAAAGAAACATTTAAAAAAACTTACCTTAAGATTACTTTACTCTCCAACACCGTCAAGCTCTCCCTCAGCCCGATCTTCCTCCGCTAATGTGACTCCCTCTCGCTGGAGGGAAGAGTGGTCAGGAAAAGGGCGATCTGAAGGGAGGACAGGAATAGCACGGGGTGGGGAGTGCCACCATTGGCTGTCAGGTGCCAGCATGCTGTGTGTACCGGCGTCAAATACAGAATTTTGCACAGAATTACCATTAGCCACCTGGAATTCCAGTTGCTGGCTGGCTAATGACACACCTGTGATGCTGCTGAAGGTCAGTACCGCTCCTCCATCAGAGGGGTTAATCTTGCTAGATATTGCTCTGTAGATTTCTTTTTTTAGCAGTGTTAACTTCTTTAATCTAGCAGTACAAGCTCTTTAGTTACACCTCTTAAGATTGACTCACTTGGGGTGTTGGATATATCCAGTCTTTCATCCGAATGAGGTTAATTATGCCAATGCAGTCCATTAAGGTGTATGCTGTATTTTATATTTCACTGTATAGCTACAAACTAGTAACTGTGGATCAAAATAGATGTAATGTAATGCATGCTTCCTATTAATCTAGATTCATTTATTTTTAGGGGAAACTCTGAGACCTGCAATGAACCACATATGTGCAAATATAATGGGCCACCTCAATCAAAAAGGCTTCTACTCTGTGCTACAGGTACACCTATCATTAATGCTAATGTTGATGCCAAAGCAAAACACTATTTGTCAAAAACATGGTACAAATAAACAGAAACACGGAAGGTTTCTAACTTCATTATTCCCGCCAAACTGCTCTGGCCTTCAATGAGGGGACTGTAAATAGCAGGTCCCCTGCACATGCTGCTTTATTATTAAAGGATATTGTGCAAGTACATGCAGATGACATGAGCTGTCAATCAAATTGCACAGAGTGATGGCTGATAGGAAAGGGACTTTGTTGGAAGTTAGTTAATTTCACCTATACGCCTTGCTGAGCCTTCTTGTTTGTGATGTACACTACTAATTTGCTCTAGGTTTAAGTTCAAAATAATTCAGGAGAATTGCTCAATATACAGTGCCCTCCACTAATATTGGCACATTTGCTAAATATGAACAAAGAAGGCTGTGAAAAATTGCCTTTACTGTTTAACCTTTTGATCTCTGCTCTCATGGATATCAAACAATTGCTTACATAACATAGGTTTATAAAAAAAAATCTTTGTTAATGGAGGGCACTGTATAAACAAGGATAAAATTAAAAAGAGCAAAAATATAAACATGTATATATCACTTCCACCTCAGTATCCTCGACCCTATATAAACAAACAAAATCAAACAAATAAGGGACACAGAACTGATTAATATTTCAAGTGGTTCCATGCCTTTTATGTGTTTGGATAGTCCTGGACGTACGTTGTGACTATTTGTTCTTTTTACAGATCCTGCTTACTAATGGTCTGGCCAGATCGCGCCCTTCTCTGTCGAAGGGAACTCTATCCGCCCTGTTTTCCCTGGCTTTGCGGTACGCTTTTGTGACATTAAACGCATTGTAAACTTACCAATAGGAGTGTATTGGAAAGTTATCGATGATGTTATTTCCACCATAGACATTGTCTTTTTTAACTCTGTGTTCATTTTTGTAAAGACGCTCATAACTGATATAATTTACAGCTAATTTAAGCTTTAACCTTTTCCTTATTTGTTTGGTCTATTGTATTCTTTTTCAGGCCCGTCGTTGCAGCTCAGTTTTCCGACAACCTGCTCCGTTCGTTCCTGATTCACATAATGTCCGTTCCAGCTCTGATTTCCCATCTTTCTATCCTTACTCCAGATGTAAGTAGAGAGATACAGACTAAGATGGATAGATAGCATCTGTACTCATCCATAATGGATGAAGGTAGACAATCTGGAGCTCTGCACAATTGAGAAACCATATATAGCCGAGGAAGAGAGGCAGTCGTTACATATTTCTAGCATAAGAAAATGCAAAGTCAGTATCTTCTCTTAGTGAAGAAAGAGAAAGAACAGGTTACTATATGTAGCCAAAGGAGGTAAAGCAAGTGCCAATAAAAATATTAGCTGCAAAAGAGATCAGTGGTTATGGGCATTAAAAAAACTGACAGCAAGTCTGTACTAAGGCATATAACCATATAAAATTATAAAACGGGGATAGGCAGCCTTCTTCCCTAATACCTTGCTGGCATTACAGCCCAAAGAGCATTATGGGAGATGTAGTCCAAAACATCTGGAGTGCCGAAGGTTGCCTATCCTTGATATAGAAAATCGTGTTCAGTTTGTGCAATATATTATGTTTTCTCCATCTGTTGCTATTTTTCAGCGTTTCACTGTGATTGAATCCCATGGGCTCTTCCATAAGTTTATCTTGTTTCTGAGTCGGGAGGAGCAGTGCAGAGATGTGTGTGTATGTCTGGAAGGAAGTCACACTCTCTGTTTGCTAGGTATTATTTTATGCTTATCCTACATCTGTTAAGTGTGTAATTAACTATAGACTTCCTCTGCTACATGGTAACATTGACTGCCCTTCACCGATTACTCGGGTATGGAAACTAAACAGCTTCTTTTCTTTTTGTACAATTACTGCCTTTTGCTAATTCTTGGGGTATGGAACTAAACTGTTGCTTTTTTTGTTCTTTATGCTGTCTAGAATATTTTTGTTTTCCCTTCTAATGTTATATTTCATAGGAGGAGCAGAGTTATTGTAGGTCACTTGTGATGACACATGGGGATCATGGCTGGGATTAGGGTTGCTTACTGTTTTTTTATTTTGAATTACTAGTGATTGTGGTGAAGAGGCTACTTTGTCAATTGTGGGAGGGATCACTAAGATTATTGAGCCCCGCATTGTAAGAGAGCAGGAAAGATTCCAAGCTATCTCTCCTTGCTTTCAGTCCTGTAAGTAGATGGGGAAACATAGAGGACACTATAGAGGCAATCAAAGAAATAAAGAGCCAGCGGTGGAAAGACAATATGGTCAAGACCTGAAAGCTATTTGGGAATTAATTGTTGGCATTATGATCAGATGAGTTGGCACATAGGAATATGGGTAGGATGTGAAATTGTAGAGAAAACATTGGAATTGAGATTTAATTTATTGATTACTGGCATTTATAAAGCGCCAACATATTCTGCAGCGCTGTACAATTAGGAGAGAACGCACACTATAGAAAAGGTAAAGAGGGCTCTGTCCGTAAGCTGAGATCTAATAAATATATTGTCACTGAGAGGTGTTCAGGCAGAAAAGACAAATAAAGATAGCGCAGAATATTAGGTGATTGTTTTCTTATTGAAATGTATTTGTAATATTTTTAGGTAACTTAATTTATCTTGGTCACCTTACGGAGAAAGTACTGCAGGAGGAAACCAGTCACTTTGTCAGCATCCTCACACACATGTTATCTTATTGCCAGAAATATGTATCGCAGAAGAAGTCTAACCTCACACATTGGCACCCTGTCCTTGGTTGGTTTTCCCAGACGGTGGATTATGGGTAGGGTATATAATTCTATGTAATTCAGATCCCAGATGCATTTTTTTGTTTTGTTTTATTGTACATATTTTTTATTGGTAATTTTCAGTTCCTTTCAGATGTGAGAGCACAGTCTTCTATTATTTATTACATGTTTTTTTTTTTTATAAGATACTTTGTTCGTATGTAATGATTCTATAACTCTTTTTTTATTCTGCAATATACATTTACTAAAGAAACTGTATTACAACTTGCATAGAATTTTGATTAATTTTAGAGTTATGTTTCTTTTCTACCTTTGGCCATATTAATAAAGAAAAATTGCAACTATCCCGTGTCAGAATGCGAGCTGTAGAGCAATTACAAGAGCAACTGTTATGGGCAAATGCAAATATTACAAGTTTTAAAATGAAAGGTTATATTTCAAATGATTGCGTCTGATATTGCACTTTACCCACAGTGACTGATATACATGCTGCCTAATTGATGCTTGGTTAATTTCACTCTTTTAGTATATTGCCTCTCTTCATTTTTTACTCCTTGCTCTGTGTTTTCTGACACTGTTTTTTTCTATGAATAATGTGTATCTGACACAGACTGCTATCAACTTTTAATTTATTTCCTTTTCAGCCTCAATGAATCTATGCCTTTACTCACCAAACAGCTTCAGCACCTATGGAGTGTCCCTATGATTCGCATCTTGTTCCGTGAGGTCCTCAGCAAGAAGTTAGCAGAGAATCAGGAGATGTCAGTGACCGCCTCACAGAGCTCTTCACCCCAGAACAATCTGCCCATGAAAAGTGAGCTATAATGTTAAAAAGTAGAATATAATGGAAGGGTTATAAAGTTGGTGAAAATGATTAACTGGTAACTTATCATTAATTGCACAATCCTAAGATTTATAGTCTGAAATCTCAAGGTTAATCACAATCAAAAATCAAAATAGATCCATCTTGGAAAGATCTTACCTAACTATTTAACCACTTTTATAGTTCAATGGTGATGATGAGATATATGTAATTATCATGTTGTTTTCCAATTCAATATTGATATGGGTGTATGCTTCTTTAAAGGGTTACTCCAAGCTTAACTCCTACATCCTGTTCTAGGAGAGGTGTTTGTTCTACTCATGCAAAAAATACTTAAAAAATTGGTAGGGCTTTAGTAATGGTAATGGTAAAAGTGTTGTTAAAATGTATACGGTGAGATTGTGAAGTTCCTACAAGTAAAGCTTACCAAATTGATAAAACACAGAGTCAGCATCCTCATGTTTTGCTGCGTCTTGTAACTGATAACATTTCATAGATTCTCTTTCCTAGGCTGCATATCAGATCTTCATCAGTATACAAAATATATAGTAAAAATAATCATGGCAGAGAGGGAGAGAATGCAAAATGGAGAAAACCAATGCACTTGTATTGCACTAATTAGCTTTTTCTCTCAAGCAAAAGAAATGTGTCAAGCATTGTCTTTTATATCTGTATCCCACTGTGTGTATAATACGTCTAACCAGATTAGAAAGTAAGTGTTAGGTTATTTATGGGAAACAAATTGGATGACACAGTTCCTACCTAACATTCTGATAAGTTTTTATTTCCTGACAGATCTTTTTAAACGAGCATTCCAGAAATCTGCATCCGTTCGCCATATCTTGAAACCTATTGGGGGAAAGAGAGTGGACTCCCAAGAAGTGCAGAAAGTATGCAATATATGTGTGCTGTACCAGACTGCGCTGACCACCCTCACACAGATTCGCTTGCAGATTCTTACAGGTTAGTACCATTTTATACAATTCTTTATTCTTGCACGCAAAGACACCATAAGATGTTCCCTCTTGAGATTTTTGCTGTGTCTTTTCTAAACAAATGATGGCTTGGTGAAGTGAGATGACCACGGTTTCCTTTAGAAAATATCACTTAAAAAAAAATGTTATTGTCAAAAACACCATTCTCAGACTGGTACATGATTTGTTTCAGTGGGTGAACTAGAAACAACTTTTTTAGTGATAAAATAAACCCCTCTTAACACCACCTACACCTATAAAAGTTGCTACCACTAAGACACTTTCTAAATGGATTGCTTTAAGCTACCCCACCAAATCTGCTTTAAAACCCACAAAACACAGTTTAGTAGGAATCAGAGTACTATTCTATAAGTCTCTTCGGTAATGTGATATCACACAAAGGCAGAGTTTAATAAAGGAACATTTATTATGAGCAAAACATACAGTGCATACATGTAAAAAATAGCTAACAAATGGGGGTCGGGGTCTGACCGCCAAGCAGCATGGCCCGTGCGCTCCGACCGAGAAACCACTGTGGGCCACAATATTGTTACCTTTCCCATGACAACTAAGCCGATCTAACTCAGCGGAGGAGAGGCGACAACCCGGTTCTCAAAATGGGCGGACTTTGAGCCCGATCGGACAAGCTAAGCCCAACTTTGAATTGCGGCCTACTGCTGGGGGTGGGTGTGGGAGACGTGGCCGATCTCGCCGCTACCAGACCGGCTGGAAAATGCCAAAGAGCCTGGACACCCCGTTCTCCCCCCCCCCCTACCCCCCCAGCCGGAGGGAGTCATCCCGGTAAACACCAGCTACGAGCAGAATTTAATCACTAACCAGCCCCTGATGCAAACACATAGCAGCGCCAATGAAGCCAAGATGGCGGCGGCTGACTCTGCAGCGGTGCCATACAGCCTGCAAAAGCCTCTGAAACAGCGCCTGGACAAACTTTTTCGCAGCTTCTGGCAAAAGCTCCAGAGCAGAAGGGATCGTAACCTAGCAGCGACACAAGGACAAGTGGAGCACAGAAGCCCACACCCGGTCAAGCTAAACCAGGCGGTGGGCGACCAACAGAAACAGCCAAGAGCACGCAAAAATTCAAAGCAACGGCGGGAGAGATCAAATCGGGCACACCGCCGGAGGTCCGGACGCACTACCACACGCCATAAGTGCAGTCTGCACGGGGTCACTACCCCCTTCATGACCCACTCCCCGGGAACACACGGCATGTACAAGAAGCTGAGAATTGATGAAAACGGATGGAGCTACAAGCCAAGCTACATGGTCTGGCGCAGGAGGGGGGCCTTGTTGGGGACTTTGGGACTCGCACCTATCCTCTGCCGGGTTGGTGTGGGCTAAACTGAACTCAAATTATAAAGTCTAGAAGGCGACGGGATAACTCAGCTTGAATCTTTGAGCTGTTTCCCGTTGGTTGAGAGACCCCAGCAGCTTCTAATCTCACTCTACCCTACCTTACTCCTGCTAAGGAAATCTGCTATGACGTAAAGTAGTTATTCCAAGTAGATAAGCCAGTTACCATACATCTAGTTATATGCCAGCAATTTCTATGTATGCTTAATAATAATCACACGTAGCTGAACTTACTATTGATAAATGTGCCTAGCCTGAATACTCTAAAACAAAAACCAGTGCTGTATTATCACAATTTCACAAGTCAATTTCACTGCTTGTATTTTTTTATGTTAAGCCTGCTGTGACATTACAGGCTTGTCTGTGATTCTTTATGAGCACTACAAAAATAAAGAATAAAAAAAAAAAAAAATAGCTAACAAACTAATTTTACATATGCCAAAAAAACAGATTCAAAGTGAGAAAATTAACAGACCATCCTAATACTAGTATAATACCAGTCTCTTCCCAAGAGAGCTTTTGGTAAGGAAAATGAAAATCCACCAAAACCTGCCTGAAAATGATCGATGCTATACAGTTATGTATAGATGCATTTGATCTCTTTGTAACCAGACCAGATCTCGGTGAATCTAGACAATTCATTTGAGACCAAATTCATACGTAATGCATCAAAAAACAAAATTACATCTGAAATCATACCCAAACTTAAAGTAAATGACCCTTCACTGAACTTACAATACACGTAGATGTAGTGCAATTCTCAGAGACCAGTTGTAAAATCCCTGTACACTGTTTGGTTTACAAGTTAGCAATATTTTGAAAATGGAACAATGAATCGTACCCACTAGGCACGACCGTTATATCTTGCAGAATTCTGTTGGTGATCCAAAAAATTCACTAAATAATACTATGTATAAGTTTGTTACGCATTTCTCTCAGCTAACCTATGTCTATCCTTAGGCCTCACCTATTTGGATGACCTTCTGCCTAAGTTATGGGCTTTCATTTGTGAGCTCGGTCCTCAAGGAGGTTTAAAACTCTTCTTGGAATGTCTGAGTAATGACACTGAGGAGTCCCAAAGACTTCTGGCAATGCTGGTTCTGTTCTGTGACTGCTCCAGGCATTTAATTACGTAAGTACTACAAGCGCTCCTGGCATAGGTTATGGTGCAAGGACCTTCATTGTTCTTGTATCCCTCAATATGTTGCTTACAACTTCAGTATGTTGCAGGAATCTATGTATGTATGAGCCCACCCCCTGCTCATTGACATTGCAGGGAAAGCTATGTACAAAATTACAGTGTGAAGTGTGTATTACTTTGTAAGAGTTTGAAAATGGTCCTTTAATGCTCCGATCTGTTGGCAGAATTCTTGATGACATTGAGGTGTACGAGGAACAGATATCATTCAAATTGGAGGAACTGGTCACAATCTCATCGTTCCTGAACTGCTTTGTTTTCAAAATGATATGGGATGGTCTCCTAGGTAAGGCTTTCCAAATAGCATCATAATGTACAGATAAACTTAGCTATATATAACTTGGCTATATTTAAAATATAAAGAATGTTTGGGCTGTGAGGTCCCATGAGCACAGCAATGTTTTGGTGTGTAATTTTCAAATGAAGTGATATATGCAGATAAATACTCTATGTCATGTTAGAAATTTCTGAAAATAAAAGATGAATAGTGTTTTCAAATTGTGACTTTTTTTTATACACAGTAGATGAAATGGTGTGTGTAGGACATTAACATTAGGACTTTATTAGGACTTTGCTGCAAATAGCCAGCCCTAATATCTCATTAAGTACCACATATCATTGATCATAATGATCAATAATCTATATATGGCTGATTAGTGAAATACTAAGTTTAACTCCTCTCCTCTCACCATATCAACCTTTTTAAATGGGTATTACACTAATACAACATCCACTACCCAGCTCCGGCACTAACATTATTAGCCCTGCTGTCTTCACTGAGAGCTCACCGAGTGATATCAGTCACTCCATTCTTATATCCAGCCAGTATTGGCTCAAGATGCTCTGGCTGGCGGAGTGCCTGTATGGGAATTTGGGAAATCCTGAAGCATATGACACTGATTGAATCATTCACAAAACTATCGATTGACCAGGGTATTCTAGGCCTAAATAGTCAAATTAGAAAACATTTCCAGCTCAGCCACTTTGAACTAGAGTTTGAAATTGTGTAGTCTGATATGTGGCAAGAGTAAGCGTTCAGGATAGGGGAAGCAGGAATCTGCGTTTGATGAGGGCTTTATATCAATGGTTCCCGTAGTGATGAGCACTGCATCTTTAGATATATCTCTTTCTTCTAGAATTAACTGCTACAGGTTTATGTGTGTAACCAACAGAACCCAGGACGTTGTTGTAGCAGGAGCAATTGACCACTAATGTTGCTTTCTTTCCTATAACATATTAATTAAATATTAATTAATTGCAATATTGTAATATAATCAGGAATTGATTTATTGTCACTGAAAAAGTGTCTTCTGTTTTCCATGAAACGTTAGTATGTCTAGATTAGAAAACACTTTGGAGTATCAGTAATTAAAGTTAATTAAAATCTGAGGAGTGTTCTCTTTGCAGAGAATGCCAAAGGTGAGACTCTGGAGCTTTTTCACTCTGTTCACGGCTGGCTTATGGTTCTGTATGAGAGAGATTGCCGAAGGAAGTTTGCCCCAGACGACCACTGGCTGAGAAAGTGAGTGAATGTTATAAGATGTTGTCATATATATGTTTGTGTTACTCGTGACATGTGTTGTACTGTGTTAGACACAACAAAACCATTAGTATAGGCAATATATGACATTACCGAATCTGTAACTCCTATGCTATGGTTTGTATTTGCAGATTATAATACTATGTACGGTAAATTAATATGATTATGGAATCTAATCAAAAGATCCATAATTTATTCTTAAGGCCCACCTCCACTCCAACCATCTTATACACTACACAGCAGATTTTCTACTTCTTGACTAAATTTACATTTAGGAAAGGACCTCATTCCTCTCACGTTAGCACAGACTAAAATGTTATATTTTGCTAACTCCTATTTTCACATCACTGCATCACTACATATTTTTTCTTTTGGAAATTCCTGTGAATTCAATCACTACCGATCATGGGATTTCTAACTTATACCCTGGTCTATTATCAGCCACACATACATCTTCCCCAAACTTTATAACCAAATGAGAAACTGCACTCAACTCTTCCATTGTGGACAAGTAGTGGAAAAACATAACATATGCTCCATTTCCAGTAAATATAAAGCTTTAGTATACAAGCAATGTAGGACAACTGCCCCCATCCATTCTCTTTTCCATAGTGTTTATGGTACCTGCAAAAGGTAGGTGTCTTAATGACAGACATCTAGTCCTCCTCTTATGTGGAACAGTTGGTCATTGAACCATTTTGGATCCAGGTTTACTCTACTCTGAAATTCATCCCTGAGAACCCTCTCCACCATTTTTTCCAGAAGCACTTCTCCAACATTTGTATTCTTCTCTACATTTTTTCTAACTTTTTACATTGTCTCAAAATATAACAAATCTGTTGTGTGGCATTTTAATGATGTTGTCAAGGAGCTCATCAATCTGCATTGATACCAGACATTGGCACAAGAGAGTGGATAACTTGAGTGGAGGAAGTATGCACACACTCCTCAACAGACATACATACAAACATACCTTCATTAACCAGTTTTTTTTCTCTAAGTTAATTCCACTACCTTTGATATTTTCATGAGCCCCCCCACCTCACTCACTCAAGCCGTATATCAAACACTAATTTCTCTTTTCCGTACTGCTTGTTTCCTCTCTCTCTACTACCTCTCCTTCTACTCCTCTATAGTACAATTGTATTGTGTATGTTATGCAGTTACTCTACAATTGTTTTATGTGTTGAAGTCTTACATAGTTACAGAGATTGAAAAGAGACATGTGTCCATCATGTTCAGCCTTCCTCACATTTGTTTTTGCTGTTGATCCAAAAGAAGGTAAAAAAAACCCAGGTTGAAGCGCTTTCTAATTTGCAAAAAAATCCTTCTTGATCGAAGAATGGCAGTCAGATTTCACCTTGGATCAAGAACCCATTACCCTACTAATTAAGTATTGTATATCCCGGAATCTTATGTTTTTGCAATTATTTATCCAACCACCTCTTCAGGCAGAGAATTCCACGTCCTTAATGTTTTTACTGTAAAAAAAAATCTTTTCCTTAGCCTTTGAATAAATCTCCTTTCTTCCAGTTTAAATGCGTGAGCTTGTGACCTATATAGTTTTGTTAATGAATAGATTTCTGGACAATGGTTTGTATTCACCCCTAATATATTTGTATAATGCTATCATTTCCAGTGTCTGCTCCCTAACTGCATTTATTTACCACGCAAGCAAGCTAGGTAACATTAACAAACATTTTTATCATAAATGATTACAATTTTAAGTAATTGTATTTAAACCTTTGGTAAATCTCTTCTCTTACTAATCTAATTTAGAACCTCACACAATCAAGTAATCTACTGCTCATTCACACTCAAAAGCTGAAAATATTTGTATAGTGTATAGTAATGGTTTGTGCTGATTCTACAGATTAACATGTAATGGTATGCCCTGAAAATCTACATTCTTATCATCTTTTTTAGGGACCTTAAACCAGCTTTATTGTTCCAAGAGCTGGACAAAGAGAGGAAGCGAGCCCAGCTCCTGCTTCAGTATATCCCCCATGTAATACCCCACAAGAATGTAAGTGAAATCATCATCTGGATTAAATAAAACACAAGAAACAATCAGTGCCACTAACACAAAACATATAAAAAAATATAGTATCTTGAGCCAAACTTAACGTAATTTATTTATTCAGTCTAGACTGCACAGATAGATACCAGCAGTGCTCGTTCCATTGTAATACGATTTAATGACAAATGAAGCAAACATTATTAACCATACTCACATAGTATCTAACACAGTTATGCAAGGAGATTCCATGAAAGTGATGATTTACTAGAAATCAAGTTCATGCATATTATGTTTGGTAGATAATTTAGTGTATTTGAAAAAAATAATTCATAATTATGAGATTTTTTTTTTTTTTTAAACAATTTCACTATACAACAGCAGCAGCCTCCTTACTGAAGTGGTTATGGTGCAAACACATTATAATTAAAGCGCCTCTTTTTATGTATCAAACCAAAGTGTTTATAGAAATAGAGTTCTCTCGGCACCCAAAACCCAGGCTCTCTCTGCTCCTGCTTTTTTGTCCAAATTTGCAGCAAAATGTATGCAGCTCTTGCATTTTACCTGTTTACTTTCATGTCCGTGAAAGATATCATGGAATTTACATGTAAATGTAAGTTAGATGCAGCTGCTATGCCCATGAAACGCATACATTTTTGCCTTGAGCATGTGAACGTGTTTATGGTCATAATGTCCATGACTTTTGATGATACATAAATGCTTTTAGATTGCTGTAAAAGTGTAGCATACAGAGCAGCTTCACTGGAGTGAATATTAGTGCGAGCATAAAGCTTGTTCTATCCACGATAAGTGTGATGCTTTCTCTCTAGCAAAAGTGGATTGATGGATAACACATGAACACACAGAGAGCTTGAATTTTCCAACAGCTTTATACTACTTTTTCTTTTTGATAAAGAAAAGAGCTGTGGCATCCATGCTTTTTGTAATCCATGTTTTGTGTGTGAACAAAAAAAAATAGGAAACTATGTGAGAGAGATGATTCTATCATTTTTTCACACATTGTATGGCTTGGAAAAACCTTCTAAATAATCACTATTCCAATGTGAAGAATAAATTGGGCTCCATACCCTTTTTTAGCCTAAGGCACTGTGGGATCCTAATCATTCTCTTTTGTGTGATGCCTGAATTTTGCTATAAGCTGTTAGATGGCAGTGGTAAGTTGCAAGTTGGGAGTTGTTTAGCCAGCAGCCCTTCGTATTATCATCCCATCATTGCTTTCCACATTTGGACGGAAACTGCAGAAGTGTTGGTTACCCATGAATTTGGCAGCAAAGATGACATACTTTGGGTGCTAGACGAGCCATGGTTATTGTCAAACTACTTCTAGTCAGAAGACTATTTAGGGCATAACCATACAGTAAGCAGTAAGCTGCTGAGGTTCTAGTGTTTATAGTATACATACCTGTATTTGTAGAGCAGTTGTTTGGATTTGTATACATTATGCTAGTGCATGTTTACACAGAGTCCAAAATCATGACACATCTTAGCGGAGCCTTACATGAGCCTGGGATATTAGCACCTTTGTGTTCTCATTTGGTGTGTTGAAACACTCACTTATTGATAAATAAATCATTTAAAATTAACACATTTTTTATGTTTGTAATAAAAGTAAGGTTTCTATATATATGTACATTCTTTAGTACAGCGCCTACACATTCATTTGTTTATGTATATGAGTGTGTAAAAGTTTTCTACACTTTTTCTGATCTTTCTTCCAGAGGGTCCTTTTGTTCCGAAACATTGTCACCAAAGAAAAAGAGAAACTTGGTTTAGTGGAGACCAACACTGCATCTCCACACGTCACCCATATCACAATTCGAAGGTCACGGATGCTGGAGGTTTGTAAAGGGTTTCAGAACGAAAGAGGCTTCTTACTTTTCTTCTTATCGATATGTCACTCTTAACTGCTAGAATGAAATAGTATCACTCACTGAGCTGTGATTTACACTTTATTTTAAGTATTTAACTACTGATTGTCTAATCATAACATAATTGCATGCTATCAATATTAACAATGCGCCTTAAATGTACTCAGTAGGTGTAATTCTTTCTATTTTATTAATGCTGGGAGGAGAGAGGTCCAACCGAGTTGTGCTTGCTATGTGCTCATGTTGTATGAGCAAGTTGGACAGGTCTAATTTTGAAAAGGGGGACGTAAACGTCTAACAGATAGTATTTTCATTCCATGATGGACCACTCAAGCTTGTGTGCTGAACATTGTGCACCATTATGACCCACATACAGGGAATCATGAGACTTTTGTAATGAACATTGAATGCCAGGCTGTGCTAAGTCTTTGAATTAAAATAAAAGAGTGGTATTTGGAGAAGCAGAGAACAATTATTTGCTACTTTTATTTATTCAGTAGTAATTAACTCCGAGTTGATATCAGTCTATCAATAACCTATATAATTTAATTATTACAAATAATCTGTTATTAACATACATTAGTGTGTGCTTTTCTGTTTATCAAGTGTGGTCTAAAACAATGTGACGTAGTCTAGAGGAATTTTGTTAAATAGCCCTATATATTGTAGAAAGCCTTAGATAGATCAGTTGATCTTTAAAGTCTTTTTTAAACAAGCATGATATTCACTACAGCGTGTGTATTTATTGTTGGAATTCAAAGTTAATTCCCCTTTTTTTTGGGGGCCAAGATATATGAATAAATTTTTTGGTGTTATATTGGAATTTCACTTTGAATTTTCTTTAGATCTTTGACCATTCACCCTTGTGAATGACACAGTGTATAGCAACGTATGTATTTTAAGGTTTCAGGTATACATTTCCATTTTTATCATACTGAGTGAGTCTATTTTGTGATTTTATATTTTTTGTCTTCATTGAAAAGGATGGTTATGATCAACTGCGACAGCTCTCCCAAAATGCCATGAAGGGAGTCATCCGCGTTAAATTTGTCAATGACCTGGGAGTAGATGAAGCTGGTATAGACCAAGATGGAGTTTTCAAGGAGTTCTTAGAAGAAATTATAAAAAAGGTTTTTGATCCTGCTCTGAATTTATTTAAGGTAACTTGTTATTCCGCAGGCTGAATGCAAGGTTTCATTCATAAATTATTACTATGTAACCTCTATAAACCCTGTGCTTACTGCTTGTTCCTATAGACCACCAGTTCTGGGGATAGATTATACCCATCACCTACATCTTACATCCATGAGAACTATCTCCAGTTATTTGAGTTTGTTGGGAAGATGCTAGGAAAAGCAGTATATGAGGTAAGCAATAAAAACTATTGCTAAACTTGGGTAATATCTTTAAAAATTAACCAAATTTCGGACACACTAAAGACAATTCATAGTCAAATTCTGATATTTTCTCTGAATCTCCATTACATTTAACGCAATCACAGTGTATAGTGTTAAAATGTAATAATAAAAACATGAAAAGGTGTCTCTGTGACCCTTGTAATCCTAGGGCAACCTGACCGTATATACTTTTTTTCCCTTCCAATCCAATGTTTAAAATGCCGTGAGGATGCCTAGTTCTCATGTACAGTGGAAATTTTTCCAATTAAGTTTAAAAGAACACTATGGATATTCCTAACACAATAGTGTCTTTGTTAGATTTAGCCTCCCTTTTCACTAGCAAAAAAAAAAAAAAAAAAGAGGATTTACTTATCTTTTTTTTTATAGCGCCAAGATTCCTATGCTTCACAGCTTCTTTTCCAATCCAGTGCTTCTCATAGAGTAGCACTGCGGACGAGGTCTGCAGCCACTGCAAACGCTCATCCAATTAAACATTCCTCATAAGAAAGCATTGAATTCACTATTGAGGATGAAATGTTAGTGGCTGTCTCTACAAAACTGCAATGTTCTACATTGTAGGGTTAAGACTACAGGACAACTGCAGACAGACCACTTCATTGACATGAAGTAGTCTGGGTGATTTCAGTGCTCCTTTAATTCATTGCTGAGCTATTCTGTGACATTTAGGTTTATTAGCTTGCTCTAAAATTTAGAGCTGGGTTTACACATTTTGGAGTATATTAAATTTAGTTGCTGTGCTCCATTGTTTTTTCCTTAATTGACATGATTTGGAGCTTAGTGAATAACCTACAAATTGAATGATGTTACTAAGAGACTTCCATATTCTAAACAGATTCCTAGAGATCTTCTAGGGTTTTACATGTTACTTTTCAATAAGCAGCGTGCTGCATGTTGACATGCTGTCATTGATCAATATACATTTTAAGTGCTGCAAAAATAGTATGTTTATTCAAGTAATTCACATAATGTGAGACAGAGTTGGGGAACATTTGGTATTCTCAACACATTTTATATTATGACAAATAAGAAAACCATGTCTGAGTAAAATGTTATAAAATTAATTATCTCCCTTATATTTCTAGGGTATAGTGGTGGATGTCCCCTTTGCCTCATTTTTTCTTAGTCAGCTCCTAGGACACCATCATAGCATCTTCTACAGCTCTGTGGATGAACTACCCTCTCTCGACTCGGAGTTCTACAAGAACCTTACTTCTATCAAAGTAAGTTCATTGTAGCACTTCCAGATTTTTTAAAAATCTGGACACATATTAACTTGACTGCTGGCCTTGACTTCTTGTAGGATTTTTACCTGAGTTAGTTAAATTGTAATTTTGAACAATATGTAAAACAAACAAGAAAAAGCTATAAAACTGGTCATTTGTTTAACAATTCAAAGTCATCTCCAGAATGGCATCCCCAGCAAGCCAAACTTCTGACTGAGATAAATCTCCAAGTTAAACAACTTTGTCACCAGAGTTTGTGATGAGAAATAAAATGATAAAGATATTAAAATATAAAATTGACAGAATTAATGCTGTCACGGAATGTCATAATTTGTAGCAGTAACAGCCTTCCGTGAAACTTTATCTGTTATTTTTGACGGTGCTACAATAGCTGTGCTTGGATAAGTGTTTTTAGACCTATTCCATATTTTTCAGCGTTACGATGGAGATATTAGTGACTTGGGCCTAACACTATCGTATGATGAAGATGTCATGGGTCAGGTATGTAGAATATTCTTAGAATATTTTCACTGTTTGTAATTGTGTAGTTTATGATCTGTGGCAGGATTATTCCTTTAGAGGGATGCTCCAAATGAGCAGTGATCTCGTTTAAAATAGGCAAAAAATGATCTCATAAGATGAAAAAATGTACTCATCTTTAATGTTTCTACAATTGCTGCAAATGGCTAGGCTTTGTTGCATCTGCAGTGAGTACTGCCCAGATCTGGAACTGTCTCAATCAGCCAGGATGTTTTCATTGTTTTCAAAATGAGCTATGTATATCTCATAAATTACCAAGCAAGGGGTCATGTTGTCCACAGTGTCTGGAATGGCATAGATGGTTTATAGTGAGTAACCTCATGATACTACATAGATGCTGCCATTGAAGTAGATCCACAATCAGACCCCAGTGGAACCTAATAGAATACACCAGGGCCCATATACCTAAACTTCAGTCCACATGCATAGAAAAGATTATGGAACATTGATTGCTTGTTTTCAACTACATTAAAAAAGATAATATTTTGTTACATTTAATGAAAAATAATGTTTCCGTATATTTCTTCAAATCCTCATAACAAGCCAGAGATAAAATGGGTGCTTTATACAATGCACAATTAAGAAGTATTATAAACAAATGACACTGATGTGTTTGCATACACCAAACATGTCAGTACAAATATTAACTTTTAGTGCTGGGATGGCCATAGAATTAACAGTTAACTCTAACTAGTACACGTGTGTTCTTGTGTCAATGATTTCTTTCAGGACTATATGATTACCAACAACTTGAGCAGTATTTTCATGCTCCCAATATGTCATTAAATACATTAAAATGTGTGTTTTCTCTGTGTCTAACAGCTGGTCTGTCATGAGCTGGTCCCTGGTGGGAAGTCAATTACAGTCAGCAATGAGAACAAGTGAGTTCTGTTTATATTGAAATCCTGCTTTCCTATTTACTGTGGGTGCTGTCCCTCTATTTGTGTTTATTTGCAGGAACCCTAAGCCCATCCTCTCTATTTGGGATGACATAATGTCATTATCCTTCCTATACATGTTAATGAGGGTGTCAAACTCCCTTTTTATGCATTCGAAGCAGGGCTACGGGTTATGGTATTAGGGATTTCTGTGTGAAACATCTTGAAAACTGAAAGAAAAACAAAAAAAAACAGAGAACCTTCACCCACAGCTAGCACCATAAACACTAAATGACTAGGTTAATATTAATGGATTATTTCACAGAAAGCTGACTTTGAGGATATGTGAGTTTATTTTTACAGAAAGGTTGCTCCAGACTTTCCTTTCTGGACTAATGATTCACCCCCTACTTGTTTTGACCCCTGAATAGATGGGTCTTTTAGGGCAAAAAAAATGGATACAACTGGTCTTCTAGATTTTTTTTTTCTCTGAGGAAAAGAATGACAATTGGAGACATTATGAATACAGTATAGTACAATTTAAATTCTGTATGTGGCCATCATGATCTTATCATACAATACACAGAAAGAAAGGTGTCTATCCCTCCGCACACTTTATATATTCTGACCCCAACTCCTGATTCAGTGAATTTCCATCATCCCCTAAAATTAACGGAAATAATCCACAGGGATGACATCCGTTTTTGTCCCAATCCTTCTCATTCACTTTGTATTGGACTGATAAAAACCAGGCAAATCAGAGCGGATATTCTCGTTCTCATTCACCTAACTGTTTTCATTGCATTTCTTTTTTCTCTTTCCATCATGCTGTGATGTCCAGTATAATTTCCTCCCAGTTACTCACGTTGACCCATCTTCTCTATTCTACAGGATCAGCTACATCCACCTCATGGCACATTTTCGCATGCACACTCAGATTAAAAATCAGACTGCTGCTCTCATCAGTGGCTTCCGCTCCATCATCCGGCCAGAGTGGATACGCATGTTCTCAGCACCCGAATTGCAGCGTCTTATATCAGGAGATAATGCGGAGATTGACCTGGATGACCTCAAGTGAGTAAAAAAAAAACTTGCATTTTTGTTACTTCCTTAACCCCTTAAGGACCAAACTTCTGGAATAAAAGGGAATCATGACATGTCACACATTAAGGGGTTAAGGACCAAACGCCTATTAGTCATAATAAAAGGTTCTTTAAAGATCCTTCTCATGAATGGAATGATGGATTCAATTAACAAATTCAGAGCTGTATGGAATGACCAGCACAGAAGACATTCAATGCTGGCATGAGTGATGTCTTTAAAAAACAGCTTTCGTTGACAGTAATGTGTATATAGTGGTCATTAAAGAGTTAAGCATATGTTTAATTGTTTAAATTGTTATTTAAACGATAAATTGGTATTAGTGTTTATATTTAGAACTATAAAAACACATTAAAGCAGTCACCACTTGAAATGACCTTTGAATATTAAGTATTAACACAGAAGTGGTTTCTGGATCGTGCAGTTAAACATTTATAGAGAGACATCCACATCTTGGTACATTTCAGAAGGCTCAGCAACTGTGGCATGTGCCTCTGCATTAATGTTTTGATGCAGTAGACCGCACAATCTGGGAAAACATATGTTTGCTATGGCTAGGCTGCCAGCGGGAGAAACTGATAAATTAAGATGCATTACATAACTCTTTACATAATCACCTAAATCTTGCTTTTGTACTTGTAATTATTAGCATATTTACATGTTTTGCGCAGAAAAAATACTGCCTTCACTTGAAGAGATGTATGGGTGTTGCTATTCGTGTAGTGCGGCAAAATCATAAAACTAGAGCAATCACCATGGAAACCAATTAAATCACCAGGGACATTCTGTTAATGTATTTCACTTTTTCTATTAGTTTGTTAAATGCTTCTGAAATTGCTGTAATTTTGTGTACATAAATCAAAGTACTAATTACTATGCTTGATGTGGGGTTTCATAGTTTACTTCAAATGACCCATTTGTTTGACAGCAACAGATTTATCTCCTCTATTGTTCGGTTTTTGAAAACTAAAACTACTTATTTTGGTTTCATGCTCCTTTTTTATCAATTCAGAACTCATCCTTTATCATATTTCTGGTTTGAGAAAACAGTTAAATGACTGTTACTTGTAGGGGTCTTCCTAGACCCCATGTCTGCTTGCATGGTGGTGGAGAGGATGCTGGGACATGTACTTCCTGTAATCTCTCCCTCCTTGCTCTTCAGTTTACAGTAAAAGCATGACTATACATAATGAAAACACAATATATAATGAATGAAATGTCTAAACTTTCTCTAAACAGGGGGGGGGGAGAGAAAATAAGACCAATGCAGTGCATGCTGTTATGCATGATCAACCTTACCATAATTGGTACAGTAATATAACAATGGCATCCATGTAGATATCTTTACATACCAATGACTTTTTCCGTTGCAGAAAGCACACAGTATATTATGGTGGGTTCCATGGAAGTCACCGAGTCATTGTCTGGCTGTGGGACATCTTGGCCAATGATTTCTCCTCTGATGAAAAAGCCATGTTTCTTAAGGTATGGTTGTCCATAAAGCAGTATACATGCAGTCAACAACTGAATAAGCCTGCTGGTCAACTTGGGACCATTAGCAGGTGCATAACTAACTAAAGACCCCAAAGAGTGACATTGCCGCTGCATGTGCGGTGGTCTGGGGTTCAGTAGAGAGTTATACTTACCTGATGTGGTAGCTCTGCCATTTGTCAAATTATGTCAACTTGAGAATTTACCATGAGACAGAGTAAGCTCTACTTTGTCTTATTGAAATTTTTTGACTGTGTTGGAATTTGAATAAAATTCCAGCACAGTCTGCATGATCATTTCACAAACATTTTATCTCTATGAAATGTTCAATTTTTTTGGGTGTGTGTGGCGGGCAGAGCCTCTTTAAGATACTTAAATTGCCATGCCGCCACTTCCATTGCTAAACTGTTAGGATAGAAATATATAGAAAAAGTGGAGCGCAAAAATACTTATACCGATGACAGTCATCTGTATAAGTATTTTTGCGCTCCACTTTTTCTATATATTTCTATCTTAAATTGTTTTGTGCTGGGTTTTAACCCTTGGGTGTAAGGCACTAAAGTGTGTAGCGGCATTATATGTATATATATATATATATATATATATATATTTATTTTTTTTAAACATATCAATGCTTTCAATAATTGTGGGATACAAAAGTTGTTTTTTTTCCCCATTTACTCTCTTTTGAATGCCTATTTAGCGCTCTTTTTGATTTGTTTAAATTTGCTATAAACTGTTAGGATGTTGCTACAAAAATACAAAATTAAGCCCTGCGCTCACACTCCCACTACTCGTGCACGGCGGTACACCTATAGTACATATCAGCCCCAATACATAGAAGAAAAACAAACAAACACAAAAACAATTGCCTGTTGTTGGTCACAAGTGGAGTTCCTCAGCAACTGCTGGAGATGCTTCCATTTTAATGCTGTTGCTGAATCAACAAGAGACAGTCACATGCTGATTATGTTTTCTTTCAGCAGCTGTGTGCACTCTAATGAGATGATAAACAAGCTAACACACAGTAAATGTTATACAGAGTAAAGGTCAGAAATTCCAACAATCTCATTATCGATGTATATAATCTGTTTGTTCTTTTCATTTCAGTTTATTACTAGTTGTTCTCGGCCTCCACTCCTGGGATTTGCCTACCTCAAACCTCCTTTCTCAATCCGCTGTGTAGAGGTGTCCGACGATCAGGTGATATATTCATGAATAACGTTTTTTTAGTTGTCAATGTGTGGATATATGTTTAAAGTTGTGGGCATGTGTTAGAACCTTGTTCAATTGCATCATTTATTTTTTGTAGGACACGGGGGACACCCTGGGCAGTGTCCTGAGAGGATTCTTCACCATCAGAAAACGGGAGCCAGGAGGACGTCTCCCAACCTCGTCCACTTGTTTTAACCTTCTGAAGCTTCCCAATTACAGCAAGAAGGGAATCCTTCGGGAGAAGCTGCGTTATGCTATCAGCATGAACACAGGCTTTGAGTTGTCTTAGCATTTCTAATGTGACTTCCTCTTTAATTTCATACAATTTTTGGTGCCAGACGTTCCTGTGGCTCATGGCTAAGCATTGTGTTGGAAGGCCATAAAAGCAAACAATGTAAACTAAACAAAGTCACCACTTTTAAATCTGCAGTTCCCCTGCACATTTATTGTAGGATGTGATTGCACCCCTAACTGCTGCTCTTCTATTTTCATCTGACACTTGAACACGGAGAATTGCAACTGAATATATAGTGTGGACAACCTAGGCTTTCGAAATAAAGTTAAAGCAGGAAAGTGTGAATAATAATCGTTTTATGGCATGATTTAACCCATGGAGGTGATAAAACATAGCAAAGCAATTATCTTTCACTAAACTAGAAGGTTTTTGTTTTTTTTAGATAAACATTTTTGATTCCCATCAATAGATACAAAGTGTCTCATCATAATCATCAGCCTGCATAGGACCCTACTAATGATTTGGTCTCTGTCCTTGTCTACAATGATGTGTGACACTGAACAAGCAAACACTTAGTTAAACCTTATGTTAACATAGACAATTCCAGCATGTGTGAGCCATGAGCTCAACTCTGCACAATCTTGGCTTAGTTAAAATGTTGGCTCAGCTTAACAGGGTAAGCATACCCTCCCCTAGTCACATGGTTCCACCTCTAGAGAACAAAAACACTACACACGCAGATTCTGATGCTGATAGGAAAATCAGTACATTCATTTTAAAGAGAGGTTAGAATCGTCATGTTTATATTTATTTAACAGTAATGAGCTAAACAAAAAGATTGAAATGATCTGTAAGAATGAAACCCCCTTAAACAATGCATCTTCCTTGTTGCTTTCTCATTACCATCCTCATAGGGCAATGAATTAGGTCTAAATATAGAAAACTGTAGTTCCATAAAATACTAAATAAAATAAGACATTCTATGGATTATTCAAGTGATTATCAACCCTGAAATTGCTTTAGTGGACATCTAAATATGATAATGACTGAAAACCATTATGTCAATGCTCAGATAAAACATTTCTCATCGAGAATATTCTCTCTCTATTTATCAGTATATAATAGGCATTTGTACTTCTAAAATAGTACTAGCATAATGAGTGTTAAAGAGCTGTAGAAGAACTGATAATTAGTGATATCCGAACGGTTCGCCGCGGACTCATCATTGAGTAAACTTTGACCCTGTACATCACAGTCAGCAGACCACATACCAGCCAATCGGCAGCAGACCCTCCCTTCCAGAACCTCCCACCTCCTGGACAGCATCCATTGTGAAGCTGCATTCTTAGTGAGCTGTCCAGGAGGTGGGAGGGTCTGCTGCTGATTGGCTGGAATGTGTCTGCTGACTGTGAGGTACAGGGTCAAAGTTTACTCAATGACGAGTCCGCGGCGAACCGTTCGGGACATCACTACTGATAATTAATTGGATTACAACAAAACTAAACACACAATTTAAGTGTAGTCAGATAAGCTTATGTTTAAAACGTTCAGGGTCATCTGCTAAACTTGGAATTGTTGGAAATTCCTAGTTTGGGCCAAAATTTCCAAACTGGACAGCTCAACTATTTTAGTCTAAAATCTATAATCCGTTGGTGAATATTAAACTTTTTACAGTTGAAAAAGTTGAATAACCCTGTCTATTGATCAGTCACAATGCCCCCTGCTAAGAGTGTTGGTTTCTATTACTGATTTTTAGGAATGCATCTTACTAAAACAAGGATTGTATTTAAAGTGTTTGTGATCCTACATTAATAAAATAACTATATTGGATTTAGCAATAGGCAATGGCCAATTAGGAAATATTGTTCAGGACCTTATACTGTGTTTGGATGACCTCTGTGTGATATCAGCAAATATACCTTCAAAAATAGTCACTCCCAAGAAGGTGTATGGCTTTCCGAGTGCAATATCCATGTATTTAAAAAAGAAAGTTATAAATAGAAGAATATGGTACTGTAAACATATGTAAATAAATCCTAATATTTGTCTGATCTTCTCTGTGTGACTTGTTTTAAATGGCTTTCCTGAATCTTAGCGCCCCTCTTTTGTTTACAATCGTGCTAAATACAGTATCATTTTAATAACAGTGGCAAAGATTCATTGTAGTGCATTGTATCTGTTATGACTGTAATAAACTGCGGGTTTTTTTCTATGCAGTCTGTTTTGTTTATATTAACGGAATGTACAGTAACAACTTTATCTGGGGCCTACTGGGCGCACAAGACCACATCCCTTGTATCTATTCTTTGCCTGTAAGAGAATCCTCTTAAATCATAACCAATACAGCACTCAGGGTATGGGTAGCCCATCAACCTTGCACATAAGTGTAGTGGTATGACATGCAGCCCTCATGAGCAGGCACAAATTTTAACAATGTAGTAGATATGCCTTTGCAAGCCCTCCCCTATTTCCAACACAGACTTTGAGTTGTGTTGGGGAAAACAGCAATTAAAGGCTTCTCATTGAGAGGTCTATGTGCAAGCATGCACACACTCACATTCAAGGCTTTCCAATGCTTCTTAATAGGTTGTAGTACAGCTCAATTAGAAGAGGGGGAAACAAGGCACGCTCTAGCTTTGCACGTCTGCTGCTTCCTTTAGTTCTGTGGAGCTTACTTAGACAGCCAGGGATGTGTTTCTGCTTCAATTATAGAATTGTTGATATCTATTGAAATCTGCACTTTTATAAACAGTCATGAATATGACAGACTCATACTTTGTGTCTGAAGTGTTCCTTTAAAGTCACAATAACCCGCGCTCTGGGCAGAACTACGGCTGCAAAGAGAGCTTGTCAGACTCCTCATAATGGGTGGACACCACACCCAGTAAAGTGAGCTGCAGTGGTTGTGCTGCTTGGAGTGGCCCTCCGACCCTAGTAGTACTGAATTAAGCATGTCCAAAAGACATGACTCAATAGACCTTATTGGCCAAGCTGTTACCTGTAGTGGACGATATTCAAGGTTAAAGAAAAACTATAGTGTTAGGAATACAAAGCTGTATTCCTAACACTATAGAGCCCTCTGGCCCTCCTCCTCCATCTCCCCCTGCAACATAAAGGGTTAAAAAAAACTTTCATCACTTATCCAATTCCAGCGCTGAGGTCCCTCAGCGCTAAATCACTCTCCTCGTCCTCTGTCATCAGATGTGGGTGGACCTAATGCGCAAGAGCGACGAATGACACCGATACATTAGGCCTTCCCTATATAAAGAATTGCCTCAGTGTTTTCTTTGAAGCTGGACGTCCTCATGCAGAGTTACTCTTATTACTCTCTTAATATCTGACATTAACTGTATTAACCTGTTTCTTATCTAAAAATGGGCACTTCTATTACATGCCACAGTATTATGCCTCTTGAAATGCCTGTATTTGGTGTGGCATAGCAAGCTTGTCTGTCAAACTTTTGCACAAAAAAAATAATTATATAAAAAAGAAGCAAGTATCTCTTTTTTTTTATCCCAGTATATACTGTTTTTAATATTTGTGTTTTTTTTTTATACATTATCTTTGTAATACATTACAAAATTAATGGACCACTTACCGCCTTCAGTGCCACTTTAAGTCATAGCACATACACACACACACATATATATATATATATATATATATATATATATATATATATATATACAGACCTATCCTGCAAATTGCTTTATTATAAGTTTTGCTTTGAGAATGTACAATCATTTTGATTTTTTTCTGTATATTTGCTATGGGTGCCTATTCATAAAACCCTTCCTAACTTGTCACAAGATTTGCTAAATTATCCCTTCACATGTATTGTTCTTCCCTTGGATGTAACGGATTGGCTTTTGTAATCTGGAACACACGAACAAATGCTTCCTTCAGGGCTGTAATCAGTAAAATAAATGGCAACCTCTAAGCTTCATTTCATCCAATTAAGCTTTGAAACTTTTTTTTTTTTATAAGCATTCCTTATTAAGAGAACCTCATTACTACCCTAATTACACCATCCTAATTCTGAATACAAGTTCATCCACATCTGATCCACATTGTTAGGTATCATCTAATTGTAGCAAAGTCTTTAGCTTTAACCTAAATGTTTTTATGCCAGATATTCTAATTTCTTTTTTTTTGTCATCAAAGTTACATGATCTTTTATTACCACCTCTCATTCAGATTGAAGCTGATGTCCCTGATTGAACCAAAAGGTCCGTTCACTAAACTCTGAATTTTAGCAAATTAAATACAAATTGTAAAAATCAGACTGAAATAGCAGAGTTGGAGATTGCTTCCAGAGCAGCTATGTTTGCCTTAATTTTGGATTTAATCTGCTAAAATTTGGTGATCAGTGAATAATATTCATACATAGACTAAACAGACTAAAATTAAATAATCTAGCACTGAGTTATGATTTTCTAATTGACTGGTTAGCATTATTTACTAAACAGTGAAACGAATTTCAAATCACAAGCCAAAATAGCTTTAATGTAAAACAGCAGAATTGGACAGTTTTTTTTCCAGTTTACCTATTTTGAACTTAAATGTTAACTTGCATAATCAATAGCTGGTTTAATGAATAATGCTGTTGACATGGAAATATAAAGAACTGATAAGATAATTCCAGCTTTCCGTTGTGTTTCCAGTTTGTCAATTTAACAAATTACTTCTTTGGTGAAGAGTCATCAAGTGGTTAATATTCCCAAGGGTCTGTCATTGAGCTCATTAGAATGTTCTATCTCTAAGGCCAACAAAGCAGTGAATTTTGAGTAAATATGTGTTAATTAATCCCACCCAGCCAACATCCAAACAGGATCAGTTTATTAGCTGATTGGATAAATCACCATAGAACGTTGATTGGTTTGGCTGTGAACAAAATATTATTTTATTTCTAAAGTGGTACTCTATTATTATCTAACAGGTATTCATGAGCCCAGTCATAAACATGCCAATTTGTTTCAAATACCCATCTAAGTGTTGAGTGGCCGCCTGGTCCATCAGATGGGGTTATATTTAGTGACTAAGCACACCTTGCATTGAGGATCTCTTATATGTAAGTACAAATATCATTATAGACCTAAAGTAAGGGGATTGAGGTGATTAAGAAGACCTGGTACCCACAACAATGGGTTTTCAGTGACCCAATAAATTCTGTAAGTATGTGTATATATTCTAGTTAAGAATTCAAAATTTTCCTTTTTTTTCTCGTATGTGTCACTCATTGACTTATTTGATCTCCCTTAAAGGATTATTGGAGTTCTAGAAGCTCAGTTGAGTTAACTTTGAGAATCGGTACAACATAATGTATTCTATCTGAGATTACCCTTTACCTGCACACTGTTAAAACCCTTATTCCTTTCAGTCACTTATTTAATCGGAAAAAAAATTCAGCCATTTTGACCTGAAATTTGTCAAAAACAGCAGACTGTGAACTTCTCTAATTTCACTATTGTGGCTTATAAATTGAATTTCACTTTGAATCCCTAATAAGGGTTTATTCAGCAAAATCTAAATGCCCCCATTCCAGCTCACAAATCATCTAAACTTTACCAAATAAAGTGCTTAGTAATTTAAAATGTGTGACTTGGGTTTATACAATAAACTCTGAATTGTAGCAAACTGAAAAATGTAATTTTGAAAAAATTTAAATTTCAAAATACTGGCTAAAGAGGCTATAGATGACTTGAAGAATTTTCCTAAACGGATTACTCTGGCCTGAATTTGGCATTGTGGTTCTCAAAGTGACGAGTTAGTGAATACAACCCTTAGGTCTAATCACTTACAGAGTAATTCATTAGAGGAACACTCCAAGCACCATAACCAGTACATCACACTGTAGTGGTTATGGTGTCAAGATTGTCCAGCTGCACCCCCATTGTAAGTAGCTAGCTGATTGTAGTATATAGTGCTTGGAGCATTCTTTAAGCACCAAATGTTGGCAAGTTTTAAAGGGCCAATCCACACCCACAAAGCATTCCAGCTTGCTGAAATGCCTTATGGGTAAGGAGTATCCCATTAAAAGGCACTCTGAGCCAATGGAAGTGGTAGGTGAGCATTACTTGACCGTGCTGGCTATTTTGCCGTTAAGACAATGTTAGTGTCTTCTGGCATTAAAGGGGTGGGCTTTCAGAAACTGCATTTCACAAGAACTGCAGCTTTTGCAAGATCGTTTAAGATATACCCCAATAAATACATGCATGTAGGTTTATCTACTAAATAGTGACTTGTTTATTTTAGAATTTTAAGTCTAAATCTAAAAAAAAATAGCAAAAAACCTTTAACTTGGCAATTTTAATCTAAAAATTTCCATTCAAATTTGAAATCCCTACTATTTGAGTTTCAGGAAATATTCCCTGTTTATGCAGAATCTGTTTTCATAAATTGTCGAATTCAGTTCGGCTGACCTGATTCCCAGTGGAGGCTCATCCATAGAGGCACATTGGGCAGTGCCCCACCAGTTTTTATGTGGGGGGGATGGGGGAAGGTTTGCAATTGTTTAGAACACTAATATTCTTTTTCTGCGGAAAGGGGAGTAATAAAAAAAAAAAAAAAAAAATGAAAATGCAGCAGTAGGGCTGTTACTTGGAAAATGACTTCAATCTATAGAGACTGTTGCTTATGTTAACCATGTCAGCTACTTCTTGGCTCCGTATTAATATTGCAGATTACTTGTATTACTAGATGCATACTGTTTCATCAACGGCAGCAACATTCACTAGAGGGCTGTATTTGGCATAGCAGGTCACAGTACTGAAGATTGTTGATCAGCTTGAAACCTTTGCTACAGTGATGGTTGGTAAATGGTCCCAATAAGGCCTCTTGATAAGGGCGAATCTTAATCCATTATTAGTCTTCACTTCCTAGTATGACTTTTTTTTTTGTCTTGAAACATTTTAAAGGGACAGCAACTCCTAAATAGTAATAGCTTTAATAGAAACTGGCATCCAAAGACCTGTTTACTGGTGTCAGGGTAGTTCAGTAAATCCAGAATTGTACTGTATCAAAATGTGAGTGGCAGATTTTACACAGAATAGCCGATGCAAAGTAAACCTCCAACTCTGCTATAGTCACATGTTGGCTGTTTTACCCTCCTTTTGCGATTTAAATGCTTTGATTTTATAGAGTCTCGTGTTATAGTGGATCAACATCTGTGTGTTAAGGGAGGGTAGGAGGAACATCATGCTAAACTACAAAATGTAACACTAAAAATCTCAGGGTTTTACAACAATTTTTATTGCTATATATTAATCCACCTGTTTTTATATTGTGTGATAACCCATTGTACAGCGCTACGGAATCTGCTGGTGCTATATGAATAATACTTATAACAAACTACCTTTACATTGTAACACTTTTTTATGTATGTTCCTTTGAAAAAGGGGGGGTAAAAAACAACCTAACTTTTCAAGGGTGGCTATTCGAAGTGCCATTTGTATAAAATCCCTCTTATATGCACTAGTTACTAAACCCTTTTAGTCCTAAAACTATGCATTTAAAATGTCGTTTTTTGTTTGTTTGTTTTTGTTACACTCTGTTTATAACTTGACATGGGAATCACAAGAAGGTGGAAGAAAAGCCATGAATAACACAAGCAGCTCCCCTTCGCCAGCTCGCTGGTTTAGGGTTTTAAGAAGGTAAAATCTGTCGATAACCATTTTCTCTATCTGTAAATATACCACCTTCCACCTGGAATGCACTCATGTTCCAATGGTATCCTGTGCATAGCTGTGTACTGATCAGTAATTTGTATGATCATTTGTGGGTACATCCTCAATATAATTTTTGTTTTGTTTTTTACATTTTTTTTATTTAGAGCTTTTATAAGTTGTTTAGCAGAGCATTTATTTATTCCAGTTTACTCTAAGTAGAAGCTCCTGGTTTTCTGATCAGCTTATCTTGTTCGTTTTAGTGTGGTTATTTATTTATTGTCCTGTTTAGATAATTTTTGGTATACCCTTTTGTCCAGTTTCATTGCAATACTGAATACCACATCTCTCCTTTCAGTGAATTTATTTTTATAAAAAAAGAATGGGGGGGAAAAACAAAATATTTTTTATATATATATATATATATATTCCATACCTCCCAAGAACATAGTTTTATGATTTCTAAACACATTTATTGTAATTTTAAAGACTAATTTACTGTACTTCTAAAAAAGGGACATATTTTGATATCTAGAACTTTTTTATTTAATTTTTTCTAAAATAAATAAAAATGATCAGCCTGTCAAAAGAAAAACCTAGTTGGTTTGTGAGCAGACAAAGTAAAGGCTCAATGAAGACATAGCCATCACGTTTTCTTGATTCCTCCAGATCAAGGTCTGAGAGTAACAGGAAGTCCTCTTCCTCCCTTCTCTGTGAGGATGTTTTGAGAAGAGCACGAGATGCTTTCACCAGTGGGAAAACCAAACCATACTCATTTAGGCTCTTACAACTCAAGGCCATATTACAGATGCTGGAGACCCATGAGGAGGACTTTGTTGATGCTCTGGACAAGGATATGCACCGGGTCAGTATTTTAACCAAACTATTTAACCCTAGACATTGAGATGAACCTGAAAAAATCTTGTCACAAACTGGTTTTGCTAAATTAGTGTTAAAACCTTTTGTTACTCCTCTCATAAAAACCTTTTATTTATATAAACTTCACACATCATATATTCATATACTGCATGCAGATCAATATAGAGAACAATAATCTAGGTCAGGGGTAGGCAACCTACGGCACTCAAGGTGTCTTTGCACGGCCCTCAAGGCTGCTACAGCCAAACAGGCTCTGGCCTATCAGGAGTCCCAGTGAAATTTCAGATATCTGCTAATACGAAAAGGTGGTGAAGGACAATCCTCAATTTATGCATTGCAGCACATAGAGTAAGTGATCTCAGATCACTTCCTCCCAGCACTTGTGAATGGGAATCCACACTGTAGTAGAGCAGCCTGCAGCTGCTGTTGCAGCCCCTGTCATTGACCTGTACCTGGTCCACATTGGAACCCAGGGAAGCCACACAGAAATGCAGAATAACCCTCCCCTCATACAAATACCTATGAACCGCCCACAAACAAACATACACACAATCCACATACATGCACACAATTCTACATGCAGCCTCCCACATGCAATACCCCAAACAGCCCCCACGCATAAACACACTACCAAACACAAAATGTAACATCCATCCACATACACAATTCCACAAGCAGCCCCCATACACAGCCCACATTCATATGTATCATACACGATACTACAAACTACTCAAGAACATATACAATATAATAGCTCATATACGCACAAATACAACGATACAAAGCAATTACAGTATAAATAACACAAGCAGAATACACACCTCCAATTTAAAAAAAAAAAAAAAAATAGGACCGACACGCTACGGGACATCACAATCCTAAATCGGCACAGTGCTGCTAAAAGGTTGCCTACCCCTGATCTAGGTTTCAAAAGACTTGGTTCAAGCTGCCACATTTTTGTTTCTGTGATCGATACATAATGGCATAATCTGTATTTTTGAACTTAAGGAGATATAATGCTGGGTTGAAGCAGAAGAGTGAGTGTGTGTGTGTACAACATTGTAGCTGTAAGATTTGTCATCATAGCGCACATTTTTGACTAGTGTGCCTTCATGACTGCATGTGGGAGTTTATATTTTCATCTTTTAAGACATTAAATTTTTACAATGTGCAAAATATTTTTTGACGTCTCTTAGGGTGATATATATAATATAATTTATATCTCTATCAGATAAAATTTGTATCTTGTAATACTTTTTTATTGGACTAACAGAATTTTTTAATGACAAGCTTTCGGGAGAACCTCCCCTTCTCAACTCTGAAGCATTTCTGAGCAAGACGAATTCAAAGTTGAGTTGTAATAAAGGAGTTAAAGCGACATGAGTGCAGATAAGACACAGGTTTGATTGAAAATAGAGAACATTCTTGCAGAGGGTCGTACATCTTTCTGAAGATCAGAGTGAGGAGGGAGAAAAACCAAACAAGCAGACAGTGCAGAAGGTGTGTGTGTGTGTGTATATGTATGTATGTATATATGATATATATGCGCAAACAATACATACTCATATGCACAGTCACATATAGAAGCATGCATTAGAGTATCGGAAAGCATAGTACTATATATAGAGATACGAATTTTATAGTGTTTTTTTTTTTTTTTTTAAAATTATAACAGTCCACGTGCACGCCCACACACATAAATAAGCATAGGAAGCTTACACACAAGGCCACTATATACATGGCAGCAATAAAAAAAAAAAAACCCTACCTTTTCTCTGAAAAAGCAGCATTTCCATTGAAAAGCCTGCAGGGACGGGCTATAGACACTAGATCCATTGTACAAGTTTTGGAAAACCTCTTTAGTCAGGTTGTGATCCTACTCCAGTATGTGTTGTATATTTATTTGGGTCAATCAATACAATGTTACTGCTGCTTTAATTCAGGAAAAAAATACAATATGATAACTTGTGATGTATATTATAAGACTTTTGGTGTAATAATTGCCTTGTGTCTGTGTATAATCTTTTTATTTTACAATTTATTTTGTGATGCCATTAACACTGTCTTGAATAATATTGCAAACCTTAATAATCAACTGACTGTTGCGCTACTGAAATAAGGGAGATTTATTGTCAAACTATATGAATCTTTTGGATGTCTAAAATATTATTATGAATGTGGAAGAAGTGCTTCAGGATATACGTATCCACATTATTTATTCTTTTAGCCCAGGTTCGAGACGGTGCTGTCAGAAATCATCACTGTGAAGAATGAAGCCCTGTATGCTATGAAAAACCTGGAGAAATGGATGAGTCCTGAGCCTGTCCAGAAGAACATGGTGAGTTAAATTCATGCAGCTAATGAATCCGACTTTATTCTGTGTCCTAGAACTAAAACTCCGCTTTGAAAGAACACTATAGTCACCCAGACCACTTGATCTCAATGAAGGAAGGTCTTGAATTTCTAATCCTGCATTAAACGTTGCAGTGTCTTAGATTCCAATGTTTACTTTGCATAGTTTAATTTAATTTATTTCGTGTTTTTTTTTATTTTTTTTATTAAAGGTGTATCATTATACAGCACATTAAAACAAGGCCTATATAGGCAATAAGAGAAAGCATACATTGGCGTAGAAGAATCTTAAAACTGTGTCTACATTGGCAATGAAAGAAAACGTATAGTAGCTCCACTACCCTGACTGGGTATATCCAATTAATATTCCACGTAGCTGGAAGAGGCGCTGTTTAGTGACTTATAACCCTTCTCACCCCCACGTCCCCCCAAAAACTAGACAACACATAGTTCTGGGAGTACAACTGATTTTTATTGTGAAGGTACAGTCTTTTATACACGGTCCCCCAGCAAGGGGCCCCTATTCCACTCAGAGTAAGGCTGCCCTGGTGCCTCTGATTCTGGGATATAATTGAGTTACCCCCTGCATAAAATAATTATCTCCTGGATACAGAGGACACAACATGAAAATACCCCCCCAACACACAAAAACAAGCAGAAAAAAAAAATATATATCTATCTCTATCTCTATCTCTATCACACACCAGCCATGATGGCTGATCCAAGTTGGCAAAATAGTGCCCGGATCCATTGAGAATAGACAAATTGCCACCAGACCAAAATTTTGACCGGCCGCTAGCAAAGTTCATGCAGAGAATATTTCCATAGTAAATGTTCCTTTTGGCCAGTCAATAATCGGGGGCTCCACCTGTCTTGGTACTAGGTCCTGCTGGGGGCCTCGCAGCTTTCTGGAACCGAATGCCTGCCAGAAAAGAGGCACTTTCGGGTGTTCAGCATGGAGGGGGGAAAAGCACTGAGCTAGGGGGAGTGCTATAGGGGGAAAGAACTTTGTCAGATTCCCAGCAAAGCAGGGACAGAAAAAAAAAAGGCGGTAGGGCTTGCGTGAAAAGCCCCCACTCTAGAACCATCGGGAGTGAATCCAGGTGCCCCTGGGGGAGCTAAATCGAGCAGGGAAGAAGGGGACCTATAGTCCCAAAAGAGCGATTAATTTTTTTTTTTTTTTGGGGGGGGAGGAGGGGGTTTATAGGTTTCTTTTTAGTATTGGCTAAAATATTTTTACACTTCAGCTCAAGTAATAATAAAAAAAAAATAGCTTTTGGATACCAACCCCTTTTTATTTAAGTAATTCACACAATCCCCTCTTAATTTCACAAGGAAGAGCTGGCATAGGGCATTTGCCCCTAGTCCAGTAGCATGTGAGGGCTGGCATGGAACGTGTGGGATTCAACCACACACTGTCTTTCTGGAAGTTGAAAATGTGCATGGAATGTCTTTTAGAAGAGTACTTGGACTGTCCCACTTAATATTCCCTATTGGACTGTAGTAGCTGAGCTTGACCAAGCAGCCGGACTAAGGAAAATATGTAAGATATCCCTGAAGGTGGTGGTTTGCAAGCAGCTTCTGAGATAAGACATAATGTTCATAACACACACACCAGTTGTCATTTAAGGCAGTGACTTAATGGGAAGCGGAGTCTGGGTCTCCTATGCATGCACAGTTTGCTCACTCATGCAGGTTATACTGATGGAGGTTCCAGTGATATGATCTATTACATGTGACAAATCCAGCAGTCTCCATCCAACAAACCCATGCATCTCTTGTGCACTGTGTCTAGGACCACGCACACCGATCTGTATGTTCTTTTGCGCAGGGGGTACATTTTGTGCACACCAACTGTTTCCAGCCCTTCCCTGCACCCACACATTCACTTGTCAAATTGCAATATGTATAAAATTGTATTTATGGGGAAAAAAAGAGTTGAAACTTGGGCTTAAAATTGCAGCTATAAAGGACTTGAAGGGAACAGCAACAGGCATCATAACTTTTGGAAAGAACACTAGAGATTATAGTATTTGACGTGTACCTTTTTTAGAAAGCTGAGTAAGTAAGAGGCCAGGTCTATGCTGGAGGAGGGGGAAATGTTAGTACACATTTTATGTTCTGAACCAAGCAATATTATGAATGTAAGATGTGCCGCCCCCTCCCATCAAGCGATCGGTCTATTTCTAACTGTTTATAGTTTATCAGATGGATGTTCTGTAAAATGAATATGAAAACGCCATACTATAGGTTTGTTACATTGGACATGATATGTTTATATAAACTGGTAATCTCACAATGTTGGGCGTCTAGATCCCATTATTCCTTCTATCTTTGTGCATTTCTTCTGCAGGTCTCCCTCCTTGACAACTGCTTTGTGCAAAAGGAACCTGTAGGTTTGGTCCTGATTGTCGGTGGCTGGAGTTTCCCAATTGAGCTCAGTCTTATCCCCATGATTGGAGCAGTTGCTGCTGGTGAAATTACATTCCTTCGCAATATGCAATATGATTTCTTTGTACAGTCTAAGGCAAAATTAATGCCTAGAGATAGCAATACAAGAATAGTGTTTATCCTAATAAATTAAAATAAAAAATATAGAAATTTTGAGCCATAATAAATATATAATGGCTCAAAATTTCTACTAGTCACTGGCAAGTGAAAATCTAGCTTTGCAAGTAGAAATTCACCACTGATTAGTGTGCCATGGATTCTCCAAGCTTTCAATGGCGATTAACGTTTAAGTCCTGGCTTGTACTTGGCAGGACTTTAAAAATCTCAAATTGGCACATACATGGGACTTTCAAACAGTGCAGTCTATCTTAATCCAAAAAAATGAAGCATTACAGATTGACCAACCACGGTTGGTTCTCAAATTGTATACAGTAAAACTGTAATAGTATATGTTGCAGACCACCTGGTAACCCGACCAATTTTACTTCCGCTAGTTCCCTTCCTTCAGCCGATCAGAAACTCTACATGGTTAGAGGACTTGGCTCAATGCGCTCCCATGGCTGGTGGGCACTCAGTCCTGGAAGCTCTTAGTCCTTACAAGGACTTTCACCGCTGCATCCCCTGCAAGCTGGAACAGCAGACGCAGGGGTTAAATCTTCCTTCTCTCCAGTAACCAGAGGAAACACAGTTCTGTAGGTTAAAATAGTGACAATATTTATTTGGAACACACAGCTTTTATGCACAGACCCCTGCAGGGGTCTCCATTCAGTTCAATACAATCCCAGGCAGGAGGGGATTGGGTTACAGATGGCAATCTCCTGCTCTGGGAGATGCCAACCGTACACAGGGACACACATTAAAACATATTCCAAACGGGGGGTAAGGGAAATCCTTTTGTGGCTCTGCGCCCCGGGAAGGGGTCACATAGATAAAACCTATATCACTAGATAACCCCAGGTGCCATCTGGGATCCCTGCAAAAAGCGGGACGATCGAATGTACAGAGCCCGAGAAATCAGCATCTAAAGTCTGGGACTCGCGGCTCCGTACATCCCCGAAATTAGTTCCATGAAGTTGCTTGGTTTAGTCCGGCGAATTCAAACTTCAAGCCTAAACCAAGCACCAACCAATCAGCTGAAAGGAGCAAAACCAAATTGTGCCAATCAGATCAAAGGGAGAAGAGGGGGTTCGCTGCCCAATCAGGAGAAAGGGCGCAAAACCCTGTTTGAACAGGCGCTCCTTCTATGATTGGTCTCTGCGGGGCGCAGGTGACCAATCGGCATTCACTCGTGCCGGCCAATCAGGAGAATGGCGCAAACCCAATTTGAATGGGCGCTCCTTCTTCCATTGGTCGGCACAGACTTCCAGGCGGCCAGCGGGACCCCTGTGGCTGTGTAGCCGACTCATAGCTCCAAGGATTCTGCTAGGGCTGGCGCCTCCAGCAGTTACCTCCATTTAGGCAGCCCCGAAGAGGCGGGTGGTCCCCTTTTCGGGAGACGAACCAGTTCTGTTTGTATGAGCTCTCCCAAACGGGGAGCAGGTAATACACACATACATCACAATTACATGGGGGAACACAGAATACAAGGGAAAATCATGGGAATAAGCATTGGGAACACAAAACACAAGGGCAAAATATATGAATATTCTGCGGGCATGGTACTTGGTTGCACAGAGAGCATGCTTTAAAGCCCTCAAACTTTACACTATTTTCTCTCCATCGTAGGTAACTGTGTGGTTTTAAAACCTTCAGAAACCAACTCTCACACTGCAAATCTGCTGCGCATGCTACTTCCAGAGTACATGGACACCGTGAGTACTGGAGGTTTGATGGGTATAACGGTCACCAACTAAAATGTTTGCAATCCATCTAAAACCTTGTGCCCAAATGCACCTTTTGAACATGCTATCAAGGCTGAACAAGGCCATCCTATAAGATAAGGCCAGGGACTAATGAAAGTATTTAGAAAATTGGGCAGACTAGATGGGCCGTGTAACACTATGTCAGACCACCTTCTATTGCTTTCCTTTTTTTAACTATGCAAGTAGTGTTATCTGATTTACCTTACCATGCCTCTTATATCCTTACAGTGCTGTTATCCTGTCATCAGTGAAGAGCATGGTGACCTCATGGAAGTTCTAGAGAACACATTTGACCATGTATTTTACATAGGTAATGTTATACTCAGTCTTGTCTGGCTTTCATAAATCCAGGATGGTCATGGTATATTAAATAATGGTATGGAAAATATTTTTGCTTGCCGTCAACAAGTTATAGTCCATTGTACTCACACATAGAATATGCGTGTGTCATGTAACTTCTGATTGTGTTAAAATATCAATTAAATTCCAAAATGTTGAACATGAGTTTTTCTAAGGAATTTTAACGATGACCGCGTTCTATTAATTCTACTTCAGCCATTACAGATACTGCAAGTGCTTATATATTTTAAATAAATTAATGACTTGGTTTTAAATGGGGAATATAAAACTAGAATTGCTAGAGTATACAAACATTGGTAAATTGCAACATACAAGAGCAACTTGAAACCTTTTGTCACTTGAGTGATTTCTGGCAAAACTCCTTTTTTTTTTTAAAGGTTTTATTTATAGAAGGTCTTCATAATCTGTATATGTGCTGTCTTGCTATGTGCAGGTGACCGCACGATTGGCAAACAGGTGATGCAAGCTGCAGCCAAATACCTCACCCCTGTGACCATGGTTCTGGGTGGAAAAAATCCTTGCTACATAGACAATTCATGCGACATAATAACGGCTGCTCGTAGAATTGCATGGGCTCGGTATATTAATTCTGGTCAGAATTCACTTGCTCCAGAATATGTTCTATGTCATCCAGATATTAAGAACAGACTCATCAATGAACTGTGCTATTGGGTCCAAGACTTTTATGGAAAGAATCCACAGGAATCTCCTCATTATGGTCGTATGGCAAGTACAGAACATTATCGTCGTGTAAAAGACTTGTTGTCATCCGGTCAGGTGGCTTTTGGAGGACAGACTGATGATGGTGAAAGGTACATAGGTGAGGGTTTTTGGTGTGTCCATAATGCACTAGGGTGAATGTATGTACCACAGACAATGCATCTGAAGCATGGTTAAGCTATAGAGCAGGATTTTCTCTAAGGCAGACTAAGCATTTGCTTAAAGAGCCAAATGTTAAGGACACTGACAGCAAAAAATTGGCACACTTCCTGTATGATGCTGTTCAGTTCAAGACATGCTGCTTATTGCGCACACAAACCCATCTACTTTCTGCCTAATTACAAAATGGTAATCTTGAGGGATTTTAATAAACATGTGTGTTCCTTTCCACAGTAATAACTCTAAACACTAATGTACTCCTCAAATTCTTCATGGCCATTCAATCTAACCCCACTAGAAATCTGCCCCTCTGTGTCTCTCCCCCAGGTCCTCCGTGTGTTTCTCCTTGAGTGACAGGCCTTGTCGCAGCTGTACCCCTTGCAACTGTGGTAGTTTTGCAATTGCGTAATGCTGACTTTGTGCATTGTGCCAGTGCTCTTGCTGTTTTTGTACTTTTTACATCTCCACATCCTATCATCGGGTAACCTCTCTGCTACACTCACTATATCAATCTTTCTCTGTCCCAGAATGCATACCAGGAACAAGCAGTCTGTTTACTAGTAAGAGAAGGAAAGGAGTGAACAAATGAGTCCTGAACAGAGGATTCCGTTTCTGAATTCTTAGAGATGAGAGCTGTGGGGTTTGGAAGACGGACATATAGACTCTGTTGAGAGCTTGAAGAGCGAGAGATTGTAGTAGAGTAGATGTATTCTTAAAAATGTATCTTGAAAGTTCCCCTCCAGCAACACCTCTGCCAGTTACAAAAAACGTGGGAGGTACGGCTCTAGTGCCTTCTATCAGAAAAGGTCTGTAATCATATCCAGGCCCAGTATGCTCTTAAAGGACCACTCTAGGCACCCAGACCACTTCAGCTTAATGAAGTGGTCTGGGTGCCAGGTCCTTCTAGGGTTAACCCATTTTTTCATAATTATAGCAGTTTCAGAGAAACTGCTACAATTATGAATGGGTTAAGCCTTCCCCCTAATCCTCTAGTGGCTGTCTCATTGACAGCCACTAGAGGCGCTTGCGTGCTTCTCACTGTGAAAATCACAGTGAGAGCACGCAGCGATCCATAGGTGGCGTGTGATGCTTTCCTATGAGACCGGCTGAATGCGCGCGCTAGTCTTGTGGCGTGCGCATTCAGCCGTGGGGCATAACGGAGGAGGAGAGCTCTCCGCCCAGCGCTGGAAAAAGGTAAGTTTTTACCCCTTTCCCCCTTCCAGAGCCGGGCGGGAGGGGGACCCTCAGGGTGGGGGCACCCTCAGGGCACTATAGTGCCAGGAAAACGAGTATGTTTTCCTGGCACTATAGTGGTCCTTTAATCCTGTTGGAGCAGCAGATGTCTTGTTGTTTTTGTGTAGTTCCCTTTTATATGAGATATTGTATCACATCACCATGCTCTCCATGTAAAGATTTACTGGCTGGGCACTGAACATGGGAGTCTGGTCAAACTGCAGTTCTAAAAGATCTTCAAAATATTTATGCGACTCTGTGCTAGTTTTTTATATTCCTATAATTATTACTTATCTAGAATATAATTTTAATAATAAACAAGTGGTCAGGATGTGTAATGCCTTTAAGAAAAAAATTGTGAATTTACCCCTTTGTAGTAAATGGAAATGTCAATATGTCTGTCTTGCAGCTCCAACAGTGCTGACGGATGTACAAGAGTCTGATGCCATCATGGAACAAGAAATTCTTGGGCCAATCCTACCGATTTTCACAGCACAAACCCTCGAAGAAGCAATAAGTTTCATAAACAAAAAAGGCAGACCTCTTACTATATACGTATACTCAGGCAATCCAGAGGTATGTAGCTTGAGAGGACACACTCAGACCTCAAATATTCCATAAGTGCATGAATATAATTACAAACCTGTTTTATTTTAGCATATTTGACTATCCTCAGTGTAAATAATATACTATTTTGTCAGTTATACGATCTGTGCACATTATCACAGATGTTACATTATATTTGCTATGTTTTTTTTTTTTGTTTTTTGTTTTTGTGATTAATTCACAAACCTGAATAGACCCATCATTTTTACAATTTTGTATCCTGGATCAAAGGCAAAAAATGAGCATTATGGTTTGGGCATCCATCACCGAAGGAGCTGTAAAGCCTGTGGATTTATAACAAATGCAGAAACATTAATTTATTTATTTTGGACTGTTTGAGTATAATATGTATTCATTAATCCCTTCCTCATATACTCTGTATGTGATATGTTGCTGTCATGAATATCATTAGCAAGTGGGTTTAAATGTCTCTAATATGGCTTTTTGATGGTTTGGAGGCAAAATGGTTACATGAATGTCAAAATGCAGATCATTAAATACCCTGATGGGCCTACTTTATACAACATGCACTTTTTAAAAATTTTTGTGACTGCGATTAAAGTTAGTGTCAGCACGCATCATTTATCTAAGGCTTGCCATTTTTGTTCTATAGCCTCCAAAATCAATTGAAATTGTACACGAGGCAATCTAGACTAATAAGTGAATCCATTTTTGAGTGTGTCTCTCTTCCCCTGCTGCTTATTTTTATTTTTTTAGTAGTAGTACTAGTATGTTATGAGCAAAACTTTGAGTTCTCCTATTTCAGTGTTTTTGTTCATAACTAGTATTGCGTTAAGACCACTATCACCAGAATTTAACTTTTTTTTTAAACTTTGTTTTTTAGTATAAGAATCATTGCACCATGTAATGAAGAGATGACTTTTTATATTTTTAAATGAAGTAGATGTAGATATATTTGAAACATATTTATTTCACAGAATTCTTGTCCCCTCTGCCACATTCATACACCTTTTGGTAGGACTACCAAATCTAACCATTTTGGCTCCTGCCTCACTCCCTGCACCGAACGGTGACATCAACTGCAATCACCCTGTGTCGTCTGCCTAGTCCGAATTTCAACCACATTGGCAATTCTCATATTTGCTAAAGCCAGACGCGTTCAGAATTTGGTTGGTTCCTCATTGGTACCGATGAGGAAATCCTTTTTTTCCCGAACTTATTAGAACCAATCTACAGCACCGGATTAGCAAATTATCATTCACTTGAGAGATAAGTAGTGTGTCTCAAGTGAATGATATATATTCATGAATTGGCCCCAGCAACACTTAATCTTCATTTGTATTAAATCCCCTTGACTGGCATGTGACCTTCAGTGTGCCATTGCTAAGGACATCCCCTCTGATGGTATTTACACACCGAGCTGACCTCGAACTCTGTTTTCAGGTCATATCACAAATCATGTGCTGCACCTCAAGTGGAAGCTTCTGCTCAAATGACAACATGATCCAGAACTTGTATACAAGCCTGCCATGTGGGGGTATAGGTGAGAAAAAGCCACAAAGTTTGAAAAGAGATAACCGGATGAAAGATCATTGTACATTTCTATGGTTTATTTTCTACTCAATTGTTCCTGCTTAAAGTTGGTGCAGTTTTAGCCTGATTTGGGAGAACTAAGAGTTATGAGTGACATTCCCATTTTATGTATCAGGGAAATTGGATGTCATTTAGCTCTTTGACTAATCAAATTGTGGGGGGGGGGGGAGGAAACTGAATTTGAATAAGTGACCCTCACCTGACTTCTGTTAAGCACTTATGCAATATGCCTTTGTAGATGTGTACAAGCAATGATGGATACAATGCTTTCCTTCCAAAAGTGAGTGCAAATTACCAGCTGATTTAATATGTCTGGGGAGTTTACTTAATTTCGATATTTATTTTATTTCTTCCTTACTGCAACAGCATGTCCGTAATTTACACTTATTAATTATCTTATTGAAACTTGTATACATATAAAAAATTTCAAAATCTAGAACAAGGCTCAGATCTTGCAGAGCGTTATCTATAGAGCAATCTTTTCTCCTAAATGTACTTAAATTATTTTTTTTTCTCTTCCAGGAAACAGTGGTGTAGGGATCTATAAAGGCAAATATAGCTTTGATACTTTCTCTCACAGCCGTGCCTGTGTGTTAAGGAACAACATTGTTGAGTGTGTCACTTATCTTCGCTACCCACCCTATGCAGAAAAAACACTTCGGCTCATGAAATGGGCCTGCACTCTTTCCAAGAAGAAAAATTCCAATTGGTGCTCCATCTTATAACTGCAGCTGAGGAAATGATCAGTTCTGTAAGCACGGGGTGTGGACTTTGGCAAACTAGCCAAAAGCCATCCATATTCTTGTACATTCATTGTTCTGTGTAGACCTTTGAATATATTATAATAACCTCTAATGCAGGCAAAGATCTCTCGGTAGCCGTGAAACAAGTGATCAATCAAAAGACTTTTATAAACAATGTTTTAGGAGAGGTTGGTTTGACCAAATTATCAATCCTAAATGAAGATATTTGTAAACCTAGCATTTAATTTCTTCTACTTGTATAATTTAATATTTTTATTATTAAACTGTATTTAAAACTTAAGCTACTTGGCTAATGTTTTCCTTTTTGAATAAGATGGATGGCACTGTCCTGGAAGAGGACTTGTCAAGGATTTATCTTTTGGTGTACCTACAAAGCTGGACAAAGTGCAGTAGCCGTATGGGTAAGCAATTAATCTATTTTACTAGTGAGCCTGAAGTTGCAGGAGGGTTTATCCGGCCTATAAATACACAGGCCCCCCATGCTCTGGTTCAGTGAAGAACCATCTACTTGCAGTTCAAAGGTGATCAACACAAACTACCAAAACTCCAAACAAGTTGGTCTTGGCTTAGTACAGCCTACGCGAGTATTCATTTTAACCCGAGTAAGAATTAGCTTTGTCCTTGTCCAGCCGTGGCTTTTCTCTTGCTGCTAGTTTTGTTTTGTTTTTCAAAGAAAATCACAAGTTTGTTCATTCAACAAACGCATTTGGGTGGCAGTCGTTGTTGAGTACGTATTAGGCCTTCATTTGGATATGGTGAATTTGACTAACACAAATTGGGCATATTTCGATAATACCTAGCATCACTGTGATGTCTCATTTAAGTTCATGCAATCTGCTTATTGTATCTGGCCCTTATTCGGCCATATCTATTTTATCATATGCAATTCAGTTGGTCATCCGACATTTTAATGTATAATAAATGCTATGCCATATTCAGGTTTTTCATATTTGCAGCCCTTACGGCCTTGGTTATACTTGTCAGCTTTGAGCAGATCAGCATTTGTTACTCATGTTCACCAGGCTTTGTCAAGCCTCCGTACTAATATGTATTCTTTGTCTGCCCTTTAAGGCCCTCATTGTTTAGTAATTATATGGCTAGCTGTTGCAACTGCTGGTCTACATTTGTCAGGCCCAAACTTGGGACTATACATCTAGTTGGCAATTATGGTACTGCCTGTTAATAATCTCTTATTTTACGTTCCATAACTACTTACATTGTTTTAAGACCTTTCTGGTTTCCACACAGGCCTAGTCAAGTGTACTTTAAAACTGTCAGTCGTAGTTATCTGTTCTATGGTTACACAGCCATATACATGGCCCTCATTCAAGTATGTTATCGTCACACTTCAAATCAAGACATGCCACAAACCAGGTCTGCCATCGGGTGCCATTAACCATACTAAACTGCAACCAGTCTACTCCAATATTTTCAATATTCACTAAACCCCATCTAATTGTATCATTCACCTGTAACTTCTCATTTTGCCACCCTGCAGCTATGGTATAATTACATTTGGCCCTCATCTGGCATATCACACATATACGTTTTATATAAACTCTCACTTGGCCTTCAACATATGCTTCATACGGCCTTCGGTGGGCAACCTACTATGCAGTGGCGTAATAAGGTGGGAGGGCTGTGTCCATTGTGTCTTTAGGTTGCTCTATATAATATTTTTCTCCAACCTAAGCCAAACGTTAGTTGGGTAAGACTTATGTACATTCCAACATACTTTCTATCAATTCATTTTCTATTCCCTTACATGCCTTAGGGATAGATCAACTGCCAGTAAAGGGTATTGGTGCGGACCATATTCTATTATAATTGTAATTCAGTCCCATGATGCCAACTCCCATTTTCATGCAGAGGTATTTGTCTATCAGCCCAGCTCAGAGCTAGGGCCTCACTTCAACCTCTCCACATTAGATAGGGCCTCACCTGTCATGGCCACTCATTTGAATGTCTTGCCTGTCACTGAGAGGCCAACATTTCCACCATTTCATTAGGTGGCCTCAGTCCTTCAGCCAATTCATAGCTGGAGCCTCTCACAGCTACTTGCCATTTTGTAGGGCCTCACCTTCCCCTTGTTTAGCTAATTTCTTCGCCATTTGGCACTATGCAAGCCGCTAGTTGATGTAGGGATACACTATCATCAGCATGGTCTTCACATGTACTCTTCATTGTAATATGCCTTGCACCTTGGGAAATACGATAACGACAAGTTTTAGAAGTTAGAATCTTCTAACTCAAGAGTTCCTAACCCTCCCACTTCATACCCCTTGCTTCCATTCTCTCAAGGTAACATCACGAGTTACAATCCAGCACACGTTCTTTTCAGGTGGAGCTCAATTCACGTAGTTATGGAGGTGTTCTATTTCAAAATATTTATGGTACAGCTATATGTGGCTCAGAGCATTCATTCACTACATAACGCAGGTATACCTAAATACACTACATAATGAGGTATACAGGAGGTGGAAAAAAACCTTTTATTTGATTTAAATTACTCCTCATTCAAATGTCAGATTTGGTTCAGTGTAATAGTTGCATTTGTTTCACATTCCACAATTTGGATGCTGTCTAATCTGTAGACAGTCCTCTATATTGTGGCAGGAGATTGTATTTTTGAAATATCTGCCAAACCATCACAGTCTAGGACTGTTGCAGAGACTTCCTAGGAATGGCAGATGGTTTACTGTAGGATCTGGTAGACTTAGTTGGAGATAAAAGGCATATTGAACAGTGCAGGTCTACTAATTTTTAGTACTTTTTGAGTGCAGTGGTGTTGTGGAGACCACCATACTCTGTCAAAGCTGTGCAAGACTGCAGCCAACGACAAAAAAAGATAAAGGTGAGGCCTGCTAGAAAGCTGTTGTTGGGGGGGGGGGAGGGGGAAATTTATCACACGAGGTGTGGAGCTGGACAATCGTGGTCGTGAGATGTCTTCCTGGAGCTGCTGCTCGCAGACACAGGATGTATTTTTAATATGGTTACGCTAGCAAATCAGGAGGGGAATTGGATGTTATTGTCAATCAAAGGACAAATTACTTGTCTTGGAATGAGCTTTCACAGGTATAGGAACTTTTGTGTTTTTGCCAATAATCTTGTCGCTTCTATACTGTCATTCTCTGAAGTTCTGCCTGAGCATAACATTCAGAATGACCGGCGGAAGCGTATTAGGGACTTTAACTTGTGGCTTCGTGAATGGTGTCGGGAGCAAGGATTTGGCTTCATTTTGCATGGTAGCTCTACTTGGAATAGAAAAGATTGTTTGCATCTTTCTCAAAAAGGAACAAATGTTCTCGGTGAGCAGTTGAGGTTTTGCTAGTACGTATTCAAACTAGGAGGGGGATGCAAAAGGGTGATAAAACATCAATCCAATTGCCCCCCAAAACAAGGACAAAGTGCCCGTTGCAAGTGTGTTTAAAAAATAAGCAGTTATGTCCACGAATGCTCGCAGTTTAGGAAATAAGATCCATGAACTTGTAGCAATAATAACTAATGTAGATTTAGTCGCTGTTACGGAGACATGGTATAATGAGAAAAATGACTGGGATATAGCAATACCAGGGTACTCCTTACATAGAAAAGACAGATAAGGCAAGAGAGGGGAGGGGTGTTCCTGTATGTGAAGGATAGCAAACTCTAGCCTAATAAAAGTGAAGCGAACATAGTCAGTTTGAGTTAAGTTAGAATTTGGTAATCACACAATAACTTGTGTAGATGTGATTTATAAGCCCCCAGGACAAATAGAGTTGGATAATCTACTAGTTGAGGAAATAGGTAAAATGACAATGAAGTTATCATCATGGGTGACTTTAATCTTCCTGATGTGAACTGGAAAACCAAAATAGCTGCTTGTGCCAGGAGCAAACATTCTAAAATCCTTACTGGGATTATCTCTAAAACAAGTCGTTGAAGAGCCAACTTGTAAGGAAGCCATACTAGACTTGGTGTTAACAAATGTAGATTTAGTATCAGATATTACTGTAGGTGGAAGTTTAGGATCCAGTGATCACCAGTCAGTGTGGTTTAATATAAGAACAATGACCGAGTCACACCACACAAACAAAAGTTTTAGACTTTAGAAAAAGACTTTTCTAAAATTAGAATGTGTAAATGAGTCATTATCAGATTAGAGCAATTTAAATGGAGTCCAATAGAAATGGGATTATTTAAAAGTTTCACTACTGAAGGCAACAGAAAATTGCAATAGGTTTGTCCGTAAAAGTAAAGAAACCACTGTAGTATTCTGCAGAAGTGGCCAAAATAGAAAAACTTAAATTTCAACTGTCAAAAGTAAAGATAAGTCAATGGGGCCTGATGGAATACACCCAAAGTTATTTAAGAGTTTGTGGTGTACTAGCAAAACCATTAGGCATTTATTTAACCAATCATTAACAGGAGTAGTCCGAGAAGATTGGAAATTAGCGAATGTTGTGCCCATTCAAAAGAAAGGTAGTAGGGAGGAGTTGGGCAACTATAGGCCAGAGAGCCTTACTTCAGTAGTGGGGAAAGTAATGGAAACCATGTTAAATGATAAATTGTTTAACATCTGAGGAAAGGGATTTAGGGGTGATTATTTCTGATGACCTAAAGGTAGGCAGACAATGTAATAGAGCAGCAGGAAATGCTAGCAGAATGCTTGGTTGTATAGGGAGAGGTATTATCAGCTCGTGTCATTGTACAGAACACTGGTGAGACCTCACCTGGAGTATTGTACGTAGTACTGGAGACCCTATCTCCAGAAGGTTATTGATACTTTAGAGAGTGTTCAGAGAAGGGCTACTAAACTGGCTCATAGAGTACAGAATAAAACTTGCAAGGAAAGGTTAAAGGATAGAACATGTATAGTTTGGAGGAAAGACGAGACACAGGGGATATGACAAACATTTAAATACATAAAGGGAATCAACGTCAAGGAGAGTATATTTAAAATAAACTACCACAACAAGAGGACTGTCTTAAATCAGAGGGGCAAATGTTTAAAAATATCAGGAAGTACTACTTTTCAGAAGGGGTAGTTGATGCAATGAATAGCCTTCTAGCTGCAGTGGTAGAGGTTAACACAGTGAAGGAGGTTTTTGTGTAGCTGATGCAATGTTTTTGTATAGTGCATGTAGTCTGTGTTTAGTGAATGTAGTGTCTGTTAGTTGGGCTTATTCCCCCGTTCCCTCCACAGGCAAGGAGGGGGAATAAGCCCAACTAATTTAGAGAAAAAACAAAACTGCACCCCCAGTACTTATCACACACACAACAAACACAGCACTTCACAAGCACTGCATACAAAATGCACTACACCCACACACTATTTTCCCCCTACCTGTGGCCAGGAAAGTGAGGGGACATTTCCCTGGTGGTTATAGCAGGGACCCAGGAGACATCTTGCACCCTTCAGCAGCAGCATGCCCTTGCCTCACGTTGGCCGTGAACGCTCTGGTAGCATTGTAGCAACAATCTCACTGTTTGCGATAGGAAAAGACATGCTGCTGCTGGAGGGTGCAATATGACTCCTGGTTCCCTCTTCGCCATGCAAGAAGACACAAGAGCAGCATTTTGCTGCATCTGTGTCTTCTTGCATGATGAAGAGGGGCCCAGGAGTCAACATGCTGCCCCGGGCACCCACCCCCCCCTTTAGTATGCCACTGGCCAACTGGTTTTTATCAGCCGTCATGCTAAGTTTCTATAATGCACTAAACTGCTATCATTCTTCATATACCATGGTTATCTTGCATAGACCTTCGAACTGGAGTGAAAGTAGTTACCACTTAAGACCTGTACAAATCAATTTCTGGTTTCATAGATGGTGCTTGATAAATATTAAGGATGAAAATCCACCTACAACTCTGTTAGAGGGTCATGAAGTACCATCACAATTTGCATAATTTCAATTGATAATGAACAAATCAGATTGGCTTAAAAATGCAGCAATTTGCAAAAATTACTACAGATCCTCTGAGCTGTCAAACAGAACACTGCATTCCAGTACTAAATTTTGCACAGGTGCACAACTTGGACTGAACTATCTTCTTCCAGGACAGTGAGAAAGCTGCATACTATGGCTCTAACACTCAATACATGTTGCACAGTTCACTAAATGGTAAACCAAGCAGTGTGTAAAAAGATAGCAGTAAGATAACTGTTGCGTGTTTACACGGCGGTTTTACTCATCACATATAAGTTCTTGGAGAATACACCAATTATCCCATAAACTTCTGCTTTATCAAATAAAAACATGCCTATAGACCAGCGGTTCCCAACCCAGTCGTCAAGTACCCCCCACCAGTCCAGGATTACCCTGTTGTATCTAAAGTGTTTTTAGAGAGAAAAAACAAAAACACACTTTAGACACAACAAGCTAAATCCTGGACTGGTAGGGGGTACTTGAGAACTGGGTTGGGAACTACTGCTATAGACCAACATGGTGTCTTAATTCTTCTCTGGATTGGATGTTTCTTCCTAGTTAGTAAGGGGTATGCATACTAACTGGGCAACTAAACCATTCAACTCCAGGGAACCGTACTGTTTATTTTTTGCTAGTTATCTTTAGTTTTCAAACCCTGTCTGTTCCAAAGTGTATGTTTATACCTGAATTTTGTCATATACTAAAGGTCGGGACCAGTTTTTTTTTTTTCTTCACACACACACACGACACACTTTTCTTTCAAAATGTGATAGAATTCAAAAGAATTAGATTTCAAAAATAGTTTTGAAGTGACAGTTGTCCTTTAAAGTAGAGTAGGACACAATAATTAAGAAACATGAAGGGATGAATTACTAAACAATGAAAACGCACAAGCAATATATCACTACTCTATTAGTCACAAAAAATTGTTTTTAAGTCCATCCTTCAAGAGATTTTCTTCCATAAACTTCCCATTGTAAATTAAATTATTTGGTCTTGAGAGTTTAGTTACAAGTTCAGCAGCAAAATACCAAGACAGGATGGCTGACAAACCAACATGATTCAAGACTGCAGCTTGTTCTTATCATCCTCCCTTCTTAAACACCAGGAAATCCCACTTTATTTCACAGAGGTTTCATGACGGAGTCCTTGTGTAGGTTGTCTCTGCTCTGCCTTTTGCCTTGGCTGCATACCTTGCCAGTGTGAAAAGATAATCACTCAGCCTGAATGGAAGAAAACAAAATACATAGGAGGTGAGAAAAATCTTAATTTTCGCTTTAAGGACCAGCTCAATTAAGTGGTCTGGGTGTTAGGTCCCTCTAGTTTTACCCTGCAGCTGAGGCTGGATTCACTGAGGGTTAATCCAGCCTCTAGTGGCTGTCTCACTGACAGCCGCTAGAGGCGCATCCGCACTGTGAAAATCACAGTGAGTAGACGCTGACGTCCATAGGAAAGCATTGAGTAATGCTTTCATATGGGCTGTTTGAATGCATGCGCGGATGCGCATTTGGATCTGACGTTGGTAGGGGGATCACAGCGCTGGAGAAAAGGAACCCCTTCAGGCCAGTGGGAGGGGTGCACCTAATGACCCTATAGTGCCAGGAAAACGAGATTGTTTTCCTGGCACTATAGTGGTCCTCTAAGCAAAAATACCAGCATTCTATTGTTAGCTTATGGTAAGTCATGTATGAAGAATTCTACTATGAAGAATGTTTCTGATGCCAAACCTATTTCACTAGGTGTGGGTTTCTCCCATTTGCATTACCAACCTGCAAGGATTCTACAAGAGGGAACTGGTAATGGAGGTTTTTGCTACAAATGATGAAGTTAGGACTTTGTCTCTTGTCTCCAGCAAACAAGTTATGCTATGCTCCTTGCTTAAGAGTTTGGCAAGTTTTAATTCCTTAGCCAAAAACAAGATTCACAACTTGTTTGTGTTATGATGGTTTTCGCCCAGTATTGTTTTGACTGATTATATAGTAAGACTTCTACTTTACTTAAAGAGACATTATAGGCACCCAGACAACTTCATCTCTATGGGGAAGCATTGGATTGGCTGCGATCATCAAGCATAATGATTTCAGCCAAAGAGGCGGGACCGAGGAGAGAGCATTGCAGAGTGAAAAGAAGGTAAGTATTCTACCTTTTTAACTCTTGCGGTGTGTAGCAAGGTTGGTCACCTAAACAGTGACTAGGACACTGGAGTATACCTTTGCCACTCTAGATCCAATTCTATAACTAAAGAGCCTAGCACACTGCAGATCAAACCTAGGAGCACAGCCTCTAAGGGTTTGCCCAGTGCAAAGCCAATATGTAATCCTTGCTCCAAACTCTTAGGACATGCCTTTAAAGGGTCTCAAATCAGGACAGATTGTACTGGGCTACTTCTACAATGTTTACTTTGTCCAGGTCAAATAATCCAATAATCAAGTCCCCTTACAGACTGCCATCTGTCAAACTTTAGTTTTGGACAATTTGTATATTTTGAATGTATAGGATAAGTGATTTGATGCAGAAGCATGTCAAAATTGTGTTAAAGCAAGTCTGCAGCTTCTTTTACCTGTTCAAGTACTTCCCAACATTGGCATCTGCCTCTCCAGCCTTTACAATTTTGAAAGCACTGATAAGAAGAGAAATGTAATTAGTATACACTGGTTTAAAGTTCTCTAACAGAGTTACTCAAACTCACAATTTTATAGAATTGCAAATGTGAGGCTAAATTAGTCAAACTGTGTAAAGAGAAGCCTTCATTATTGTGGCGTCAATTTTAGAATTTGAATTAATTTAAGCCTTTAGAAAATATATCTTCTAAAAACGCCAATATACAACACCACATTGTAAGCTTTATTAGGCATTCTAGGTCTGATATCACATTGAGCTTTGATTATTTCCTACGTCTATTAAAATTGTCTATTTTAATTGTAGTTAAAAAATTAAATACATTTATTAGATGGAGAATAATAAATAGTAGTTCATTACCTTCTCTCTGCTCTGCGGCACACAGCCCGGGCAACGTGCAGCGATGCACTCGCTTTTCCTCCCGACTGAAACATGGATAATGCATTGGTAATAGAAAAACAGTGATAGCGGCCTCTGCTGTACAAAGCAGAACTTACACCTACATCCAATTATTTTTGGACAAGCAAGGATTAAAATATCCACAGTGATATGGGGATTTAAATATTTTACAAAATACACTAAAAAAAAAAAAATATATATATATATATATATATATATATATATATATATATATATATATTATATATATATTTTTTTTTTTAAAACATGAATTCTTTTCACTATTTCCTATATTAAGTACCTTAAAATAATTAGATGAAACAATGCATGTGCACAGTTTTAGGTTTATAAATTTGAAAAAACAGGTTTCAGCTGAACTGCTGGGTTAATTACATTCCTGTTTTTACCAATACAATTTTTAAAGCATATGTATTATTCGCCAATCTTCATTATTGTCCAGAATTGAGAGTGTTATATTAGTACTCTATAATCCCTGTGGCACTGATCCGCTTTTTTTTTTGTGTTAGACATACCGGTAGGATGAAGTTATTCAGCGGGGGAAGCTGGGCCGTATATTTATCGATCCATTGTTCTAGTTCCTGGACAGGTTCTGCATCAAATGTTGTTTTGACTACAGAAAAAAAGCAAACGTATTAGCTGAGTGAATTTGCTTAATTACAACACACTGTTTTCACAAACCGCTCCATCAATGATGGCAAGCATATCCATACATTTCAAAGTGCTATTTTTAAAGCACAAAAGGGATTTATTTTTGTTATGGTTTAGAGCTTGTAAAAAATGTTTATTCCCCAAAACCTGAAATTTGCAATGTACCTATGTGGCTTTCTCTAGCAGAAGACAGGGGTGTTGCAATATTTGAGCCAATGTCCTGCAGCATACACTGGATCTGTTGAAGAAAAATGTATTGCAAGTTAATTTGTGTTATAATATGGCTTATGTTAGTGCAGGATAGTCTGCGGCCATACAAGCATAACCCCGGTATTCCCTCACCACCAAGTTGAATGATACTACATATCTGAATATGATGTCAGACATTACACGAGCAAAACAGAGACATTGACAGAGCAAGTTGTATACAGCACTGAGAAACATATTGTTTATACAGTACATTGACTGACACTGTTAGAAGGAACAATACATCATATTTGCAGTCCTAGATTTAGGATAACTGGTGCATTCATATTTGAACTCTTTATGGTCATAGCAATAACAATACTACATTTTACAGTTTGTGTTCTATTTAACGTTTGCCACTTTAAGCATCATACCAACTTTGCTCATTACAGTTTCTTTATCACAATGCTTAAAACTGCTGCTTTGTAAAGTCACTGCCACTATAAGCATACCCCGGCTTCGTGATGTCAAAGGAGGAATTTCACTTCTTTGCTTTTCCTTGATTCATCTAACATGTAGACCCAAGCTTTACCGACAGCCTCTGCATAGAGGTGTACCTAGAGTATCTGGCATTCAGGTGGATTTGTGCACTGACACCACCTCATTTTTATTTAAAAAACAATCACCTTGCTAATAGTGGTTAGGGGGCAGGGAGGTGGGGATGCTGATCCTCTGTTTTTGTCAACCTATTTTATGTGGCTTTACAAAAGATTTCCCATGATAACCAAAGCCTACCTAATTGCTTGGGATGGCATAATAAGGCTATTTAACTTCCTTATTAATTATCCAAAATGCACGGTATGGTAGGATTAGGCTATGCAGAACTGGTGCACAGCCAGACCACTCTCAACCCTTTCATCTGATCCATTAGTTGTGTTTGTTCATGTCTGTGAATGTAGATGGATAGTGTTTTGAATGCAGATATGAAGTGGAATGAAACATGCAATTCTCAAGGTAGTTCTGTCCTTTCTGGCCTCCACACTATCATCCATATTTCCCATCACTGGTTCCCTTTATATTTCCATCACTGGTTCTCCCTGCTCTCTCTATCCCCCACTTCTAAGTCTTACTCAATACCAGCTCTCTCCCTCCATCTTGTTATCCCAGTTGCGCCGTTTTCCCATCTCCCAAATAATTTGGTCTTTTTACTCCAACAGCCCATTCATGTTCCCTCTGTTCCCTACTAGTATGCTCATCCTTCACATCTCTCTCAAATCGCTCCATCTACAGCCCACACATCCTTCAAGTGCTAATACTGAGATTAATTCTCTTTGATTTTTAACAAAATGTATTTGTTTTGAACAGTACAAGAGCCAAAATGTTAAGAAGGTAGAGAATACCATCATATCCCAATGCTAGATCATAAAGAGATTCGAAAATATAACAGACAAAGCACATTTTCTAGAGAGACTGGTATGAGAATGAGTCAAAAAAATATAAATATAAAAATCAGATATTTACAACAATTTTACCACTATTAATAAAACATGTTTGTGTATTAAAATAAATAATATTGCATTTAAAATAAACTATTTTTCAAATGAACTAACACAATGTTTTGGTTTTAAAAATATGGAATAAAAAACATAAAATTGAATCCCATTATTTAGCTTTGCAATATTAGTGTTAAAATAGTCAAGTACCATGGTCTTGTCTATAGCCTCTCTCTGGAACAGGATATCATAAAATGCTGAAACTCACTTTCACATGCAGGCTAAAAACACTGCACACATTTAACAAAGCATAATACATACCATATAAACATATCTAAATAAGATAATTTGTAGAAAAAAAAAATACAAATAAAAGAAAAAAGGCTACCTTTTCAAGTTCTGCCACAAATGGGAGGTTAGCATCAATCCCAAATTCTCTAGCCAGCCTGGGAAGACAAGAGGAAAATAAATTACTCAAATTTAAGAGTACCTGCCCTGCAAAACGTGGGGGAAAAGTAGAACATTGAATTTAACTTTAGCAAGGAAGAGGGGCTTACACAACGAATGCTAATTAGCATTCTGATAGAGTCCTATGAAGTCTTCAGTAAGAATGTTCATAAGGAAAAGCATTTCCCAATTTAGCAATTCGAACACAATTTGATACAAAAAAAAAAAAAACCTTGATAAATGTAAACAATGCTTGATTTAAAACTGCAATGTTTACATTGAAGCACTAATTCAGCCTCTAGTGGCTCTCTACCAGACAACCACTGGAGGCGCCTCCTGGATCCTAAAAGACTTTGTCTGGTAACTGACGTTGCACGTCTTCACACTCTGGACGAGGACATCCAGTGCTTTCCTATGGGGAGTCCTAATACGTGTGCGGCATTAGTCACGCATGTTTATTAGAGCCCGCTTGTGGAGGGACGTCTGGTGAGGGAAAATTTAGGCCCGTGTATATGCCATGTACTCTTCAGGCTTGCAATGGTGAGTAACGTCTAAGGACTGGCTAGTAGGTAGAGCTGTCGCGAACTGCTCGCGAACTTATTCACTTATGCCGTTTCCACTGAGTGGTAAGGTTCGGGTCGGTACGGTCTGGTACGCTTTTTGCGGTGGAAACGCTCACCTGAATAGGCTGGACCATTCGAACCCTTCCGAACCGTACCATACCGCTCAGTGGAAACTAGGCATTAAATTGTTGAAATTTCAAATTTAGGACCAAAACAGCCTAACTTTAACCCTAGATATATATTCTGCATGTTTCTATTTCTATGACATGTGAAACAATTCACTTATCACCTAATTTTTATACATAAATATTTGATAAATGCTTGCCACATCTACTTTAACAAAATGTTTCTTTAGAAAACTGTCAAACATTGTGTCATTTTTTTTGCATATACTGCATTCTTGGACATGTCTAATGGGGAGAATTACTATGGTACAATACATTTAAAACAAGTTCCCAGATGATAACATTACCCAATAGCTGAGCTCAATTCATCAGTCGCTCCCAGTGCTTCAAATACAAGATCATCTTTGGGCCTCCTTTCTCCTGTGAATGTGCTGGACAAACCTGGTTACAAACAGAGCTCAAAACTCTCAGTAGGATTTGGTGAACTAAAAACTAGACCAAAAAGCAAGAAACATGTATTCACCTTTGTCTCCTGTTTTTGTGTAGATTTTGGGAAATGTCTTGGGTTTCTTTTTGGAGCTGAGTAAAAAAAATAATTATCTGAGTATTAGGAGCTAGGTCAAAGCCAAGTATAAACAAAAAGAAATTAATTTTACTAGAGAGAAGAGTCTGTCCTGTTTGCATGTCGTGCATGAGGACTATGATTAAGCATGCTGGAGTGGACTACCACCACTGGAAATAAGGTAAAATGGCAGGCCACAGCTTGTGGTGCACCCTTGGTTTGTGATACAACTATACACTATCTAACACATGCTCTATCGACACATGCTAGTAGAATAGGATTTAAAACATTTTGTAACTGAAGTTTGTATCCAGTGTCAACCAAAACCCCATATGGGGAAATCCTAATGTGAGTGTGGCCATTGCGGCACATTAGACCTCCCCCACCGACTGACGTCAGCAGGGGAGGAGAGAAGACAGTGCTGGACCCAGGTAAGTGACAGAAGGGGGTGGGGGAGGGAGGGGGGGAGGGGGTGGAGGGGGCTGCAACGGAGTGCCAAGAAAACAATAGTTTCCCTTTAATATAAGGAGTACTGATCTTTTGGACTCACAATGCCTGAAGGTGAGGAATGCAAATTTTGAGACCTGCAATTGGTAAATTAAAGTTATGAGATTTTTTTTAGTAGTTAAGCTCCACAGCGAGTCCCTAGACAGCTATAGACAATTCTTAACACGTCAGGCAAAGACGTCCTTAGAATTTTCACAAAAAGAATACAACATACCACCCATCAGTGGAGGTATATGAAGCTGAAGGAGAACTTGAAGTTGGAGAAAAAAAAAAAAAATAAAAAAAAAAAAAAAGCTAAATTCATTTTTGTTTGCTGCAGGTGGAAGTGTGGACCAGCACAGAAAGAATTACTAAAACCAAAACCAGTATTTTATGGAAACCCTGTTTTTGGTTGGAATAACCCTTTAATGATATTTGTCTTTCCCAAAGTTACTTATGGACATAAAAATGGGGTAGGCAAGTTTGGCACTCCGGATGTTTAAGACTACATCTCACTCGATGCTTTGCCAGCATTATGGTGGATGAAGTCTACAACTGGAGTGCCGAAAGGTTGCCTGCCCTACACAATATATACTCTGCCTTGTCTGTGTATAACTATTAAATGTATTGAAATACCATTAACATTTCAAAGCGATCTTGGAGCAATTTGTTCATATGCTCAATAGCGACTATACCAGTTAGGGACGGGTACAATTACCTGACAAATATCTGAGGTATATCATTCCAAAGTAAATGCTGGCCAGTCTGACAATAAATAGAAAAAGGTTGGCCACGGACGTTATCCATAGATTGGAACAGCTAAGGGGGTAACCCTAGGTGAATAAAGCGAACAAAAGAGAGAAAAGAATCTGTCCCTATAACTAGAAATGTATTAACGCAAAGAGCACACATAAAAGATTAGGGGAGTGGGGGATGACAAGTTAAAATACAGACTGAGTGTCTGAGTAGCAGGTTATTAGAAGCCCCTATAAAGATTGCCCAATCATAATAATAGAAAGATATTGGTCTGGCAATATAGTTAGAGTATGTTGCTACCCTGTAGAATGTCAGATAATCAAGGTGAGCAAATATCCTAAACTCAGTAGAAAATCTCTGCATAGACTTGTACAGGACAACAGGGAGTAAAGCTATTGTCGGCACTCTCCCGTGTAATTATATGAGCTAAGCAAATCACAGATCTAATTAGAAGAGGTAAGTAAATAATCAGAAGCCATGGTTGGCATTAAAGCGGACAATGTTTTACTCCCTGTTGGTGATGAGATTGATGTAAATATATCTATATAACAAGAGTCTGTCGATAAATAGCAATAATAAGCTAATGAAGGGAAGGTGCATTCATACAAGATTTCTTACATACACATAGCTGGTTGACTGGCATTAATAAGCTTCTATGCAAAATATACCTTGTCTAGTAGATGATACACTAGTTAGTACTGTCTTGCATATGTTGCAGACGTTGTGCTGCCTAAGAGTGCTGGGAGCCATAAGGTTGGCTAGCGATAAAAAGCTTATAGGCAAGAATATAGCTGATTGGTCCAATAGGCAATACAGTACTTCCTAAAATCTAGCGCACATTTAGCTACCTAATGTAAACCAGATAAAGATGCATTAGTATACCCTTAGTGCTTAAGGGTGTCCTGATAGGTATAAGAAGTGACTGATTTTCTGGAAAGAAGGTACCGTAATTAGCAACCGCTAGTACAGGGGTAGGCAACCTTTTAGTAGCACTGTACCAATATAGGATTGTGATGTCCCGTAGCATGCCGGTCCTATTTTATTAAATTGAGGTCTGTATGCTGCTGTATTCTGCTTGTGTTATTTATACTGTAATTGCTTTGTATCTTTATATTTGTGCGTATATGAGCTATTATATTGTATATGTTCAGGAGTAGTTTGTGGTATCGTGTATGATACATATGAATGTGGGCTGTGTATGGGGGCTGCTTGTGGAATTGTGTGTGTGGATGGATGAGTCACATTGTGTGTTTGGTAGTGTGTGTATGTGTGGGGGCTGTTTGATGTATTGCATATGAGAGGCTGGATGTGGGGTTGTGTGCATGTACGTGGATTGTTAGCGGGTTACGTTTGTGCGGATTGTGTGTATGTTTTTGTGGGCTGTTCGTATTATTTGTATGAGGGGAGGGTTATTGTGCATTTCGTGGCTGACCAGGTACAGGTCAAGGACAGGAGCTTCAACAGCAGCTGCAGGCTGCTCTACTACAGTGTGGATTCCCATTTACAAGTGCTGGGAGGAAGTGATATGAGATAGTTATCCGAGATCACTTCCTCTACGTGCTGCAATGCATAAATTGAGGATTGTCGTTCACCACCTTTTTGTATTAGCAGATATCTGAAGTTTCACTGGGACTTCTGATAAGCCAGAGCCTGTTTGGCTCTAGCAGCCTTGAGTGCCGTAGGTTGCCCACCCCTGCACTAGTATATAATCGGCTGTCTTCTATTGATAGGGTTTAGAGTTCATCGCTACTGATAGATCAAGAGGAGTTAGATAGTAGGAATAGTACCTTCATGGGCACCTTGAACAGAAAAACAGTAGCTTTACTCCCTGGTGTCCTGTACAAGACTATGCGGAGATTTTCTACTGAGTTTAAGATATTTGCCCACCTTGATTATCTGACATTTTACAGGGTAGCAACATACTCTAACTATATTGCCAGACCAATATCTTTCTATTATTACGATTGGGCAACCTTTATAGGGGCTTCTCATGACGACCTACTCAGTCTGTGTTTTTACTTGTGTCATCCCCCACTCACCTAATCCTTTATATGTGTGCTCTTTGCGTTAACTACTGTCACTGACCAAGTCAGACAGTAAGTGCAAGAGGCTGTGTGTCTACAGTTTGTCTTTTTTGTTATCTCTAATAAAGTATCCTCGTGATTTTTAATACATTTCTAGTTATAGGGACAGATTCTTTTCTCTCTATTTTTGGTCAGTCTGGCAATAATCCTTATCCTAGCCATAATGTAATGTAAACTGAATGTTTATACCAATGCCTTAATGTTTTTCTGCTAGTATTATGATTGACTAGGCTAGTGTGTCATTTTTGGTTCACCCATATGGGCTCAGGCTATACCAGAATGCTGGGAGTGAAAGTAACATGGGCACTCCAGCCTAAGAAGACTGCAATTCCCACAAGCCCAGCCAGCTGTGATACAAGTAATGTGCCCCTGTACCAGCAGGGTAGGTAGTGGAGCTCTGTATCAGGAGCTGTATGTGCCCCTGTACCAGCGGGGTGGGTAGTGGAGCTCTGTATCAGGAGCTGTGTGTGCCTGTACCAGCAGGGTAGGTAGTGGAGCTCTGTATCAGGAGCTGTGTGTGCCCCTGTACCAGCAGGGTGGGTAGTGGAGCTCTGTATCAGGAGCTGTGTGTGCCCCTGTACCAGCAGGGTGGGTAGTGGAGCTCTGTATCAGGAGCTGTGTGTGCCCCTGTACCAGCAGGGTGGGTAGTGGAGCTCTGTATCAGGTGCTGTGTGTGTCCCTGTACCAGCAGGGTGGGTAGTGGAGCTCTGTATCAGGAGCTGTGTGTGCCCCTGCTGCAGGTGGCATGTTATAATGATCACGTGATGTGCCTGGCCTGGCCTGGCATGCCTTGACTGACCTGCCCTCCGCAGCCCGGTCACAGTACAGCCGCCTGCCCACCAGCACACCCCGCACCGCTCCCGCAAACAGCGACCTCCAGGCAGCCATGATTCACAGCCCAGCCCATCACTCGCGCCACGCCACAAACGTCACGTGATTGGTTAGCCTGTGTTAGTATACGCCCACTTGGCGGCTTTGATTGGGGGAAGAACAGTACGTGACATCTGGGCTGAGATTGGCCCAGCGTCACGAACCTTTCTAATTGGTGAGCAGTTTCGTGCTCTGCTCTTTACTAATTGGATGATGAAGGTCAAGTGACATGTTGGAGCTGATAGGTGGATTGTATAGACCGGGCTCACAGTTAGCGCTGGTGATTGGCTGGTAGGACTGTACATCATTGTTTGTATTGGCTGGGCTGCAGGAATACAGGCTGGTGGTACCATTAGTGACAGAAGCTGGCTGCAAGTGGGACCTGGGTAAATACCTGTGACAGCCCCTCCACTAATACTATATTATTATTATTATTTTATTTATAAATCACCAACAAATTATAACAGCATTTACTGCATATTATAACAAGTATCTATTGCCTGATAGGAAATAGTCTCCTAGTACCATCCACATCTGAAGAATGAACCTATACTATATTATATTAGCTATATCACATGATCCCTGTAATACTTTATACTATATTATATTAGCTATATCACATGATCCCTGTAATACTTTATACTATATTATATTAGCTATATCACATGATCCCTGTAATACTTTATACTATATTATATTAGCTATATCACATGATCCCTGTAATACTTTATACTATATTATATTAGCTATATCACATAATCCCTGTAATACTTTATACTATATTATATTAGCTATATCACATAATCCCTGTAATACTTTATACTATATTATATTAGCTATATCACATAATCCCTGTAATACTTTATACTATATTATATTCTATTAGCTATATCACATGATAGCTGTAATACTTTATACTATATTCTATTAGCTATATCACATGATACCTGTAATACTTTATACTATATTATATTCTTTTAGCTATATCACATGATACCTATAATACTTTATACTATATTATATTCTTTTAGCTATATCATATACCTGTAATACTTTATACTATATTATATTCTAATAGCTATATCCCATGATACCTGTAATACTTTATACTATATTATATTAGCTATATCACATGATACCTGAAATACTTTATACTATATTATATTAGCTATATCACATGATACCTGTAATACTTTATACTATATATTCTATTAGCTATCTCACATGATACCTGTAATACATTATACTATATTCTATTAGCTATATCACATGATACCTGTAATACTTCATACTATATTCTATTAGCTATATCACATGATACCTGAAATACTTTATACTATATTCTATTAGCTATATCACATGATACCTGTAATACTTTATACTATATTATATTCTATTAGCTATATCACATGATACCTGTAATACTTTATACTATATTATATTCTTTTAGCTATATCACATGAAACCTGTCTTCTTATATTTATGGGAGGTTATGTAGAAAGTGTAACTCTGGGGCAACATTCTAAAACTGGAGCAATCGGCAGGGACATTCCATTGGTTTTAGAACATTGCCTCAGTTATTCTTTATGCATAACCCCACAAAGTGTCTATCTTGAATTGGATTTCACATTATTACTGTATATGAGGTCCACTTTAATAATGCTGATATGTATTAAACCAGTGATGAATGTAATCAGGGCCAGACTGGGACAAAGATTAATCCCAGGTCATTTTAAGGTAGAGCAGCCTAATAAGAGGAGGTGCGTTGTGTCATCACTGGCATGCGCACACCCCAAAGTGAACATGAGCAGAGAGATCACAGAGATTAACGGTTGGCTTTCAAACACTATATGACCTACGTGTATGTATGTGACTAAAGGGTCATGACATACACCTAAGGTAGAGATGAGTTTACTTCATTTCTTTATGTATATTTCATTTTTTTTTTTTTTTTTTTTTAATTACCACTCTCTCTGTGACTTTCATGATGACTAAGCTGCTTCTGTCTCCTATGGCCACTGTAATTCCACCCTTTGGTCCTGTGAGCCAATGATGGTTCCTGAATAAAGGGGCCCTTAACATGCCTCCACTCCTAGGTAGCTTACTATGCTTCCCAAAAGGCAACTCAATGGGAGTTATAATTATACTGAGCTTTAATGCTGTTGGAACTCACTGACATGTCCTAGCGTTTTGGTGTGAGGAGGTTTAAATTCCTGCTCACACCAGGGAGTCCCAGGTATCACTTGATACATGGAGCTCCCCTCAACTGTGTGTCCCTGGGACTGCGATCTGACTCACTAAAGTGCACCAGACCGTGAGTGAGCAATCAAGGAGATCTGTACCCACGGGAGTTACAGATCTCACACTATTTGCCCTGGCACTGTTCTCCTAATAGCAGCACTGCTATTTGCCCACGGCAGAGATAAATGCCCAAATAAATGCATGTCCCAAGCATTGGGTAAAACAAATTCCACATCCCTGAATCTGATTAGAGGGGGCCTGTGGCAAAAAAGTAAGAGTTGTTTCACTTTTCCTCAGGAGGTGGTGCCATGGGACTCCTGGCACCATAACCACTTCAACGTGCTCTTGTGATGCCTAGACTGATCCTTCTAGTGCTAAAAATTCTCTTAACATATTTTCTTATTTGTTAAGCAGTCATTTTTTACTTTATGTTTTAGATAACTTATTATCCATATTTGTGTTTTTTTTGTTATCAGTGTATTAACAGCAAAATTTATTATTTTATTGTACTTTTTTTTGTACATACAGTTCTATTATCTGTGTTTACAGCAATCTCACAATGACAATAGACAGAGAGATATTTGTGTCTGCTCCTGGAAAGGTCATACTGCACGGAGAACATGCTGTGGTACATGGGAAGGTATGCTATAACCATCCATGGCTTTGAATATGTATATGCAATCAGGGCCGGTGCAAGGATTTTTGCCGCCCTAGGCGAAAAAACTTTTGCTGCCCCATTCGTTCGATCCACTCACACAGACTTGCCTACACTAACCCATAGACACACACGCTGACCTATACACACACAGAGACCCACACACACAAACAGACATACATACATACATACACACACACACACTTACTCATAAACACACACGCTGACCCATGGAGACACACCACACATGCTGACCCATGCAGACATACACAGACAGATATATACACACACACACACTGACCCATACACACAAAAGAATAATATGGATTTAATGCAGATTTCGACCTTTTACATTTTTTATGACATTCCATATGATTATCATTTTTTATGTTTTTACTTCATATTTTCACACTTTCTTATATTTCATCCTCATCATTTTATAGTAAATATATTAGACTATCTTAATGTGGGTCACTGTTTATAATCACTTCTTATGTTGGCTAAATTGTATTTATGTTTTATTGTAATCACTACTATTATAATGTCTGACACGCTGTCTTGGGAACCTTCTGTTGTTGTCCTAGGTTTGCCCTGATCGCAGTTGTTTTTACAGCATTGTGATCTATAGCACCCCAACCACAACAGCTTTGTCTCAGATATTTTTATTACATTAAGATACCCTAGCCATTGCTCATTTATATTGCCGACATCGCATACAACGAACATGAGTCACTTGTCCCAGCTTTAAAAGCCACGATTATACCAAATACACCTCGCTTTTATAATATAACGATATTTTCTTACTCTCTATTAAATGAAGAATCATAATAAATATATATATTTTATTTCCACATTTGTACTTTACAACGAGTGATTGTATTTCATTGGAGAACAGCCTATGATTGATTTTTGGCGCCAATTTTAAATCCCCATATCCCTATTTAAACCCTATGTAGCCAGGCTGCATGATATTTGCTCCAGTTGAGAAAGCCACAACGGCGAAACGTGTTATTGGACGTTTTTACTTTGTATTGCGATAAAGAAATCCTTTTTGGACATACATCTAGGTTTGTGATAATTTCCTTTATATTATTTTCTTTTATATTTTATTATTTGGCCTTTTTTATAACCATTCTCAAGAAATCCAAAGTGGGGATCATACCACCAGAGCCGATACCACAGAGCAGTCAGCCTGCTCTATGCTATGTGAGTATATTATATATATCTTTTTAAACTTGGTTTTATCTTATTGAGAGCCCTATTTTTTTGCCTTCCTACCTTTGTCATTTGCGTTCCAAGTAACCCAAAGATTGAGGATATCAACACTATATCCCGAAGTGGGGATTGTACCACTACAAGCACTAGACGTTAGAGCTGGCCATAGCTCTGCTGAATGTGAGTGCATTATTATTATTCCACTATAATCCCTTTATATGAGACATATTGCACTATTTGGTCCTCTCCCCTCTTCTTCTCTCCATTTTATATGACCAAATATTGGAGAGACTGACTACAAGTACCATTCCCAAGATTCTGTAATCCACCCCTGCCACTGAATATACCATAAAAACACCATTTGGTGTGAAACTAAATTTTCTTTATAACAGTGACTATATCCTGCTATTCCCTGTGGCACAGCCCCTATTTTTCTTTTGTACATTTCTGTTTTCTGTTTAAAGGGTGAGAGGGATCCCCTTTATTGTGGTTGCTGCTTACCCACTGACATATTAGTGCTGATCTTTCTTTTGTATATTGTTACCCTTCAAATAAGGTTTTTTAGCCCCCAGAGGAATGGGTGGTATCACTGTACTCAGGAGATGTTGCTGAAAACATATTGGGGTGTTCTTTGGCAAAAACCCTTAAAGTTCTCAGTACATGTATTCTTAAATTGCTATGTGTGTCAAAAAAAATCACCAAATGTTTATTTTATTTTAATAAATTTGGCATAGATTGGTGGTAAAATGGTTGCATGAAAAGATTCAAAATATCCCAGGTTTAATACCTTAGGTTGTCTTCTTTAAAAAAATATATACATGTGAAGGGTTATTCACGGATTCCTGACAGATATCAGTGTTACAATGTGACGTGTTAATTTTCAAAAACAAAATGGTTTGGAAATAGCAAAGTGCTACTTGTACTTATAGCCCTATAACTTGCAAAAAAAAGCTAAGAGCATGTTAATATTGGGTATTTCTAAACTCAGGACAAAATTTAGAAACTATTTAGCACGGGTGTCTGTTGGCGGTTGTAAATGCATAACAGATTTTGGGGTTTAAAGTTAGAAAAAGTGTGGTTATTTTTTTCATTTTTCATCATATTTTAAAAAACAAATTGTAGTAAATTATATGATATGAGGAAAATAATGGTATCTTTAGAAAGCCCATTTAATGATGGGGAAAATGGTATATAATATGTGTGGGTACAGTAAATGAGTAAGAGGAAAATTACAGCTAAACACAAACACCGCAGAAATTTAAAACAGCCCTGGTCCCAAACGGTAAGAAAACTGAAAAGCGGTCTCTTCACTAAATGGCTAAAAAGGCTTACATAAGCTGCTTGCTTATCTTAGCTGCTGCCTTTGCAAGCCCTCCCCTTCTAACCCTATCCAGACTTTCTGTAGCTGTCCAATCACAGACTTCCCAATGCAGCTCAATGGAAAGACTTTGCAAGGCAGATGCTTTGGGCAATTTCCTGCTTCACTAGTTTAGTTCCACTGAGCTAAACAACCAGAAAGTAACAGGACCTGTTTTCTGCTTGAAAGCCAAGGGTGTGTAACAAGGTTAATTTATAGGGGGTGTAACAAGGTTCATTTAGAAACTTTCCAATTTCTAGTGAAATCTGCAGTTTTTGTAAAATGAAAAAAGGGGCCACAGTCCACACATAAAGTCTTTTAGCAAAGCTCACAAAAGGTTATCTTTTTTTTTTTTTTAACACCTGATTAAGGCAAATAATGGACATTTTGTTTGCTGTGTGCAGCTCACTAAACACATTTCCCATTCAATAAAAATGGGTTGTGGTGGTGGGGAATATATATTCAGTTTTTGCATCTATCCCTTATTATTTCTGATTTGTAAATCACTGTTATTGTGTTATGATGCTTAACCTTTCATAGCTTGTAGGCATCTCATGGGCACAACTCATACATTTATTTCTGCTTGGTCACATGGCAAGGTTGTCCAGAAAGAGCCTTGGTTGCTAAAGAAGTCTATTAACTTGTTCTATATGTATACAGGTTGCTTTGGCAGTGAGTCTGAATTTAAGAACATTCCTGAGGATGCGGCCTTGCAGTAATGATACAGTTTTAATAAATCTACCAAATATTAATACCAAGAGAAGCTGGGGTATATCTGACCTTCAGTCTCTGCTTCCTGCTTTCCAATGTAAGTCTGGGTGAGTTTATTTTTTTCAGAATTCCATAGCATCATATTGCTGCAATGTCACATACTGTTTCTTGACTCATGTCCTCATTTATTGTATGTGTCTGTAGTGGATTCAGCACACGAACCTACAAGCCCCAGCCCAGAGAGTCTACACATTTTAAAGACGTTTGCAGGTTTTGCTGAGGGATCCACTGACACAGAAAGTCTTGCTGTATTGGCCTTTCTTTACCTTTACTTATGTATCTGTGGCAAGTAAGTTTTGCACAATTCGGGTTTAAATAATCCATATATAGTTCTAAAATGGAGTATCAGCTAAGAAAACTTGTGCAAATGAACATACAGCATCAAGTGTCAATAGAATACTTTTTATATTGTTTGTCGATTTATATCTTTCTGCCAATGTATCTGTATATAAAGTAAATCAGTAATTTTGCTCTTGCTTTAACGCTGCAGGATATCAGATAACTGTGGTATTCCATTTTTGGAAAGAAACAATAATTTAGTTTCTAGAAATTTGCCTGTAAGATTGCCATATTTATATCTGACCCCAAATTAAGACATTAATTAAACATAATATTGCACTCAAGAGGACAAATAAAAACCTACAGCTGGTAGTTCTGATTTCCTTGGAATCCTTTGAGCGCACACCTTACAGAAATTGGCAAGCTGCAGATGAATTTCATTTCATGCCCATAGTGGTTCATTAAGTTGTGCTGGGTGGACCCAAAAGGAGTAGACTCTAGAATTAACTCCTTGTGTTCCCACAAAACACATTTTGAAGAAAGTCAGAGATAAGCTAGAAAACGCATTGACTGATATAGATAGCTATACTTTGGGAAAACGTACCCCCATGATGGAAGGTTCCCCCATATCAGGGCAGATCATATTTTTTATTTTATTTTTAAAATTCTAAAAATAGTTACAGTATATACTCGAGTATAAGTCTAGTTTTTCAGCACATTTTTTGTGCTTAAAAACCCCCACTCGACTTATACTCGAGTCACTGTCTGTATTATGGCAACTTAGAGAGCCGCGGCCGTCAGAGCCATGGCAACGATCCGCGCGGCAACCAGACCGCGAGACTTACAGTGGAGCTGACCGGAACGGAGGAGAAGGGAGCTGACAGGAGCTGCAGGAAAGGTAAGTAAATGCTTCCTGCCGGCCCCCCCACTTCACAGCCCATGCCACTGGACCACCAGGGATTAAGATAGCCCCCCTCCCTGACCAGTTAACAAGCAGGGAGGGGGGACAAAAAAAAATTAAAATAATAAAAAAATAATAATAAAAAAAAAAAAATTAAAATAATAAAAATGCCCTCCCCCCACCCAGTTCACACACACTACACAAACACACACATTATATACACACTCTGCATTATATACACAGAGTGTGTGTATATAATGCAGAGTGTGTGTTTGTATGAGTGTGTGTATATAATGCAGAGTGTGTGTTTGTATGAGTGTGTGTGTATATAATGCAGAGTGTGTGTTTGTATGAGTGTGTGTGTATATAATTATAAAAATCACAGAATTTCATAGCCCCAAGTTTTACCCTCGACTTATCCACGAGGCATAGCATATTTCACAATTGTTGGTCACAAAACTGCACTCGACTTATACATGAGATCGACTTATACACGAGTATATACGGTATACTTTTAAAAAATTTTTTATATATATATTGTGGTAGCTGTTTATGCGCATGATGACTACTCTTATGATGTTACTCTGCATTTGTTTTCCTAGAGATTCACCATGTATAGAAATGACTGTGTGGTCCCAGTTGCCCACAGGAGCAGGGCTAGGATCCAGTGCTGCATATTCTGTATGTGTCGCAGCTTCCCTGTTAACGTTTTGTGGGAGAATAGCTGACCCGGGAAATGAAAGCACCGAAGCATCGAGGTAAAACTTTGTCTGATATTGTATGTGAAATTAACTAGCTCTCTAGTAAATTGGATTGTTCTGTTTTTTGTTTGGTCTTTATTTTTATTCTTTTATATTTTTTCTATGTCTTTAACTCATGTGTCTCTTAAATCCTTTGCCACTGTCTTCATTTCTCACACTTGTAAAGTGTTAAATGGAGCAAAGCGTTTTTTTAGCCCCAAACAAAGGTGCATTGGACCTATTTGTATTACACATATCTTTCAATTATTGGGTGTCACATGGGTAATGTGACACTATCAGCTTTGGCAGATTTCTCCTTTCAAGTAGACTGGATAATGTAGGGACTCTAGTGAGCTATCTACTGGTCTTCCAAGGTACGTAAGATAGCCTTGCCAGTTGCTTAATAGTGATTTCCAGACTGGTTCAGCCATTTATTACAAAAGTCAGAATAGAGATATCTTTATAGTATTTTGTTGAGTTTTTTTATGGATTCCAGTTAGGTGTGGAACGGAGTTCCAAGGTAAGCTTTTCAATAGCGGCTGAAGTGATTTCCTACCAGTTATATATTAATGGCAGATTTAGTGTAATGCACTTTTTTGTGCACCTGGTGCAAAGTGAAAGACCCCTTACTCAGTCACTCTGTTTATTTCATACAATAGCAGGAGCAGCTAGATTGGATTTCTATCTATGTATGCTTTGAACGGTTAACATCTCCAGGGCTCTTTTTACATCTAAAAAGTGTAACTTGGCTTCTTTTGGAGAAGATGGTTTTTGACACAGGGTGGGAAAAATGATGGGTTGATTAAAGGGACACTATAGGAACCTCGATCACTTCAGCTCATTGAAGTGGTCTAGGTGCAGTGCCACAGATCCCTTAACCTAGCAAAGGTATTATTGCAGTTTTTAATAAACTGCAATAATTGCCTTTTGAGGGTTGACTTCTGGGTTATTAGGCAACATTTGGCTCACTTCACTGCTGGAAAACACAATGTGAGAATTCCCAGTGTGCTCATTGCCTGTCTGATAGAGCAGACTGAACTGGTTTGTAGAGCGGTAACCTCTTTTCTGATCTTTCTTCTAATGGGGATGCTTGAGGGAAAGAGATATGGAGTCTACTTCTACGCCTAAATGCATGATTCTTGTTTAGGGAATAAGATGTGATTTGGCCCAGCTTTCGAAATCTTGTAAATTTAAAATTAGTTTGAAATGCTTTGAAATAAAGGTTTTATTTTTTTCTGAGTTTTTCCATTCCTTATTGATAAGACTCAAGAATTTGGATATACTGAGAGCCTTTACCTTTTTTTCTGCAGTGTCTCCTTTCTCCACCATCCTTTACTAGATCTGACCTTTACAGATGTAGAATATTTGAATTTAATTGCTGTTTCCTTAAATGTCTTGAAGGTTTGGGAGAGATTTCCCTTGAACCAGTTGAGAAATGTATGCATCTCCTTTTGTTTAGCCTTCTCTAAGGCTCCTGCTGAGAACCGTTACATATATGTCAATTGCAATAAAAAAGAGACTGCTCTGTAATTTTTGCGGGGCTCCCCAATTGCTGCATTTCTGTTCCCCTGGGAACTATCTGGGCAGTCCCCCAAGTAACAGCCAGTGCACTTCACCAGAAAAAACATCTGAAGAGGCTCCTATTTGTCCCACATACAGGACAAGATACAACTGGGCTGTGGTTCTGCTAACTGATGTTATTTAATGTATGATTTTATATTTAAAAAATGTTTTTTGGACTGTATGGTCTATTTAACTCAAAGTTTACAATTCAATTATTATGATTTAATTCCAACTCACTCCCTCATTTGTATATATTTGTTCAAACTGAGTTAGGGTTATGCCCTTTTTGCATAGGGACCCTTAAATGGACACTATAATCACCCAGACCACTTCAGCTCAATGAAGTGGTCTGGGTGTCAGGTCCCTCAGGTTTTAACCCTTCAGATGCAAACACAGCAGTTTCAGAGAAACTGCTATGTTTAGATTTGGGGTTAATCCAGCCACTAGTGGCTGTCTTCCGGACAGCCACTAGAGGCGTATCTGCGACGCTGGATGTGAATTTAGTATCCATTGCGCAGAGCGTCCATAGGAAAGCATTGAGAAATGCTTTCCTATGGACTCTTTAAATGCACGCGTGGCACTTGCCACCCATGCGCATTCCGCTTCACTAGGGAGATGACATCGGACGGGGTGGAGAGGTCTCCAGCGCCGAGGGAGCCCGGCGCTGGAATAAGGTAAGCTTCTGAAGGGGTTTTAACACCTTCAGCGCCACAGGAGGGGGACCCTGAGGGTGGGGGCACCCTTAGGGCACTATAGTGTCAGGAAAACCGCTTTGTTTTCCTGACACTATAGTGATCCTTTAAAGTATGACCTGTTATAATGTGGTAACGTGTTGAATGGAATAGTGTAGTGTCATCAATGTTTAGCTCCAATCCTTGATATACAATATTTGAATCCTGTTAGGGCCTCTCATGCACACAGACTCGTTTTCCTGGCACTGTAGGGTTATAAGGCCCCTCCCTTAAAACCCCTTCAGCGACTTACCTTTATCCAGCGCCAAGCTCCCTCAGCGCTCTTAACCTCTCCTCCCCCTGCCAATGTCAGCTCTGCATGCGCAGCCAGACTCGCACGCGTATTCAACCCACCCATAGGAAAGCATTACTCAATACTTTCCTATGGACGTCAGCGTCATCTAAGTGTGATTTTCACACTGAGAATTGCGTAAGCAGCCTCTACTGGCTGTCAGGCAGACAGCTACTAGAGGCTGAATTAATCCTCAGTGAAACTTAGCTTAGGCTGAATTAATCCTCAGTGAAACTTAGCTTCGTTTAAAACTAGAGGGACCTGGGACCCAGACCACTTCATTGAGCAGAAGTGGTCTGGGTGCCTATAGTGGTCTTTTAATTCAAGTTTTGTAAAGTATTTCCATAACCACTAGAAGAGAAACTATTCTCCTTGTTATTTTTTTGTAAATTTTGAATGGGGACGCCCACATTACCAAGCATCTACACTCACTCTTCCACACTTAATTAGTGTTTTAACTTTTTTTTTTTTTTTACCATGCATTAAATGTTGCATCTTTTATGAATGTTTGTTATTTCATGCCTATCTCTACTGTCTGATAAAAAACAGAGTAGCATTCATTTTTGTTTGGTAGATGGACAAAACCAGAACTTGACCTCATTAACCGTTGGGCATTCCAAGGGGAAAAGGTTATTCATGGAAACCCGTCGGGGGTGGACAATGCTGTGGCAACTTGGGGTAAGTTACAGGCAAGTCACTGCCTACAATGTTATATTGCAATGCATTTGAAGCGCTTCTATTCACAGAATCTTGTCTAGCTTTTTTCCAGTTTCCTACTGCGTTCTTCACCCTAAGTCTTTACTCATAGATGTCACTGTCTTATTCCCAGTCAGGTGTCTTACAGTCTGTCTTTTGCTTGCCTTCACCTCCACTTTTGTTTGAGACATTGCTTGTCATGATAAACTAGAGTACCAATGCGCAGATCTTGAATCCTAAGAAATACTCCAAAAGCAGGCTAGCCTTTACTATCAGTCCTTAGAGTGTCTGGGCTTAATAGGAGGCCTAAAGAAAGGCAAAATTGCAGGAACTGTTATTAATTGATAGAATATTGATCTGCATATTTGTTATGCTTTACGATTTTTTTTACATTGTCTTTTATTTATATTTAGGTGGTGTACTACGATATCAGTCTGGAACAATAACTCCATTGGATAGGTACACATTTTATTTTTCTGCTTGGAATTAAAATGCACTTCGTAATTAATTGGCCCAACCATCAACACTTAAGATGTTGGTCTAGAATTAAGGTAACAAAAAAACAGATGTATGTTTTTTGAATTTTATAACATGACAGGAGGCTTTGTATTTGCTTAAGTCTCTCTTTACTAGAACTCCACAGCAGCACAGAAAAAACAACCAATCAGAAAAAAGTTAGGTACTATAAAACTCCCCTCCCCATACATCATTTCCTCTTTCTTTGCTGCTCCGCAGTCACTACAGGTCAGAGTACCACTGCCTCCTGCTTCTAGTGGGTGGCTTTGAAATTTGATTATGATTTATAGTTGTATATTTATTTCATATTAGGATTACTGATTATTTTGTACATTTTATGCTTCCCCTGTTCTCCTTTGGTATTATTTACTAATGTATTGTGGTGGATTTTATGGGGGTTCTTTCTGTATTGCTGGGATTTCCCCTTGCCCCACCCACCCCATCTATCCCTCCGTCTAAATCTGTCTTGCTTCCTCCTGGGATTTCCCCTTCTGCTTTTTTTGCCGCTTTCCACACCCGCGGGCTATGTGTGCTTCGCTCGGGGTTTCAGGCGGCTAGCCGTTCAGATGCCTCCTCTTGATTCCCCGAGCGTCGATGTGGATTCCTTGGTAGCTGGGGTACTAGCGGTCAGACGCGAGTACCCAGCGGCGGACCCATCCGCACTCCTGTCTGCGAGCCGCGTGCAACCGACCGGGTAGAGGAGGGTGCGCTTACACGCTGCCCCTCCTCCGCCCGCGGAGGTCAGATTGAGATGATTTTTTTCCCTCTGGAAAGCAGGCTCTGCAGCACAACGTTTGCAGATTTGGTTCGCCAATTAGATAGAGGGTCTATATTATTCTTATTAACTACCTATGCCCCTGGTCCTATTGTAGACTGTAGTTCTGTTTCTAGTAGAGTTTGGTAAGTTGTAATTCCCAAGTTCAATATAAGAGATACCTTAAGTTGTCACCACTGGCATCCATTCATACAATTTCCATTTGTGCACTACCTTTCTTGTGCAATGTTGAGGAGGTATAATACAGATTAAATCTCAATGCAGGACTGTCTTGCTCTGTTTAAAGAAAGATTCTAGTGTCTCTAGATTTAAAGGGACACTATTATCACTGGAACAATGACCACTTCTATGCCCTACAGCTGGAATACTACCTTTTGCCTGCTAGGCATTAAGAGGCTGCCAGTTCCTGTTAAGGTTTGGGCATGCAATGTTATGCTGTCTAAAAGAGTTGTTGTCTTGGGGTCTTGTGTCACACCTTGTACTGAGGATTTACGGAAATTTATGGGACTATGCCCAAACACAAGGGTCCCCTACTACCGACTTATACACCAACTTTGATTGGCCTGCTCGGTCTGTGCCCCTTTGATTGGCCTGCTCCGTCTTTGCCCCTTTGATTGGCCTGCTCAGTCTGTGCCCCTTTGATTGGCCTGCTCAGTCTGTGCCCCCTTGATTGGCCTGCTCAGTCTGTGCCCCCTTGATTGGCCTGTTTTGTCTGTGCCCCCTTGATTGGCCTGCTCGATCTGTGCCCCTTCAAAAGGCAGGTTTCTACCTGGACTCAAGCCCCCTCTGGCCATAGGCCTGGGGGAATATTACGGGGGAGCCCCTCCTTACTCACTATGGACACTGAGGTGTGTGTGTCCCTGTAGCAGAGCTACCACACTACATGGGGTGACACCGGTCATTTCTACCCCTACAGTTAAGACACCATCCGCTATGGACTACTGACCCGGGAGAACCTAGAGACTATGATATATGTGGCTGAGGCCACCTCTGTTGGAAAAGCTATGTAACGAGCCTCCCACTACTACCTCAATATAGAGACATGGAGGGACTCCGGGCGCACAAGTAGAGTGAGGCTCTGACTCACCAGAAAAGACCAGAGACATACACCTAGGTCTTATGGGAAGGGTGAAGGCCCTGAACCTTGTGCCCTGAGGGGCAAGGCCCTGCTAAACGCCCTGAGCGGACAGCCACGGTTTCACCAGCCCAGCAAAGGCATATCTCCTGGGTGCGAGGAAACATGTACAGTGTCCAGTGCTCGGACACCCTCGTCAGAAGACAGGATTTCATTGGCATTTAACTACTACTCCCTTACCTGCTAGTCCTATGTCTTTTATATCTAGGTGGTTTTGATCTAGGTCACACTAGTGCTTGACTATTTCCGCTGGTTTTCCCTATACTTTGCCTTTCCTGTCCGTTATATTTCCGTCCCTCTGAGATACGTATTTTTCTCTATCTGAAGTTTATCTTAGTTCTGTCACCTTTTCATTCTTTCATATCTTCCGTTGCCTCCCGCCTGGGACGTTGAGAGGCCTGACTTGACCTCCTCCGACCTCCCGGGCTCTCGTGGATCGCGGAGAACGTCTCCAGCTTTCCTCAGGCTACCGAAGGTCATCCTGGATCCCGCGTGTGCGGGATCCGTGCGGTCCGTTGGTAGATCCTATCTTTTTTTTCCAGTGGTTACTTCCTCTCAACATCCCTTTCTGTTATTCAAGATGGGCACAGCCCGAGGGTTGTATACTACTCCGTCTACCATCGGTCTGGTTTATTCCCAGTTGATCCCACCTCTCAGGTGAGTGATTCAGAGCAAGGTCTCGTGGTTAGAGAGGAACCCTCCTCAGGATCTCAGTCCTACACTGATATTATTAAAGGGTGATCCCCCGCATTTGGTCACCCTGAGTCTGACATGGACTCTAGTTTGGATTGCAAGAGGGTGCGGCCCTCCATCACCTCGGCCCCAGACTGATATTTATTTACACAAGTAGAGAGCGAACCCCTCTCATATACTGAACCAGACACTGCTTCGTTGTTAGAGGGCACGGCCCTTCCTCAACCTCAGTTTGATACTGAGATAGATACAGAAGACATGTTCTGATTGTGGCCCACTCTCATAGAAGGAGCCGGACACGGATGTAGACACTATATTTTGTTATTAACAGATACGCCCCGCTCGTGCTATCAGCCTGATGCTGACACGGAGTTCGATTACATTATTAGAGAGTGCGGCGCTCTCTCTCATAAACTCATCACACTGTGGTGCCTTCCCCTTGTTCATCACACAGGCTTGTACCTGTACAGGACAACGAGGTCTGCATAGAGGGGCGTCCCTCCTACATTCAATTCAATATGGAGGTACGTACCACATACCGGATTTACTGCTGATGCTTCAGCTCTTGTACAAGGGTATTGTACCTCACCGTTATGCAGGGGAGACGATGCTTTATGGCAACTGGGTAAGGGGAGAGAACCCCTCCAGTTAATCTAACGTCTGTGCTACTGATTTCGTTATAGAGGGCTACCTGATCGTGCAGGGTATACATGTTTAGACTGGATTTCTCTATTTCATCTCCTATATGGATCTACTGGGTCCGTGCCACGGTATCCCACGCGGGAAATACTCACTGAGGTATTACTGGGGGAAATTCCCCACCTTATTTACACGCTCCTCTGAGACTTTATGGGACAGTGTAGGGGTTGTTTGAACTAACCATCTTGGGTTCAGCTCCCAGGATAAGTCCCCCTTTTTGTTGGTGACCCTATACCTCCCTATTGGATGTACTCCTGGAGACGGTACGGCTAACGGATGAGCCTCAGTTATTACAAGGGTGCAGATTTTTGGTATAATCTACGTTATATCAAACAAGCAATCGCACTCTGTTTAGGTCATACAGACCATTGCGTACAAACGGCTCAGAGTGTTTTTTTTCCCATGTCAAGGTGACATGAGATCCTGAAGCCTTCATAGAGCAAACGTGCACTGCCTTACTCGGGTGACAAGACTGGGGAAGGCCCACAACCTGGGCTGCAGGAACACCGTATGCATAGATCGCATGGAAAGAACGGAATCTTCGGTCGACTCTGGGTTCACTGGTCATTAACAATCTTGGGATAGATGACAGGACTACCTCTACTCCTCGGAGAACATCTGGAGAACATGATTCGGTTATGGAAGGTCCTCCTTTTATACACTAATCCCTCACGGGAACCGTCTTGGTTTTGGTTTCCGCTAACCCACCTATTCAACTACCATCAAGGAGGCCTACTTGGACTCTGTTGGGATACCATGTGTACCCCGACTCCTACACAGGCGTCAAAAGGTCAGGACGCGACCTACAGCTTTAGTAATGTTCAGGATCTGTAGCAGGCTCGGATATGACAGCCGCCGTTCTCAAACTGGACTGCCCCTGCTTCAGATGGTTGGAGCTAGGCTCTTGTTCATTTGCTATATTTGTTCGCTGGAGTCACCTGTCGTTAGTGAAGGGACTTTACGTCCTACCTACGTATTAGAAGATGCTTGGAGTTCGCGGGACTCCAGGCTAAGAAGGGAGGTATTCCTCTATAGGGAGGTTCTCAAATTCACATTCCTGGGTCCCTTGGCCTAGAGCCTACTCTTGGAGATACGTGCCCGGACAGTCGGGGATACAGGGTCCTAAAGGTCTCACTATATTATACTCTATCTTGAATGTGGCGTGCAGACCATGAGTTCCCCCACGAACTTTGACAGGTTGGGCATGGAACAGGATCATACAGACGATTGATCAGATTATTCACTCTCTCCCTATTCAGTCACCAGTCTAGCGGAGGGAAGTCCTGCTCCAGACCCGCTCACTAGGGCCGATTCATTTTTTTTTCGCCAGCTGGCCTACACTTGGACCGCTTTCGAAGCCTTTGCGGTTCACCATGCGAATACAGCACGTGAGAACTCTTCTTCGTCTGTGCAGGGCCCTATTACCCTTGGACACGGGCCAATTATCACTCCCCGACGAGGATATATTTGGATGGAAATCTCAACCTCTAGTTTCGTTTCCCTCTTTTTGGGTATATCCAGGATTCACAGCTCCCCAGAGTAGTCGATCACCGTTTCGCTAAACAAGTTCAATGTTGGGACTCTGATTGGACGTCCCTTTGGAGTACTTTGTTCTACCACAGTTGCGGGTTACCCAGTCCATTTGGAGTACTAGAAACACTGTTGCCTGCATAATAGATTCATTCTCGGACGAGACCACTCACCGGGTAGATCATGAGGGAACAATAAATCCCTATTCGGTTCGGTTACGGAATTGGTGGTAGACTCAGACGCGTTACCTGAGGTTGGAATTTTACCTACAAGACCACGTCACCGGGTGATTCTGACATGATTGAAGAAACCATCTTCCACATCAAAGATCGAGACCTGGTGGCAGTTTTTCTTGCGATCCTATATCCACGGATGACCTTATTTTACACTTACAGGAAAAGGGCTAATAGGTCTGCTTTGCAGTTCGTAGACGTCTGCTAGGAAACGGCTCGCAACCCCATGTACAGTGGATCTAACAGCGGATGGAGTGTTTGCCGTATTTTGTGGTACATCGACTGCTGGCATCTTCATCGATCCGTCTACTGTCATATCTCGCAGTTGGTACGTCCATTTGGGATTGCTCTAGTTATCTCCCGGAATAGGTACCAGTGAAACAAACAGCGTTGAATTTGTTGGCTGAGCGTTAAAACAGCAAATACGAAGCCTCCTGTCATGTTATAAAATTGTAGATTATGCTAGCTTTAGTGTACCTATAATCTTAATTTTATTAAATGACAGGAGGTGAGTATTTCCCACCCATTCTTATCCCTCCCTTGTTTAATTTTAATAGTTTGGGTTCATTAGGTACGTATGCAACTCTGCTTGTTGTCTCTGCTACCTATCACTTGTTCTTATGTCTATTTTTTCATAAGTCGGGTTGGGATCTATGCAGGTTACAGTAATTTTGGTTGCTACATTGGATACCTACATGTTTGTTCAGAGTACATTTCATTGGCTAACCAATCTGTTCGATTCTGTTTTCTCTCGTTTCAGTTTACAGTCTATCAACGTTACCTGGTGTGGCAGTTCTTGTCGGATGGTGGACATTGCTGTATTCATTGTATCTAGGACTTAGTTTCTTCCCCATTATATTTTCTGCCTTTTGTTCTGTTTTGTCGCAGCTTGAAAGAGGAAATGATGCATGGGGATGGGAGTTTTATAGTACCTAACTTTATCATTGGTTGTTTTTTCTGTGCTGCTGTGGAGTTCTAGTAAAGAGAGACTTAAGCAAATACTCGCCTCCTGTCATGTTATAAAATTAAGATTATAGGTACACTAAGGCTAGCATAATCTACAATTTTCACTTTACCAAGCAATATTAATTGTTCTCTGCACACAGTTGTTTGAATATTCATGAAAAATCGAGATTGGAACAATTCTTGTGTGGTCTAAACTTATTTTCATTTTGCTTTGAATAAAAAAAAAAAGGGACTGTTTTTTAAGTAGTAAGTAATATCTGTTTATGGGGAATTCTAGCCAACACAAAGCTTTAAAAACTATGTATTTCTAAAACTGCTGGGACATTACAGGGAATTCTAAATAATGAGTATTCCCTGTAATGTCCCAGCAGTTGATTTGGCCCATATCAGTGTCTCCGTTCACTGGAACATAGTATTTTACCCTGTATTGGTACATGTTCTTTAAATACTTTCACTTTCGAACAGTTTTTGTTCTCTTTGTCAGTCACCTTTTTGTGTACCTGATGGATTCCCGGGTCAAGGGCCTGTTGAAAATGTAATATTATTTTTGTATAAAACGGTAAAGCTGCTATAAAAATTGTAAGCTTTGATTGCTGCTTATTATAATGATATGATCTGCACTCTTTCAAGGGTTCCCAAGCTGCAGATTGTACTGACTAATACTCGGGTTCCACGCAGCACAAAGATCCTTGTGGCTGGAGTCAAAGACAAGTTGCTGAAGGTCAGTTAACTCTGCATTCAACTACAATTTTTTTTCTTTCCAGATATTTATTAGGAGGAAAAGTAGTTTGCAAGTCATCATGAATCAGGCATATACAAAATAAAAATTTACAATACATCATAGGTATAGGCACATATGAAAGAATCCTATACAAGGAATAAACATTATAACAACATGAAATACATCCTTTTTTTATGTTCCTGGTCAAATAAAAATACGTATAAAATATGTGGGAAAGGAAGAAAAATCTAAACTAAGCAAATAAATAGGAAAATTTAATTGAACAATTTAGGGTTTATGGAAATAAAAAGAGGAAGAAGGAGTAGTATAAATATGGGTATAAATATGTGTGCCTGTTCCTCTTTAACGTTAGTCCTACTTTCACCCTTGCTCAAGTCTCCACTGGCTCTTGGTGGAACTGCATTACCCTACATCAAGCTTTAGGCTGATATCTGGGAATAAAGAAGAAGTACTGTGAAAAAGGCTACAATCACTGCGTTTGGATCCTGGTGGAAGACTTTGAATTGAGTTGATAGCGAGAAGAAGCTGTGGCTGGTGGAAGTACCCATTAGGGGTACAGGAAGCTCCATTATTCCTTCCCTAATCTTACCTTACCTTGAACCATACACTATCTTTAACTACAAAACAGCATTAACTCATAGCCAGTGTTGACCATTACCTTACCCTAACCCTACTCTTATCCCTAAATCAATATTAATCAATATTTTAATATATAACAATGTAGATAGTGGTATGTCAATAGCTGCTTCTCTGTTAATTCTTTCAGCCATCACCTCCAACGTTCCCCTGCTACCTCTTGTCTTAAATCCCCATGGTATCCTTTAGATTGCAAGCTCACGGGCCATCTAGCCAAGCACTTTGTATAAAAGAACTCCAGTGGCTAGATATCAGCTAACGGGCAAGGCTCTCTCTACCTCTTGTATTTGTCTGTGTATATTGTACGTTTCTCCACTAATTGTACAGCGCTGCGGAATCTGTGGGCGCTTTATAAATAGCAGTAATAAATAATAAATAATGTTGCCACCATCTAATGGCTATTTTTAGAATTACACATAGTGTAATTCTAAATGAAATCTGGTTCCCAGCCGATTATACAAACATAGGTGCAGCACCTGTCACAAATCAGCTGGGGATAGGCTGGGGAACCCTGCTAGGGTCTATTCGCACAATGGAGGGTTCCCTCTGAGCATGCTAGAGCTTAGAATGGGGTTTTGCAGCACTGACTTGTGGATTTAACTGTGCTCACACCACAATCTCTATGTAGGCATTTAATTAATGAGCTGCTTCCAGTGCTGCACAGAGCTCACCAGTCAGTCTGGGGCCACTAAATTGCCCCATTACACTAAAGGGATCCCTGGGTATCCATTGATACTGGAATTTAGTGGTGTGAGCAGGGATTTACCCTGCTCACACTGCTATTATTTAAAAAGCGTATTTAAATGCCTATTTCAATAGCTGTTTGCAGCGCTGGCTTCCAGTGCTGTTAGCATGTCGTCGAAAAGTCTAAGATCATTAAAAATGCCCGAGCAGACCAAGAGGAGCCCCAGGTATACATTAATATCTGGGGCTCCCTAGTGTGAGCAGACCAAACCTGCGGGGTGTTCTGTGGCATTCCTACAGGTATTTAATCCCACTCTGTGTAGGAGATAGAAAGTGTTTACTCAAGATCTATATTCGTAAAGGTTAACGTGGAAGGAAGTACAGCCAATGCAATAATACATTTTCAGCATGGATTTAGTTTTAATGCTGCAATGTCATTTTTTAATTTTTCATAAATATAAAATCATTACAAAATTAATTTAGAATATATTGGTAAAATAAAGGCTCTGGACAAGGTAATTTTTTGACAAAATGTTGCAAAAGCTGGAGTCTGGGGTTGCTGTATTTCTCATGCAGAGAGCCAGCCTGCATTTGGGATCTGGACTGCCCTTTTAGGTGGGATCAGTCTGATATGCAAATGGCCCTGGTTCTGTAATGGCATATGGTATTATGTAAGGGAATATAAGAGAAGTTTCCTCCTACTTGTGTGTAACCTAGTGAAGCCATGCTTTAAATTGGAATATCTCTGGGGGTGTCAGTCTTGGCAGGAGAGTTCAGATCCTGCAAATGTAGGGGTATTAATATGTTTGCAGGAGCTGTAGGGTGATATTTTTGTATTGGATGATTGGAAGGTCTGAGTGGTTGAGTATAATATTTTCAGGCGTGAAGGGTTGGAGGTTAAGTAGTGATGGGTATCGTGTATCTTCCTCTTGAATCTGTCTATTAGTCCACACCTTCTCATCTTCAGTACAAGCCATCTGCCAATACATTTTCAGTGGGGTACTTTAATCCCTTAGTGACCAGACCGTTTTTTAATTTTCTTACTGTTAAGGACCAGGGCTCTTTTTACATTTCTGTGGTGTTTGTGTTTAGCTGTTATTTTCCTCTTACTCGTTTACTGTACCCACAGATATTATATACTGTTTTTCTCACCATTAAATGGTCTTTCTAAAGATACCAATATTTTCATCATATCATATAATTTACTATAAAAACAATTATAAAATGTATAAAAAATGAAAAAAAAACAATCACACTTTTTTGAATTTGACCCTGAAAATCTGTTGCGCATCTACAACTGCCAAAAAACACCTGTGCTACATAGTTTCTAAATTTTCTCCTGATTTTACAAATACCCAATGTTTACATGTTGTTGTTAGCTTTTTTTTTTGTGTATGCAAGTTATAGAGCAATAAGTACAAGTAGCACTTTGCTATTTTCAAACCATTTTTTTTTTTTTTCAAAATCAGTTACATTGTAACACTGATATCTGTCAGGAATCCCTGAATAACCCTTCACATGCATATATTTTTTTTTTAAAGAAGACAACCTAAGGTATTAAACTTAGATTTTTGACTCTTTCCATGCAACCATTTTACCACCAATCTATGCCAAATTAAAAAAATAATAATTGGTGATTTTTTTGAAACACATAGTAATTTAAGAAGAAGCAGCAGACACTGTATCTAGTGATGTATTTGAGCAATTGGCAGGTCAAAATCCGGGTCGGAGTCAGACATAGACGCATCAGACTCTAACGCAAGGATGGCATACGCCTCCTCAGCGTTATACGACCTCTGTGACATGATCACAATCACTTTACTTAGTGATCATTCCCCCCCAAAAAACCCAAAAAAAACAGCAAAATAAGTGCTGCTGTGCAAGAGCCGGTGATCTATCCAGTGATCACAATTTTGCAAGAGCCGATGATCACAATTTTACAAATCCCTACTTAAAACTACCTAAATCTCTCTACCTACAACACAGATCTCTCTCCCTCACTTACTATAATAAAAGTGAAGAGAGGGAGGGAAATCCATCCTGATCAGAGTCATTATTTACAAATATTGACCAGACGAATGGGGACCATAGTTATAGGGGCAAGCTCTGATTGGATGTCCCTAGCCTGCCTCTACGATAAGGCAGGCTAGGGACACCCCCTGAAGCCCCATGAATGCAGCACCATCTTGGGAGCCACATGGCTGGGAGAGGTGGTGGGGAGGGTTAGTACATTTATTTAATGTGTATATATATTTTTTAATTTTTTTAATTTTTATTTTCTTAATTCTTCACTGAGTGCCTTGACCCCTCGAGGCACTCAGCACAGGAAGAGCAGCAGAAGCCTGCCCGATGGCTTCTGATGCTCTGCTTAACTGCCGGGTGCCAAGTGGAGCAACCCGGAAGTGATCGCTCCTCGGGGAGCGATCACCCGGCAGTAAGGAGAAGTATTGCATGATGCCTCGACATCAAGCCATCGCTGCAATACTATCAGAGCGGCTGGAAGCGATCATGATCGCTTACAGCTTCTCAAATTAGCCGTGGACGTTTCAGGTATATCCGCGGTCCTTAAGGACTGGGTTTTTTTTGTCGGGAAGGGGTTAAGCATTTAAAGGAACACTATGGTGTATTCCTGACACTATAGTTGTAAAAGTGACATTATGGTGACCAGAACGGATCACTGTTAAATGAGTAAAAGGTAATTTTACTCACCTTTTTCCCAGCTCCATGGTGGTCTCATCGTGGCTGGCAGCACTAACCCAGGAAGAAGAAGCTGTAGTGGCAGTCTAAGTGACTGCCACCAGAGTTGTTCCTTGGTGGAGGGGTTCCTCTGAAAAGGCAGTGTTTGCATTAAAAAACCTGCAGATACACAGTTTTGGCCCTTGGAACAACTATATTAAGCTGTAGTTGTTCTGGTGACTATTGTGTCCCTTTAAATGCTGCCTTCTGCATATAGGTAGTGACGGGTTGGTCAGAACAGTTTTATTTCCATAGGGACAAATTTAAAATTGTTTTTTTTTAATTATTCTCTATTAACCTTTCTTTGTGCACTGGTGTACAGTCATGATGGAATAGAAAATGGCCTTTCCCAAACTAATCACACAAAGTTGGAATTATAGCATTGTCTAAAATGTCTTGGTATGCTGAAGAATAAAGATTTCTCTTCACTGGCAGTAAGGGGCCTAGCCCAACCCCTGAAAAACAGCCCCATACCATTATCCCTCCTTCATAATACAGTTGGCACAGTGCAGTCAGGCAGGTAACATTCTCCTGGCATCCCCAGCTCACCCATCAGACTGCCAAATAGAGAATTGTGATTCACTCAGAACACGTTTCCACTGTTCCAGAATCTAGTGGTGGCATGCTTTACACACCTCATTGTATTTGGTGATGTGAGATTGGCATGGAAGCCCATTCCATGAAGTTGCTGTTGTTTCTAAACGCTTCCACTTTCCAATAATACCACTTACAGTTGACCATGGAATATCTAGCAGGGATGACATTTAGCAAACTGACTTATTTCAAAGGTGGCATCCTATCACACTTGATTTCACTGAGCTCTTTAGAATGACCAATTTCTTCCATAAATGTTTGTAATTGCAGACTGTATGGCTAGGTGCTTGATTTTATACACCTGTTTAAATGGGTCTGATTGAAACACCTGAATTCAATAATTAAGGGCTGTGTCCCAATATTTCTGTCCATATAGTGGATTCTATTTGAGATGATAATTGAGTTCAGTTTGTAATGTAAGCAGTATTAAATGTTTAACAAATGTTCTAAAGGCTCCTATATACATCATAAATGTGGGTTATAATGAATGTACATTAGGAGAACATCTGCACAATGTAGAGCCCATTGTCCTGCCCAACACCATATCATCTACCAACATTTTTTTGTTCCTGCAGTTTCCAAGTATCATGGAACCAGTCCTGGAATCTATTGATGCAGTTTCCCAAGAGTGCCAGCGTGTATTAGAAGATATGGTAACAGATATGTCTATGGATCATTACTTTGTGTTAGAGGTAAGTCCTCTCTTGAAGTGGATTGACCATCGCTCTTAATATTGTAATACTGAACTTATGATGGCAATAAAATATTGATAAAATGTTCAGATTTTTGCTTGTAAGTTAATAAACAATGTATTGCATATGAGTGTATGGCATTCCTTAGAAACTTGGAATTGATCTGCTCATTTTCAATCTTATGTCACTAGTTCTTTCTGTCTGGGCAAATCATTCTTGGAAGGGTAATAATTGGGAATAATTATCGCTGTTTAGGGAATCCTCTTGGCTTCCTGGAACATAAATGCCTATAACTTTAATGTATATTAAAACCATCATAAAGATAACCGGTATGTATATTCTTTTGCTACCTGTCACCTTTGTGATAGTTTAAATATATATTAAAGTTATAGGCATTTCATTTCCAGTAAGCCAAGAGGATTTATTTCCTAAACACCAATTACAGTAAAACCCAATTGCAAAATTTTAAATAATTAAGCTATTACCAGATGGGAGTTGGAGAATCTTCTCTTTGATCCCAAATTTTCCACTTCTGTTTTCAATCTATTATGAATTACCAAATTATAATTTAAAAAAAAATGTATTTATTTTAAACTCTCAAGATATGTTTGGTACACTTCCATGTAAAAAACAACAACATTTTATTGAAAGAAAAAGAAAAAACACATTAAAATCTATATGGAGTTCACCTTATAGGGACACTCCAGGCACCAAAACAACTTTATTCAAATTAAGTTATTGTGCCAGGAGGCCCTGAAGTTACTCTTACCTCAAGGGATTAAACTGTTCTCAAATGGTTTAACCCATAAGTTGCCTGCAGTGGCGATTCTTTCCAAGCCAGTTTAGTGAATGGGGAGCCACTGATTGGCTGAAACTAAAAATTCAGAAGACGCATGCCGCCTGAGGGGATTGGACATCGCTGCTGAAGGTAACTTTCGAGAATGGTTTAACCCCGTGAGGTAAGAGTGCCTCCAGGGACCTCCTGGCACCATGACAACTTCATTTAGATGAAGTTATTTTAGTGCCTGGAGTGCTCTTTTAACCCCTTAGTGTACGTCCGGCAAAAAACTGACGTGCCTGATATGTCCGCTCCTCTCTTCCAGAAGCTTTAATGGTATTGCAGCGATGCCTCGATGTCGAGGCATCGCTGCAACATCCCCCCCTACCACCAGGCGATCACTTCTGGCTTTCCGGGCTTTCGATGCTGCCTGTACTGAGTCCCTTGAGAAATATTTACATTTTTTTTTTTTTAACCCCTACCCACCCTCCCTCTCCTTCCCCATGTACTTACCGATCGCTGCCGCTCCCCCGGCGGCGATCGGTCTTCCTCTGAGGGGGACTGCCCAGACAGTCCCCCATGTGCAATTTAGGACCCCCAGGGGCCATGTGACCAGTCTAAAAGATCGGTCACATGGCAACAATAGGTGTCCACAGTGCTGCCAGCGCATATATATATATATATATATATATGTATATATATATATATATATATATTTTTTTTGTATTTATATATTATAAAAAATAAATAATAATAAAAATAAATAAAAAAACATGTAAAAATAATTTAAAAAAAAAAAGATATATATTCTAATTGTATTTTGATATTAATATATATATATATCTATGTATATCCCATTAATAACCGTGGACGTACTACTTACTCCTGACAAAAAAACGGTCTTAAGGACCGCGGACGTACCTAGTACGACCTAGTACGACCGCGGCAAATAGGAGCCCTGGACTAGCGATCCGCGGCGATCACGGTCGGGGGGGGCTGCCGGAGACCCCAGCAGTCCCCCTGCAGCAGCTCCTGCCCTCCAGGGCTATGTGATCACCATGATCACATTGCCGCAATAGGAGTCTAGCAGCTGCCAGCAGGGAAACTGTCTGAGCTGTTAGACAGTCCACCAGGCTGCTAAAACTTAAAAAAAAAATTATATATATTCTAATTGTATTTTGATATTAATATATATATATATCTATGTATATCCCATTAATAACCGTGGACGTACTACTTACTCCTGACAAAAAAACGGTCTTAAGGACCGCGGACGTACCTAGTACGACCTAGTACGACCGCGGCAAATAGGAGCCCTGGACTAGCGATCCGCGGCGATCACGGTCGGGGGGGGCTGCCGGAGACCCCAGCAGTCCCCCTGCAGCAGCTCCTGCCCTCCAGGGCTATGTGATCACCATGATCACATTGCCGCAATAGGAGTCTAGCAGCTGCCAGCAGGGAAACTGTCTGAGCTGTTAGACAGTCCACCAGGCTGCTAAAACTTAAAAAAAAAATTATATATATATATATATATATATATATATATGTATATATGATTTAATTATAAGTACATATATATACACACACATCTCAAAATACACTTATAATGAAATCATATATATGTGTAATATATTATAAAATGCTTTAATTATAATATATTATACATATATAGGAAATAAAAGTGTGTGTGTGTGTGTGTGTGTGTGTGTATATATACATATGAACACACAAATACGTGTGTGTGTGTGTGTGTGTATACTACTGGATTTTTTTGTGTGTGCACGTTTCCATGTGTAATGAAAATCATACAAATTCAAGTTCTACAACATCTACCTGCTGGGCAGCCGGTCTTAAGAAGTGAGAGTGTAATTGTTTGACTACTTTATCAACGTATGGATTTTTTTTTTTCTTTCAAAAGCATGTGCTGATTCATCTATTCTTCTATGTACTAAGGCCTCTATTTAATATTGTTGGATATGTTTTCCAAATGGTTTTAATAATTTTAAATACGTTTTTAAAAATTTATTTAATATTATGAAAAATATTCGAATTTTGTAATATTTTTTTTTTATATTTATATATTGATATTTTATTATATATGCTCTATTTGTTATATTTTAATATCTTGAAAAAAATAATTTAAAAAGTTAATTCAAAAATATTACATTATTTGTAAAATGTATCTAAATATATGAAATAAAGACCAAAATGTTTATTGGAAAAGGCGTTTTTCAAAATAGGAAACTGATGGTCTTAGATCAGTAATAACTTTCAAATTCCAACTGAGGAGTTTGTGTTGGTAATACATGTAGTATTCTGTGCTATTATACATCTACAGGGTACTTACACAATTAAAGATGTATTGCCCTAGTTTGAGAGATCAAGGTCCAAAATATTTAATAGTAACATCAGAGATCCCTTTTAATTTTGAAAGCTTTGATATTGAATGGTTTCGTTTTTTAGAAACCCCATATGGACGAACAGAATCAGGGCACATAGATCAGTCTTTAGGACTATCATTTGGAACACTGATTTAACAAACTTCTTGACGGTTGTTCTGACTTCAAGTTAGTATATATAATATTCCTTTTTCAGGTGAAGTTCCCAGCAAATATAAAGATTCCTTAGCTGAACGTCAGAGATCTTTTTTTTTGAGGATGGCTAAACGAATCAGAATTTTGTGGCTGAATGTGCTGCCTGTCATAAGTCCCCAAATGTAACGCATGGCATACCAAAATGCATATCATTTGTGTCAATTTATGGCAGATGGCTGCATGTATAATCTTATCACATGTGAATTTTTGTAGTGAAAAATCACTCAAAGCACTCACTTAAGAGGAAATGTTTTTGAATCAGAATCTGGATTGAATTAAACCAAAAGGTTTAATTGAAACAAAAAACTTTTATGGTTTCTAATGACCTTGTTTCTGCTTCCAAAATGACAAGTCACATTCTCTTGCTGATGGCTCTCTGTTTTAAGATTTTTTTTTTTATATTGCCATATTATCCCCCATAGTACCATATTACCTCACAATTTTAGAAAATAGGACTGTAATCATTTTCTGGAGGCTTTTGTTTTTGCCTTGAATTTTATAAGAAGGCATACTTCTGTTTCCACATGTTTTCATATAATAATTTTTGTTTTTTCCCCCCAGGAATTGATTGACATCAATCAACACCACTTAAATGTAATAGGGGTCGGTCACCCATCATTAGACAAGTTGTGTCAGGTGACTGCATCACATGGTCTGCACAGTAAATTGACTGGCTCTGGAGGTGGAGGCTGTGCAATAACTTTACTGCGACCTGGTAATAGCACTTCACGTTATTATTAATACAAGTTTGAAATAATGGCTGAATTTGCTCCTTCATCTATTTTTTTATTTTTTTTAATTTTTTTTTACATCTGGTTACATTGTCCTAAAATATAATATAGTCTTTTGTGAGCAACCCAGTCTGTGCTAGAAGTGTAAATGCCGTGGGGGGGTGGGGCCTGACTATCATGGCGCCTAGATACGTTTCAAGAGAGCTCCTCAAGAAACACTGCACACAGTTGATTTATCGGCTAATCTAGCTATGATTCCGAAACTTGCTATATACCTTCTGCTACAGAAGTCAACTGACCGATTTGGGAAAGCCTTCAGCGGTCTCCAGTGCCCATCCAGAAGCCGACTTGCGCGGGAGAGGTGGCCGACCTCCCGGCCTGACGCAGGCAGGGCTCAGAATCCTGTAGTGATGCCCTACTACCCCCCATTTGGACCAGTGTGGGTTATCCCAGTCTCCACCCTAGAGGCACACAAGTCCCATCAAGGAACCGTGATAGAGCTTCTGAATCAAACAGCATTGAGGGTGACACACCTTAAATGGCTGACACCACGTGCACCTTGGATATCAACAGAGGGACGCACACTATTCTTCACTGCCTAGAAGCAGTGTTTGAAGCCTACTGACGGAGGCTGAGAAGGAAGCAGTCACTACCTGTCTCTGAGGTGAATGAGGCACCACCTGGACCACCTCGAAGAGCCCCATGCCACTCAGAAGCCGTTATCAGGGGCCCAGTGTGCTAAAGACGGCGAAGATCCCATTGATATGCCCAGAGGCAAGCACTGAGCAGCAACGTATAACTGCTGCTTACCATCAAGACAGGCATGTGGAATATGCGGAGGGAAGACAAGTGGAGAGAGAAGCAACTGCAGAAGCTGGACCCCAAGCTGATACCTCTAGCTTCAGGCCTGCAGCTCACCGCTAAGTAGGCCTGTATTATACCTACAATGGGGATAGGATGAACGCCACGACGAGCCTCCTGTTCTGTGTATCATCACAGTGTGCCGTTTCCCATTATAACATGCCCGTAATGTTTATCAGTTTGATTGCATCTAGTTACTTTTATTTTTAATATTCCATATTGGCAAACCTCAGATTGCTGTATCTTATGGCTTCAACCTAACTTGGATGTCCATAATATGTTGTCTTAGGAGGCGGTACGCCCTCATGTATAGGCAAGTTAATTGTCAAATACAATTGTAGATTATGCTAGCTTTAGTGTACCTATAATAGAATGTGACGGCAGATAAGAACCATTTGGCCCATCTAGTCTGCCCAATTTTCTAAATACTTTCATTAGTCCCTGGCCTTATCTTATAGTTAGGATAGCCTTATGCCTATCCCACGCATGCTTAAACTCCTTTACTGTGTTAACCTCTACCACTTCAGCTGGAAGGCTATTCATGCATCCACTACCCTCTCAGTAAAGTAATACTTCCTGATATTATTTTTAAACCTTTGTCCCTCTAATTTAAGACTATGTCCTCTTGTTGTGGTAGTGTTTCTTCTTTTAAATATATTTTCTTCTTTTAAATATATAATCTTAATTTTATTAATAACAGGAGGCGAATATTTGCTTAAGTCTCTCTTTACTAGAACTCCACAGCAGCAAAAAAACTCAGAGAGTAACAACCAATCAGAAAAAAGTAAGGAGACCATATAACTCTCTTCTCAACATTCCATTTCCTCTTTCAAGATGCGATAACAACACAGACAGAAAAAACATAACATAACAATAACAGTCCATCTCCAACAGAAATAACGACTCTCTTAGGATTCTTCAAACGAAATGAAGACCTGAACGTGATCCCATCCTGGGAACTTTACACTGAAACAAGATAAACAAAATCGAAAATTGTGATTAGCCAATGAAATGTACGTATAAAAACATGTAGCCACCCAGCGCAATTTTATAGAGAACATCATCAAGTCTACCGATCCCCGCCCTAGGCAATAATGAAAAAATACATATGGTAAATAATCACAAGGAATACTGACCAGAGATATAACTCGTTATTAATACTCAACATACAAGATAAAAATACAAGGGTCGGGAACAAAAAGGGTGGGAAATATTCGCCTCCTGCCATTAATAAAATTAAGATTATAGGTACACTAAAGCTAGCATAATCTACAATTTTATAACATGACAGGAGGCTTCATATTTGCTGTTTCAACGCTCAGCCAGTAGGGCAAACAATGCATGTTCCGTCGGTCTGAAGTAAAACTGTCGGAAGGTGTCCTCCCGAGACCAGTCTGCTGAACGTAGAATGTCGGACAGGGAAGCACCTGCTACTAGGGCTCCTGACGTCGCCGCGCCCCTAACCGAATGAGCACCAAATTAGGACTCCACGCCGGCCAACAACAATAGCCATCTGATCCAGCGAGCCAAAACCGGTTTATGTGGTCGTACATAAGATATCAACAGTTGTCCTGATTGGAAACTTCTAAGCAGGGTAGTAACTGTCAAATAGCGAGACAGGGTAGAAACCACACAGAGCTTAGGAGCCTCTCGAAAAAATGGGTAGAAAATGGCAGTGGAGTCTGACTTGGTACGTCTCGACACCGAAAAGGTCACCCCGTGCGGGATAAAGGTGAACGCACCTTAACTTCAAAAGCCCGAACATAGGAGACGATACCAGGCACAACAGAAGCGTAAATTTAGCTGACAATTGTCGTAGAGAAAGGTCCTGATTCTCTGGCCATGAATGAATGAAATCCAAAACCCGGTGTACGTCCCAGAACGATGTATATTTATATATAATCTACAAACCAAAGGGTCTTGTCCAATGGCCGTCCCCTGCAGAGGGACATGAGCCGCTGAAATGGCCGACCTGGCAACGTTAACTGAACGATACAACTTCCCTTAATCGAAGAGGTGAGAAAGGAAATTCAGTACGCTGGATATAGGTGCTGTAAAGGGATCGATATTCCGTTCCACGCACCAACGACACCAGACGTTCCAGGCGGACAGATAACATCTCCTCGTTCCTGGGGCCCATGTGTCCCAGAGGAGATTTCTAGCTGATCCCAATAGCTCATCGACATTCCAGGTACCCCGGAAAGAGTCCAAGCCACCAAGTGGAGGTGGCCTTCAAGTACGAGGGGGTGATTGTTGCCTCGTGGATCCGACAGGAGTATTTGTGGAGACGGAAGAAGCGGGTCCCAACATGATAGCTCCAGCAATTCTGGGAACTAGGCTTGGCCCTGCCAAAGAGACGTCATCAACAACACCAACGATACCTGTTGTCGCCGTAACTGGAGTAGGACCCTGGAGATCATAGTGAACGGTGGAAATGCATAGGCTCCGTGCGATGGCCAGTCCTGAAGGAAAGCATCCACTGCTGCGCATGTTGGATCAGGAAGCCAGCTGAAGTAATTTGGGATCTGGAAGTTTGTCCTGGAGGCGAACAGATCCACTGTGAATGGGCCCCTTTGTCGCGCCACTTTGAGGAAAACTGGTCGATGCAGCCGCCAATCGCTGGCATCCCTCCAGTGTCTGGAGAACCAGTCTGCCGTCAGGTTCGAAACTCCTGAGAGATACTCTGCCTGGAGAGTGATATTGCGCTGAAGGCAAAAGTTGTAAATCTCCTTTGTGACTTCCGTCAGTGTCCGTGAGGCCCACCCCCTCCCCCCCAGGCGGTTGATGTACTGCACCGCCGATATATTGTCCATTCTCAGCAGAATGCAGCAATCTGATAGATGACCCGCAAGGCTGCGTATAGCGAATGAGCCTGCAATCATTTCCAGGCAGTTGATGTGATATCCTGCTTCCGTGTTTGACCAGGGGCCTCCCGTGGAGACGGCTGTGCAGGTTGCACCCCAGCCCCATAGGCTCTCATCCGACTCCAGGACAAAGTCCGGGGTCGGTCCAAAGATCGCCTTGCCGTTCCAAGCTGACATGTGTAACCGCCACCAGCGAAGTTCGGTCTTGACTTCCTGCATGACGGGAATCAGCTGGTCGTACGAACTGATTCCTGATGGAGCGCAGGCATGCCGTTACCGGCTTTAACAGTTTGGTTAAACACCATGGTGCCGAGCTGAGGCCGAATGGGAGGCAGGTGAATTGGCATGGCCTCCCTTTCCAAACGAAGCGTAGAAATCGTCGGCAACCGTATTCCACCGGAACGGATAGATATGCGTCCTTTAGGTCAAGGCGAGTGAACCAATCTCCTGGGCGCAGTAAGTCTCTCAGAAGATGGATGCCCTCCATCTTGAAGTGTTGATAGGAAATTAAGGCGTTCAGGTTTCTCAGGTTTATAACCGGAGGAAAATCTCCCGTTTTCTTCCTGACTAGAAAAATGGAACTGTTGTGAGGCAGTGTCACCAGCGTCCTGTTGGTACACCAATTCCTCCGATTCTTCTCCACCCCACCCGCCTTCATCCTCCGAGGGGGACTGATCCGCCTACAGCGTGGGCACAGTGGATCCCAGTATAAAATTCTCCCCAGAAAATATCCTAGGCCAGCGACCCTAAGAATTTAGGCACGGGCAAGCGCCGGCTCATCAATAGGTCACTGTCAGGGCAGGGCAGGCCAGCCAATGGGCACAGACAGAGTCGGTCAGTTAAAGGGCACAGACAGAGCAGGCCAATTTTATGGGCACTGACAAAGCAGGCCAGTCATAGGGGCACAGACACAGCAGGCCAGTCATAGGGGCACAGACACAGCAGGCCAGTCATAGGGGCACTGACATAGCAGGCCAGGCATAGGGGCACTGACAGAGCAGGCCAAGGCATGTGGCACAGATAAGGCAGGCCAGGTCACGTACGAGTGGTGTAAAAACAGTAAAAGGGATACTGATACTGGAGTGTTTCTATTTAACCAGCAGGAGATCCTGGCAGACCCCTGTAAAAATCTAATGTAGGTCACAGATAGTATAATGGGAACACAATGAAATTCCCCTAAGGCATAGAAAAGCAGAAGAATTGATTCAGCAATGAATAACCCTCAGCACTAATAACCCCAGTATGTATATGTATTTGTATGTGTGTATATATATATAATGTGTGTGTTAAGCAGACAGTATCCACCAGCCACTGTAAAAATTGCTAAAAGTACAACACTAGTAGCCTCACAGAGTGTGGGGTTAAATGCAGGAAAGAAAGGGGTGTTCCCAGACTGCCAGGGTACAGTTAGGCCCCAGACCGCGGTCTTTAGTAATTGCGGACCTCCTGCAGGACCGCATACCACGTGCGAGTAGTCACTAATCTAACGGGCGGGGGAGGGGGCGTGCGTGTAGCGCTCCCTTCTCCACCCGGCGGACACACGCGGTCCGCGGATGGAGCTGGCCGCGACTGGCGGCCACGTTGGGAAGCTCCGGTCGGCGGGTAATGCGCTTGATCGCGAGCACCCTGTGACCGGAGGAGCAGATATACACGGGACCGCTGGAGACGTACTCCGCTTTCCCGGAGCTCGGGGGGATCGGAGGAAGCAGCAACAGGCCAGCCTACAGATACCCCCGAGCGGCACAATACCCATGTGAAGGAAAAACGGGTGAGAAGGAGAGGGGACAGTTAAGGGGAAAACGAGCCCCAGAGAAGAGAGTAGAAAAAAGGGAAACAACTCCCCACTATCCCAGAGGGAAAGAGAAGGCACATAGCCTACACCATAAAACCAAAACAGTCCCCAAAGAATAATTAAGGATAATAAAATGACAAACAATTATACAGTAAAATATTTATAATCCCAAAGCCACCCACTAATAATAGCAGGAGGCAGTGGTACTCTGACCTGTACTGATGCGGAGCAGCAAAGAAAGAGGAAATGGAATGTTGAGAAGGGAGTTATATGGTCCCCTTACTGTTTTCTGATTGGTTGTTACTCTCTGAGTTTTTTTGCTGCTGTGGAGTTCTAGTAAAGAGAGACTTAAGCAAATTTGAAGCCTCCTGTCATGTTATAAAATTGGCATGCTAACTAATATACACTATTTGTAAGTAATATGTTAATTAGCATGTTAACTAGTAGACACTACTTTTAAGCAATATGCCTACTTGGATGTCCATATTATATTATGTTGGGGCCTTCGGGGGTGGTACAACTTGCTGTTTAGGCAAGTTAATAGTCAGTCTGATACGTTAACATGTCCACTATTATACACTACTGGAAAGCAATATATCTACTTAGCCTCTTGTGAAGCAAATTAACAAAGCATGTTAGAAGCAACTTGGCATATCGACTACCATGTTCATGTGCAGCTAGCCTTCATTATCTTCGTAATTCATCGTCGCTATACACTAAGTCTAGGCTACCAACGGTACACAAATCCATTGCCTAATAGTTAGACCTAATTGCCTAGCCTGTTTGTTTGTTATTATTTTTATTAAAATGTGCAACTCCTTTCTGCCATGCCAATGTAACACCGTGTATGCTATATAAACGTCTGTGCTGTCATGGCATCGCAAGCATGTTTGTAATTAATTGCACTGCTAAAATAAAGAATGTTAGAGGGAAAAAAATATAAAAAGAAAAAAAAGTAAAACCCAAATACCTTGTATGACACATACATGAAGGCAAAACCACTGACCTCTACTCTTGTGCAGAACACTTACATGCTTTAACCAAACCTTTCTTCTCTTTCAGATGTGGATCCCACTGTGGTGAAAGCAGCCAAGCAAGAGCTCACAGATTGTGGATTCATGTGCTGGGAAACCATTATTGGGGGGCTTGGGGTTTCAGCACATTCACCATCTTCTCTGACAGACAGTGTTTTAGAAGCTTTAAAAAGTAATTAAATGTAATATTGGAACATTATTAAAAGAGCATATGTCCTCATTGTCTCTTCATGGTGGTCTGAGAAGAATGAACATCTTATGATATTGTATTTTTGCATTTATAGTTACCTGTTATCGTTAAGATGACTAGCTGGGGCTTTTTTTAAAGAACTCAGTCGATCATTTTTGACATGGACTAGATCTTTGAAACCTAAAATTAGCTCAATAAGTAACTCTTCGATTGTCATGTAATGTATTTTAAAATAAATTCTGCAAAACACCTAATTCCGTTCTTCAAGTGTCCGAAGGGTCTCCATTGCTGCTCAAGTATACCATTCATTTTTGAGCACATACCTGGGTCATTTTCATTATGGTGTGCCTTAAAAAAGGAGACCTAGTGGAAATTGCCTAGGGATCTAATTGTAGTTCTAAACCAGATCTGGCTTAAACTCCCATGATGCTCTCCAAGCCTCAAAATGAGAATCTACATTATCGGCCATGTCTCGTCCAGAATACTGAGTTATGAGCAACTGCTGTGCAAGTGGTGAAACCTGTAAGAAAAGCTTCCATAGACACTACTATCATTTGCTATACACGTCTCCATGATAGATAATGGAGATAATGGTAAATGCTGGCTGCTGCTGCTATGTATTATTACTGCTGCTGGTTTATACAGCTATTAAACTGTACAGAGTGCTATAACAGGTATTGTAGCCCTGTACAAATAAGTACAATGTAAACCATTTTTATTTATTGAGCATTTGTTACATGTACCCAAATGACAGAATTTATTTTAGATTACCTACATTTGTTTTTAATTTCTGCTAACTACAATCTGTGCGTATTAGAAGAAAGTTAAACACTTCCTGTTGTGTAAAACAATGAAAGCTATATAAAATGTTATTAACAATTTAACAAAGAACCATCTTCACATTTAACTCTGCTGCTTTTACCACTTTCCGAGTCATGGATATTAGGACTGTTACAACAAAAGGAGGATTTGTTTAAATACTTGGTTCTGAGTGGGAAATTGTGTGCCAGATAATATATGCTGTCAGAGATGGTAACATTTCCTTTTACTGCACCCACATACATTTTTCAGGCAGGTTAATGATGTCCTGCATTGATTTTATTAAAATATCTTAAAACCACTTTTGCCTTTTATGTATCTTTAAAAAAAATAAAAAAAAAATATATATATATATCAGTGTAGTTGGCTCATGCATGGCCTCCACCATTTTATATAAGGGCTTGTATTCTTGTTCTCTTCAAATAACATTAATTTATGTCATCTTAATTTGTTAGTTTTGTGGTATGTAAAAATAATTTATTTGCATGTTTGAGTTGGAGTAATCCTTTAAGGACAAAGGCAATTCTTAAACGTGTGAACCAAAACAAAACCTAGAATGTGCTAGGTGTTTGTTTTAATGTTTTGTTTTGTTTTTTTTCTTCAAGAGCACCTATACATATATATATATATATATATATAATTTTTTTTAAAGAACAGAAGGGGCTTTCTTCTAATATTCTATAAGTATTTAAGTAATAAACTGTGTCCCCCAAAGAGCGCTCTCCCTGGTGCCACCCACGTGGTGACCTCCAACAGGGAGAGGCGCAAGCCCAAGCCGGCACTCTGCAATTAGCAGGCGGCTTCACAACCGCAGAGTCCGTGACGACCAATAGGAGAAGCACTACCATTGAAATTGGTTTTGTGCCCTTTATACCAATTGGTCGGCAAAACACCTCCCCTCCTTGAATGCTGAATGGCCGCTACGTGTTTGAGCCATTTCTCCGGATTGGCCGCTGCTTTCACCGGCCTAAACCAAGTGATCTCGTGGAACTGATTTCGGGTATGTACAGAGCCTCAAGCCCAGACTTGACACAATGATTTATCTGGCTCTGTACATCCGATCACTTTTAAATTTGCAGGGAGCATAGCTCGGACCAGGAGCTATCCAGAGATGTAGGGCATGTGGGGATGCATTACGATGTTCTGTGTGTCTTGTGGGGTTTTTGTGTGTCAGCTTCGTGTGTCTGGGAGATACCATTATCCCCCAGACATGGCGACACTAGAGCGGGCTTATATTTTGTGGGGGTCTGTGTGTAAATACTGTGTATCTGGCCTTCAATAAACAGATCCTGTTGTACCATTCATCAAGTCTAGGCTGATGTTTGGGTATCCAAGAGCTCTAATCACTGGGATCCTGCTATCAATTAGGGATCCTGCTATCCTTCCGTAGGATTGCCATAATTAAAAATAATAACTAAAACCCTTATCTACTAGGAAACTAAAAGAACACTTTTACATTTTGTTTTTTTTAAAAAAAGGCTTTTCTCATTTTTCCAGTTTCAGTTTTTTTAGTGGCTTCCTAATTTGGTGTGGGGTTCCCTTACTTTAGGATACTAAATTAAGGTATTGTTTAGTAGATGTCTCCCCTAATTGAATATACTGATGTGGGGTTCCTGTATAGACACCATACATTAAGCTGTATTGGGTCTGGTGACTATATTACCCCTTTAAATAACAACGCTTACATTGTTGCACAGAATGCAATTTGACCAAGAGCTGGGGAACTTTTGCATTTATTTGGAGATTTACTGTAATTTCCTATAATGCGTTTTTTTTTTTGTTTTTTTTTTTAATCTCTCTTCGTCTCTTTCTATATGTAGATGATTGACTGATGAAATCATCCTCAAGAGATCAATTGAAACACTGGGCCATTTACTAATGCAGTCTTTGACCTAGCATAGATTGTATGTCAGTTATAAAAAGACGACTTAAATTCTCTCTGGAGATTTAAATCAGGCTGTGAGCATTCAACAACTTTATTAATTATCTCACAGCATTTCTGGGGAGTGGGGATTTAATGTATGTCACTAGAACTGTCAGAAACACATATGTTTTGGGCTCACAGTACATGTTAATTTATATTATTTCAAATCTTGGGTATTTTGCCACATGCTAAATTGCACAAAACAGTTTACCATCAAACAAACATGCAATGTCATCAATATAAGTTATATCCAATATATTGATTATAATTTTATATAACTAAAAGGAACATTTGTAACTGGTATTGTCTACAGAGCTAGCAAGTTATACTTTATGGAGTTAGTTCAGAAAGATCCCCCAAGGTTTTCCTTTACTAGAATTTTAAAGGAGCTCTGTGTCAGGATTTGGCAGAAAGAGTGCGGTTTGCATGAACTGACACTAAAAGTCTTTGTTTAAACCAATGTTTCTTTCCAAGATTGAGAATCGAAGTGCTCTCAGTAACCAGTTCAGATACGCGGTTATTACCACAAGTGTAAGCAGCTTGCTCTGGAACACTTGGTTTGCACAGGATAACAGTTTGCTCTAGAACAATGAGGTTTGCACAGAGCAACTGCTAACTCTGGAACACTGAGGGTGAGACAGGAGCTCAAGTACTCTAGGACAAAGTAGAACCGAGCACTGAGGAGAAGGAGAGGCAGCCTTTTATAGAGAGGTAAGGGACACACCCACTCCCATCAAAGTTGACTGCAAAGCACGCTGTGTTCACCGTGCATGTCCATAAAGAATAGGGCAACAAATATAGAAGAGCGAGAGAGAGACTGGGATTCCACTTGGAGACCCATTCACAAGCAACGTCCCTGGCCCTAATTTTGAAATTCAGTTTAAAATTACTTGAATGTCTAACAATTCTCAATTTAGTGACTAACCCTCTTTTGTATGAGGCCTACACCATCTTACACATTCAGATGTGTTTACTAAACTCTAAAATGTTTACAAATGGAAATATGAAGGCAAAAATAGCCAAGTTGTGACTGTGACAGTGTTGGAGATGTCTATATTTTGAATTCTGAATTGATTTGTGAAAATTCAGAGTTTAGTGAATAACCCGAGTTGTGTAGTTTTACTTACTTTTTATTTTACAGGATTACTGAACAGCAATCTAAAAATCTCAATTAGGGGGCGGGACCTGCCCGCCATGCTGACCGGTCGCATGAGGGGAAGGCTCCTGCAGAAAGTGGCCTTCTCGACCTATAATCTGGGCTTACAGCCTATATCTGAGCCGGGGAGGGAAGCAGCACGGTGCCGGAGCTGAAGCTGGCACAACAGCAGGCTCTGAGATCGGGAGTTTTGGGGCCCCAGGCCATCAAGGCTTTGGAGCTTCTCTGGCCACCACGCGACGGCTCTGTGACACACTTCACAGGTCACTCCCCCCCCCCTCTGGACCAGGGGGATTTTCCCAGTCCCCACTGGAGGGCACCAAAGCCATCTCCACCGAAGCCTGCGGGGCGCGCTCCGTAACCCCGGATCTAAAATGGCCGCTCCACTTCCTCGCCGCCATGCGGCCATCTGAGCACCACCTCACCATCTCAAAGGGACTGGGGTCCCAGCAAATAGGCAACCAGCAAAGGGGTTTACCTGCCCAACCCTTGAACAAAATGACATGGCACCCCACAAGGTATTGCTACTCAGTCCCCAGCCACCCACCCACTCCACCACATCTAGACCGGATGAGGCAAATGTGGCCGCCGGCCATGGAGATGAACAGGAGGGCATGATACGACCAGCTTGGGGCTTTGATGAACTGCTCAGCGACACACCACAGTGTCACACAAAAACACACGACTGCCTACCCTGCGTTGCACCATTAGCCCAGCGGACATACTCTCTAACCTGGGAGGAGGCAGGGAAGCCATAAGCCCAGGAGATCAGGCATGCCTCACAGCTCACTGCCTCCAGCAGCGCGACGGAGCGGGACAAGGAGTGGAGCGACTCACGTGCGAGGACCCAGTGGACTTAAACAGTTTGTTTTTTTGACTCACACGTTTATTTTAAGCTATATTTGCTCTAAGATTTAATTATTGAACAAACACAGTCTGATATGTACCCTACCGTTATGAAATGATTGCCAGCCCATCGACTACCATGTCCTATAGCTTACCTTAGTCTGAGTTAAATCATTGCTACACACTCCAGCTCATAGTTCATATGCATAACCTGCAACTGTTCACGCTAACAATTACCAAGCAAGGTATTAGACTGTCTGAAATCTTCTATCTAGCAATGTAGTTTATACACTGATATACTCGTCATATATAACATGTTAATTTCGCATGAAAAATAACAAAAATTGTGCTATTAAACTGCATGCCATGACGACTCAATGTTCAAGATAAGCATGCAATCGCTGTTGTGGCACTGCAAGATCAAATGTTATCTGTCCTCACATGCACAAAGAATAATAAAGAATTGTAAAATTTAAAAAAATAAAAATCTCAATTATTGTTTTGCCTTATGTTGCAAGCAACCTTAGGGCCTTTCCAAACAGAGTAGAACTCTGAGTACTGCCTCTATAAATATATTAATTATATTAATGATAAGGTTGAATGTCTTCCTTTACTAGTTGTTTAATACACAGTTATATTCTGCACTTTAAAATGAAAAGCTTGGGAAAAAGTATTCTCCCTTATAGTAAAATATCCTCGTTCATTGATCTAATGGTATTGTGTGCAGTAGTGCAGTCTATCCCCATGCACAGATGGTAGATTTTCTTTTGCTATGGCCGTCAGCACTTGTTAATTTCCGCTCTGATGAATTGATTCTAAAGAGGCAGTGACATTATGTGAGATAAGATAGACAGCAGCAGGGCGAAGGCTGGGGGGAAATGTCAGAGGATCCAGATAAATGGGGAGTGAAATGACGGAGAAAGACAACATGACAATTAGAAAAGAGAGGAAAAAAAAAAAAAGAAACACTAACTAAATCTCGTTTTCAGCAAACTGTATAGGAGCAACCCCGCATGGCCAGCTAAAAAAAACAGCACCTTAATCCAAATTCAACTGTCTATTTATTTCCCCTAAAATGAAGCAAAAGCTGCTTTCCACAGCACGTGAACAATCGTGGATATTTGCCAGACAACAAACCTTATCAAAGGCACTGTTTATCTAAAAAACAGCATATTATACTATATGTGAACTGGGACATTCTTTAATCTTCCTCTCTTATGTCTCTATGGTAATGATTGTATAGACTGTAATCTGCAAGAAGACTGTCTAAATGATTGCATTTTGGTTTACAATGCTGTTGTATCTTTTAGATAAATTGTAAGTGACTACCATGGATTTATCTAAGGGTAACGTTAAGTAACGTAACATTGTTATTT